GTCTTTGCGCCGCCATTTGCTCCAGTGCCATGCACTAAACCGGCGCGCCATCACGCACCATCTTCCACCACTTCTTCGAACCTTGGCCCAAGCTGCGCCGACACCCTGGCCACCCTCCAACGCCTCCCCCCATCCCCATAGGTTGCGTGCCCTCCGCTGACCTGCACACCTCCCACTCTCGCCCTGAAAGCTAGACGTCGAGGTGCTTTTCGCGCAGCTCTCTTCTTGCCGACCTTTTCCTCTTGTCTCATGGTGATGACACTACTGCTGCCACTGCCACGGCTTGCCCATCCTCTGCTACCAATTATTTTTGCCTCGCAGCCGACTACTTTCCCTTGCATCATATCGTGGCTTCGGTGTTGGTAATGATACCAGCATACCTGTATACGACCGACCTTTCTCTGCCGTTGTCCTATCTCAGCGTGTTGCAGCACGCGACCCTGTCCAATTGGCCCCGGTGATGTCGAGTGCGGATTATGGTGAGCGTGGGGGAACCGCAGCTTCAACTTGCACCGCGCACACGGCCTACGCCGTCCACTCCCCGGCCGGCCACTCTGATCACTCTTCTGGACCTGGACCGCAGCCGGCTTCGAGTCTTGACGACACAGCTTCGTCAACCTGGTCAAGTAGTCTAGAATCCAACACCACAGCCAACACTGCGTCCACCAGCCAGTCGCCCGCAAACCTGTCCTCGACGGCCACATCCAACATAAGTTCCCATCTTGCTCAACCGCCAAAGTCGACAAACCCAAACCTCAGTTCCAATCTGGATCTCTCCACCTCGGACACCGTCGCTCGAAATGAGTTGCTGCTGCGGGACGCCGTCTTCCCCGAGTGGAAGGACGACACCAGTCCCTCCGACATCGAGAACCCGGAGGAGATGCAGAAGAAGGATCCTTTAGGGACCCAGATATGGAAATTATACAGTCGCACAAAGTCTCGACTGCCCAACCAGGAGCGCATGGAGAACCTGACCTGGAGGATGATGGCCATGAACCTGCGCCGCCGGGAGCAGCAACAAGCAGCGTATGGGAATAAAATCCCCGCGAACAGCAACCGTGTCGCACCGGGTACTAACAGCTTTTTCAGTGAAAAGCAGGCACAACTCAAGCGTCAAGCGACGCCATCGTCCGCGCCCAGCGGCATTGCTCAGCAGCTCCGCAAGTCAATCGACCAGGGCATTCAACGTGAGCAGTCGTCGGATCCCATGAACCTTGATGAGTTCATCGTCCCAAGCTCTGTTGCCTCGCCCGCAGGGGGGATGACCCCCGCAACAGCAGAGCCCGTCACGCAGCCTAGGAACACGCAAGCACCTGTTCTACCCATTACTACACGCACCAAACCACAGGTCCACATCCCCAAGAATCTGCCGCCTTCGTCAATGCCCCAGACGTCGATACCCACGCATCGAACGTCGGAATTTGACTACGTCAGAAAACGAGTTCGCAAAACGAGCATTGACGAAAGGAGAGGAGGAGGAGTAAGCCACAGTCCTCTTCATGGCCATCACTTTGATCCTAATGATCTCGTCTCTCAGAACCGAAAGCGCCCGGCGGACTTTTCTCCTCAGGTGCCTCCTCTGCCTGGCCCGAATGCTAGCAACGGCAGTGAGATGGACACTGGTGTACCTGACTATGCGTTGGATCAGACAACTGCGCCGCAATTCTCGGGTCCAAACAGCTTTCAAAACCCAGTGTCTCTGCAGCTGGACTCGTTTCATCTTCAGGAGGACCCCATCCTGACATCTGCTGGTCCTTTTCAGCAGAATTTCGCCTTCTCGCCTGCGGCTTCGCCCATGGTCAGCAGCGGACCCTTCACGAATGGATACCTTCAGTCGTCCATCCCCTCGTCTCTCAACTCTGCAGATTTCTACTCGCCTCCTCAGTCCGGCTACCCATCCGCTGTTTCGACCCCCCAACCCGGTCATGAAGGTGATGGGACATTCTATTTTGATCAAAGTGGTCACACGCGTACCATGCCCTTCTATCCAGCCCACCGAGGGACGCACCTGATGGCGCCTTCCGCTCCTCAGTTTGGCTACGGCTCCAGCAACGAGCAGGTCTATTCTCTGATGAATGGCGTCGGCTCGGCTCCAGCTGCCAACGGGTTTTCCCTCCAACAACACGTTGACCCGTCCAGAGTACTTGTTCCTGAGTACGGACGACGGGTTTCGCCCGGGATTTCTGTGGCTGGCAATGACAATCTGTTTCAGTTTGGCGCCGACTCGGACGGCGAGGACGACGATGCAAATTTCGCCATGATCCAGTCCGAGTACGCTCAGTTGAACGATCCGACGCTGGATTTGAACTCGGGGCTGCCCTGGGACGCAAGCGTTGCCGATTATGGCCACGTGCAGCGTTTTGGTGGCCCTGGAAAACAAGTGAGGATTGGCGGAGCGGAAATGGTAAATTCACCTCCAGATTGGGCCTCGTCCCTCCTCAGCCGAACACACGGCTCGGCTGCATCGATCAGCGACATCCGAAACCGAGACCAAGATCCACGGAGGCAGAAGATACCCAGGACGACTTCGACACCCGCGTTGAATAACCAGCATATGCCGTCCACGGTTAGTTCACCCGGAGAATCGGGCTTTAGCAGTCGACAACCGTCAAGGCCCGGCAGCCCCGGGCCCAAAAATACCGACCAGAACGGAGTGCCAACGACGTGTACGAACTGTTTTACCCAGACCACGCCTCTGTGGCGACGAAATCCCGAAGGCCATCCTCTATGCAATGCGTGCGGATTGTTCCTGAAACTCCATGGCGTGGTGCGTCCACTGTCCCTAAAAACGGATGTCATCAAGAAACGGAACCGTGGAAGTGGCAGCACTATACCCATGGGTTCCGCCGCCACCCGAGCCTCGAAAAAGGCTTCTCGCAAAAACTCGGTCCAGCAGACGCCAGTGACTACGCCGACATCTGGCAATGCCAATAGCGAACAGAACTCGGCGTCTCCAGCCTCTGTGCAGGGATCCGCGCATTCCGGTTCGGCGGTCACCACGCCCACGAGCTACCCGCCTGGTATCACAGGAGGTAAACCCGGAGTCGTACCGATTGCTGCGGCGCCGCCGAAACCACCCGTGCAACCGGGTCCGAACATGGCTCGACCAGTTCAGGTGACACCGAAACGCCAAAGACGTCAGTCCCGCGCTTCGACCAACACGCTACCTATCATGGGGGGAAGTATTGCGGCAAACGAGACAGAAATGCAGGACGCGAGCGGCCAGCCCACACCGAAAATCGCTCAAGCACCAGTGACTCGGTCCAAAACAGCCAGCATTCCTTCGACAGCTGGGGCCACCACTATGGCCTCCGTCATGCAAGGCGGCTTGCTCAACAGCGGTGTCCACAACATGGGTGGGACTGCGCACGGAAACAGCCAGGAGTGGGAATGGCTCACGATGAGCTTGTGAGCTGTTACACCTAACCCGCCTGTTCGCGTGGCTTGTCCAGTCTATCCCCATGAAAAATTCCACCTGACTCGACACGGAGACGAGCGAAAAAAGCCCCCCCCCACCCCCCGGTTTTGTGTGTGTTGCCTATAGAGAGATTATTTCCCTCCTCCTCTCGCTTATACCACCTCCACCTCCCGACATTGACACCAGCTGCACGACTTGACGACCTACGCCATACACGATTCTCCCACATCTTACTACTGTCACGCGCTCGAGGCACGTCGGCGAGTGACGAAGTGCATGCTGACGACTTTCCCTGCTTTGGATCGGGCTCCGTCTGGTATGGGGCAGGGCGGGCGAGGGATATAATGAACAGGGGAAATTTCCGCGCAGTTTGCCACCCTGAGTTTATTTTTGTGATTTATGTCGATTTGCAACACAATGATATCACCGCGTCTGCGAAGGGAGGTTGGCTTGGCGATAGAGAGCCCCTCGGAGCAGAAGTGCGCAACTGTGGGATTTTCTGAACGCGAATGCTGTGGAATGAAATGAGGCGAAACTAATGAATAGATAAACGTCGACTGGGCTTGGCCTCTCACCACAAAGACGGACGGGCCATGCTATGCTATGTATGAGAGGATGCTGAAAAGACGTCTGTGTCGGGGACGAGTGAGGCGGGATTTATCAGCGTTGAGAGGGGCGTCGTCCTTCGACCTGCCACGAGACGAAACGAGATGAAGTGACCCCAGCCATGCTTGTCCCGTCTTCCAGCACTTTGACATGATTTTGCCGCAACGATAGAAGTGAGAAGATCAAAGTACATATGTATCAGGCGAAATAGGCGCTCATCTAGAACACAGTAACGGCAGATCTTTTCGGCTTTCTATCTCTCTCCCCGATCCCTCTCCGATCCCTCTCATCGTTGCGCTTTCTACAGAGAATCTCCTGATTGAGAAGCACGTTGAAAGGTAAGGTGTTACCGAGGAGGTCGGCAACCTCTGTCACGTATCCGAGAAATGGATCTCAAGTCCGCCCTGGGTCCGAAATGACCTTGCACGCTCAACGCGTGTCCTGAAAGTCGAAGCAGTTTGTGTCAAGCTGCGATGTTGAGACCGAGGATGTCAACACATCTCATCTCGTCCCCTTACGAGACCAAAGTACTGTACTGCATATACTCCTTTCCCAGTACTATCGGTGCACCTTATGCTCCTGTGTAGCAATGGCGGGATCGGACATTTGCCGTCTAATTAATTACCCTCTGATTGCTGTCAAAGCCTCAATGAATGAATGGGTGGGGATACTGTAACGTACCCAGATCCGCGATCAACACAACGACAACGTGGTTTGTTCAACTCAGGTATAGTCTTGCTTTCTCCATTCCTCCCTAGGAGCCTTGGTGGGTAGCAACGATAAGGGGCAAATCTGTTCAGCCCCTTGCTTCTCCATTTGATAGCCTTGGTGGATAACAGCACGAACAAAAACAAGGCTTGTTCGCCTCCGCCTCTCCCTCCCCAGCCTTACTGGTATCTGGTAGACTGATGGACCACAACGACAAGTGGCACTGAGACCTACAGCTTTGAACTCTGCTGTTTTCCGACCCTCAGATCTACAGCTTTGAAGTCTGCTGCTGCTGCTGCTGCTGCCGCCTTCCGCCCCTAAGATCAGCAATGGCCTGCCAAGCACCGCTCTCCCCACTCCTCACAGCCCCCTCCATATATCCTCGCCACACGGTGCTGAGTTCCGTGCCCACAAAGAAGACATGCCCAAACGGCGCACACAGCGCGTCCCACCCCTGCGCGAGCACGCCGGGAGGCATGTTCGCACACGGACAGCCCCAGCCGGAAAATTCCTCCTCCATCCACGGCGACTCGACCGCTTCAACCACGAACTCGCTGATATCCTCGCCACCCGCGAAGATTTCACCCATCTGTTTGAGGACGGACGCTTTCTTGGCCTCGGCGTCCTGCGATGCCCACTTCCTGCCGAAACTGCCGCCGATGAAACATGTCATGGCGGGCTGCTCGGGGCCGAGACTTGTGTCGCGGAAAACAGAGACGGGGCCGACGAACGACTGTGCGAGGCCGCATAACCGACTCTTGGTCCAGAACGCCTCGCTGAAGTTGACGATATATTTCGTGTAGAACCCGTAGCGTGTACGGTTGACGATTGCGCTCTTCGCGGCCGGTAGGGCCGGGGAGAATTTGATGGTTCTGTACACGGGCGTGGGAACGGAGACGATGACTCTGCGAGCCAGGTACGTCTGCGGCGGCGCTGGCGCTGGGCCTCCAACGGAGATTGAGACCGTTCCTGTCTCTGTCCCGGTCCCGTCTGGTTGTTGATGGATCTCTGCCACAGGGCTGCTCAGCTTGATGGATCTCGGGTTCAACTTCTCGAGTAGACCCTCTGCGAATGATGAGGTCCCTTCGCGGATACGGAGGTACTGGCCGCCTCCTTTGCTGTCGGAGCGCATCGTCATCAGGCCTCCCCCGGCGGCGCAGTCTGTCAGTGTCCCGTCAATGGTGAACACTCCAGCGTGGTGGTGGAGCGGGACTTACATTCTATAAAGTACAAAGCCGATACCTCGGACGGGTCCACGCCGAGCATGGCGTGAGTCCACACCTGAGCAGTGGCCAGCGCCTTATCCGTCACTCTGGCACGCTGCAGGAAAGTCTCGAACGAGATCGAGTCAAGACTGTCCCGGTGAGGGCCCGGCGAGAAGATAGAGGGCGACTGGGTGGTGGAGAGGTTCTCAACCAGGTCTCGGATTGAGATGCATGACTCCGTGTCCTGGTCTGACGGGTACTGTTCGTTCACAAGGTCAGCATCGGGTCTGTACTGCGCGTCACGTCGGCATCAGTACTAGGTGAGCACCAGACCTTCGGCGCTTCGCCGTACGGGAACTTCACCAGGCTTCCATCAAAGTCTTGCACGACGACATCGCCATCCGTGTTTTGGACAAAGGTATGCAGGCCCAATTCTTCCGCGAGCGCCCACATGCGACTCTGGTTTGTGTCGTTGATCCATGCTGCGCCCAACTCGGCTTTCGCCGTTCCGGTGCTCGATCGAGCCGTCAACGTCCTCCCTCCAACACGGTCTCGCGCTTCAAGGACGACGTAGCTTAGACCTGCCTGGTGGACGGTGCATGCAGCCTGGAGGCCCGACAGGCCGGCACCGACGATCACCACATCGTATATCGGCTGGGTCATCGTGTCTTCTTGCGGATCCGCAAACGGAATGCTACCTCTCCTTCATGGGTACTGCCGCTTTTATAGGTATTGTGTACATCTTGAAGCGGGCACTCGGTTGTGCCTTGAGGAGATCGAGGTGGCGCCCATCTCCGCCTGAGTGTCCGTTTTGCAACGACTTCTCCACAGCTTCGCAGACCTTCCTTATCTCACACATTTCACTGTCTTCCTTCTGTCTTTCGGAGCTGGTCGACGATGGCGGTACAATCTTCACGGCGAAGTGCTGTGGGCCTTTGGAAAGGGATGTATACATTCGACTTTGAAAGCAACGGTCAGCAACTGGGACGCGGCACTCGGTTGTTGGGGTGTATCGGCTGGTGGCTTACACCCAACAACACCAGCTCTACCAAGTATGCCGCATATCTCTTCTGTGGCTAGATGCCATCAGACTCGGAGGTTTGCTGGTGAAGATCTCTCCATTTGCTGGAGGCTATAGGCAGGGAATTGGAGGGCGACCGTCTCGACAAGGCCACCCACCAACCGCTGGTGCTGAAGCGACAGCTCAGAATGTCGACCACATGGCGTTTCGAACGCTGGGGGTCCGAATGCTCGTTGAACAATAATACTCGAACGCTATCAATGGAGGAAGAATGGCGCCCCTGTTTATACGGATTTTCAACGGCATCAATGGGGCTCAGTAAGTTATGTCACCTCTGCTTCGGAATTTCTCGCAGCCTTGCTATTCAACATTGTGAGTGAATGTTTTCTGCCACACCCTGCCTGGTGGCATATTCACAACTACAATACCATGACAACAAGGTCAAGTGAAATGCGCACTTATTGAATGGCGCACTTTTCTAAAGCCCTCACTCTCATTTCGTTCGTGACCCAAACCCTTCCCATCTTTCTCGACAGGCAGTCTCTTCTTACTACCCAGACTCATACTCATACTCTTACTTTCACTCTTATTTTCAACCTTTTCACGCTGTCTTCGTCGTGATCATGAAGATCACACGCGTCTCTACCGACTTCTTTCGGTGGGCTCCTCCTTTCCGCTTCGAAGGCGTGGGACGGGCTCTCTGCCAAAAGGTGGTGCGTTACACGCGCGCCTTCACCCACATCACCCGTCTGCAGGAGTCCGTCCCCGTCAGGAGCCTGAACCGTTGTTCGTCTCCGGCGTCGTCCTCTCGCAAGAGGAACCCGTTGAGGCCTGTTAAGAATGGCGGTGTTGTTGCTTCTTCGGCTGCCGCCTGGCGCAAGAACAAGGCAGTGAAGGCGGCGCGGCTTGCCAAGGCATACGAGGCCCTGGATCGCATCTCGCCCATCGGGGTCGATGACCAGGGCTTCGCGGTGCACTTGAGCGACGCCGTGAATCCGGAGTGGTGGGCAGACATTGACTGGGACGCCATTCAGGAGGCCGAAGAGGCGACATACCGCCATTCTGAACGACATATTGAGGATTGCGAAATGACGGACATCGATGCTGTCGAAGAGGAGGGTGAGCCAATGGACTGGTTGCCATCGCCGGCGCCATACTTGGTGGACCAGCACAGCCTGGTCCCACCACCTCATGGCCTCTTCTCTGTGCATGCGCAGCCTGTTCCGGAGATGCCAGTGTGCGACGAGACGATGGTCGATGCGCCAGCTTCCGCTTCCTTCACGACACCCTCTCCTCCTGCTGGAGTCGACACCTTCAAGCAACCTGTGGCCAATGAGCCCTTGGTTGAGGCGATCGCTCCCACTCCTGTCCCGACATACACTCCTCCGCCCACCATCGGCGCCTTCGTGCAGAGGTGTTTCGACGATTGGCACAAGTCTGCTGTGTTCCCACCCACCAGCGACCACGCTTTACCCACAACCACACCACCTACGTCACCTCTTCCATTCTCCTCTTCCACTGGTGCCACCACCCACCAGGAAACGACCATCAATGAGGCAATCCTTGAGACGGCTCCACCCCCAACGGCCAATGACGACCCTGTGGCGACCGTCCCCCAGGAGTACGAGGTCTTCATTGAGGACGCGAAGGCGTTCGACGTTGGTCAGTTAAAGGAGCCAGGACCACATTTAAAGCAGATGATCCACGCCAGCTGGCAGCCTGACTTCAATGGCAACCAACTCAACAGCCTCGCCAATTATCCGTCGCATCCATGGCGCTTCAAGCTTGACGCGACGCCAAACTTCCCCTGCCCGGAACCAGGTCACACTGTCCCTCGACTCGACGCTTCCCGCCAAAAGGAGATGACAGAGCACTACATGACTCTTTGGAAGGAGTACCCTTGAGGTGTGGGAAGCCCTGCTCGGCACCATGTTGCAAGAAGGAGTGACGCCCGACAACTTGCTGCTCAACCACAGCGACAAAGATGCGGTCCTGAACCATCAGCCCTGGGTCATTGATCACTCACGCTTCGACGACATCCAATTCTCTCAACGCCATGGCTTAGCCTTACCTCCTGACTGCAGCAGAGAGTTCAATTCCGCGCCTTACGGTCAAGGAAACATGGTGAAACGCTACTACGACGAGATTCATCTTCTGGCCAGCGAGCCCGTCGAAGTCGCATATGCCTTCCGCACGCTCGTCTCCGTGTGGCTCGGCAGTAGTGCGGCACGCTATGCAACCTTTCGACGTATCATACGGAAGGCAGGCTGGTGCCAGCGTGATGAACACGAGAGGCTACGCAACTTCATCGTCGATGTCTTTCGAGGTCCAGATGCGCCGTTGGTCGGGCTGCGTGATGAGGTCGATTTTTACCTTACAACACGGTATCCTCGATTCTTTGCGGCCACAGTGGAGGAGGAGGGCATTCCGTATGATCTTTTTGATGTTGATTGATCAAACTGAGAGAAGGTCAGAGACCGACGTGTCGTGGAGCATGAAAGGAGTGGCACAGAACCATTCGACTCGCAACAACATCACCTTCATCATCTTCATCTTCGGCGTCTACTCAAGCCCCGGTATGGCTTTGGGTAACGTTGAAAACAGAAAGCCGGCAGACCCGTGGTCGTCTGTTAGATGGCTCAAACGAACCACCCGTGTGAATGTCTTTTCCTTGCTCTTTCTCCAAATCGGCGGCACATGTATCTCCTGCGCTTCACCATCAGCGCATACGAACATCTCCAGCGAAGAAACACGACACAACGCCCAGCATGGCAGGTGAAACAAGGAAGGAACGGTGTGATTGAGATCGCATTTGGGGGTTGCATTGATTCCGAGTCAGCAGCCGTATGGCACAGCTTGAGAAGAGTCAGCGATCATGGATGAATGTGAACATGGTGGGCCTACGAGCTTGGGCAGCAAAAGTTGGAATGCTGGAGCTGAGCTTCTCAGGCTTGATGGGCCGTGTGCGTGTTGACTGAATGCATTTTGCGTAGAGATGGACTGAGCCGAAACTGATGGGTGGCTATACTTCGTCTCAAAACGTCCACTGACTTCCACAAAAACGTTTTTCGATCTCAGGCACAAGCTCCAAGCTGAGAAGTGGGTGTCAACCATTGGGCAGCTTCATCTACTGTGGCGCGCCTCCCCTTCCTTCGCAGCCCTGGGAGAAGCGAAGGCACGTCCCAAGCTGGTCGCTCTCTGAGCTAGACCTCAGTAAGACTTCAGATGTCGCTTCTTTGTGCCTACCACGTTTCCTCACTACTCGATCAAGTTCATTTGACCTTTAAATGGCATGGAGCTCGTGCACACAACAGACTTGAGGCTCAAGATAGGTCCATATCAGCGTGGCACGAGCCGGGTCACCAGAGGGCTAACATGCGTGAAGGCATTTCTGGCACGGCTTTTGCGACCCTGCTGTCATCTCCGAGAGCTGCAAGGCTGAGTCGGAGAAGATTGGTCGAGGCTGCGGGTGCAGAATGCTCCGACACTCCGTATGACGCCCCTAACTAAATCCCTCGGCGCTGCCCTTGCCCCTCCTGCCTGCGCCCCCTCGCCCAAGAGGGCGTTGTTCGGCGGCACCAGCAGCCCAACAGTGCGTCACTCAACCGCGTACCCTGGGCGCTTTAGGCGTTGAGACCTCACTCGCTACCAAACCCTTGTGTTCCCATCACGTCGGGTAAACCCTTGGAAGCCATGCGCAACTTTCTCAACCTCTTTGATACCCCGATAATACCAAGGTGACAAGAATCCTCTATCCTTCTACTGTACCTACCAGGAGCTCGACAGATCATCACGCCACGAGAATGAGTGGCATGGCTTTTTAAATCCAGCGCGGCATGCATTGGCGCCATCCGCCTCTTAGCCCATGATCCGCAATCAACCTTCTCGCTCTATCCGTTACACTTATGCACCTTTTCCAAACCGTCTGGTCGCACTTAGCCTCGGTCCGCATGAAGAATGATTGTGCGGCTGCCCCGATTTAGCCAACAGGGAGCGAGCACAGGAACAGAATCTTCACGGCTCAGCGGACCCGATCCCACACGTCTATGGGCTTGTGCCTGGCATCATTGCCCAGTAGCCCCCCCCCTACTGGTCGCGGAGCTTTATTCACATTCGAGCTCCCTCCTCCAGACTAAGCGTCAATTCTCCTTCGAAGCGGTCCCGCGAGCAGGCCGCCAGCACAACAGCCTAACACGTTACGCGAGGGTACTTCGTCTCATAGCTTGGATGCAATCGAAAGTCCACTGCGCAAGACTCTGAAACTCAAACCAAGATGCCTATCGTTACCGGGCACTGCGGGGTTATACGAGACGAATCTTCACCAATACATACCTAGGTTGGGTAGGTTTGGCAGCAGCTCGATGCGCCCGTGCTAGTGGGAATATCATTCATGACTCGCTGGGCCATGAATCGTGACTGTCGACAGGTGCGGTTGCTTTGCGTTGAAGCGTCTTTTCCGCTCCTCGCATGCCTGGTTCGTCTTTCTCTACTGAGGGATCCGGCATAAAATAGATCGGCCGTCCACCTCCCGCCGCGCTTCCAACGGCCCTTGTGCAACACTACGACTTTGACATGTGGTTATAGGATCTGTCCATCGTTGACGCTACCTCAAAATGGGCAGAGAAGACGTCGAGTTCAAGACCTCGGACCGGGTTACCTTGAGGGGGTGGTTCTACACCAGCAACGACGCGGGTTCCGGCAAGGCACCATGTCTCGTCATGTCTCACGGCTTTTCGGCCCTCAAGGAAATGGACCTTGACGCCTTTGCCGAATACTTCGTGTCGAAACTGCCCATTGGGGTGCTGGTCTACGACAATCGAGGCTTCGGCGACAGTGATACCGCTCCTGGAGAACCGATCCATGAGATCGTCCCGATGGTCCAGTGCAGCGACATCTCCGACGCCATCACGTATGCGGCCTCGAGGCCTGACGTTGACCCGGATAAGATTGCAATCTGGGGTTCGTCATACAGTGGCGGCCACGTGCTATATGTCGGGGCGGTGGATCGAAGAGTCAAGGCCGTGCTCAGTCAGGTCCCCTGTGTCAGTGGATGGGACAACTTCAATCGACTCGTCCGTCCGGACTTTGCCGTGGGCTTCAATGCCACCTTCGCTGCAGGTACGGCCGTCCCATTTTCAGAATCCTAGGCAAGCCGCTGATGAGCTCATAGATAGGGCTGCTCGAGCTGAGGGCAAGGAGCCGGGTTATGTCCCTGTCGTGGATGCCGACCCTCAGAAGCCTTCTGCTCTGCCCACCCCAGACAGCTACGAGTTCTTCTCGTCTTGGGAGAAGAAGTCTAACTGGAAGAACGATGTCACGGTCAAGACGTAAGTCGCCAGCTGATTGCGCACCTCGCGCTTGGCACCTCGTACCTTGATCTGCCTTCTCACTGACTGTTGACCTTGGCTCTAGGATCGAGCTCTTCCGTGCATATGAGCCTCAACAACTCATTGACAAGATCTCGCCAACACCTCTCCTCATGACGGTGGCACGCGGAGATGTGCTCACACCAGCGGACCTCGCTCTCGGTGCGTATGCCCGAGCGAATGAGCCAAAGCAATTGCAAACGTTGCCTTGTGGTCACTTTGAGGCATATTCTGGCCCTTACTTTGAAAGGAACGCGGGCACCCAGGCTGAATTCCTCAAGAAGTGGTTGGTCGAGGGCGGATAGGATAAACAGCCACACGGGAGCTTGAAGGACGAGGCTGTCTGTCTATCTGGCTGTGGGTTGGTTAGTCTGCTCACTTCTTGAACATATGCAATCTTGCCTTGCATTCAGCAATCCTGGTAGACTGTCTTCTCCATCGCTAGATGTAAGCTCTTTGCCTGCGAGAGCTCTCTCGCGTATGCGATGTCCCCTGGCTTTCCCCGCCCCTCCCGCATGCTCGTCATCTATCCGGAGCCGGCAACCGTGGACTACCCGATGTTCTCGAGGTACCAACATGCCATCTAAAGCACAGACCGTATCTGCAAACGCGTGGCCCAGGAAAGAGGAGACGAAGGAGAGCTTTGTGACGCCAAATTCTCTGTCTCACGCTGGTATATGGAGCTTGTCACAGCACGATATAGCATGTCGACCAGTCAAGTGGCTTGTAGCCGCTTACACGAACCTCGCCAGACATGATTCCATAATCGCATTTCGTCTACACTCTTTTAAGTCTTCCAACTTTCTCTTCTCAACCCGTTGACTATCCTCCTCCGTCTACATTTGCGGCCTGAGAAGATTTTCGGTGGCTTCTTGTTCTACTTGCGGCGTTACAACTTCTCATGTCATTATAGACCCTCTCGCCGGTGGCGTAGTATCATCTCCTGCTTATCTGTTCCGCATGAAAAATGTGTCCCGATGACTGCGAAACGGAACACCTGACTGGTTTGCAGCTTGCGAGAACCGTCGAAAATAATCATGATATCAAGACGAGATCCATTCCAGCTGCATCTGCATACGGAGCCATTGACATGGGGACAACGCGTGTTTGATTAACGGTGCGGCTCTCTCTCTGCTCTCGCAACCCGTGCATGCGTTGGGGATGCTTCAAGCACACCATGTGTTCCGACGCCTTGGGTCATTTCCCACCGCGGTGCATATAAGGCAGGCGGTGACATGGAACTGCAAAAGGTTATCGACCAAAAGGGACAGTTCTGGAGCCTCTCTAATCCTCTTTGATATCGCCAACGACCGGGCTCCTTCTTCACTGCAGACTCACTCTGCTTCTTCACCCCACAGGCAGCAGTCCTTTTCTCCAAACACGATCCGCTCAAGGCTGGCATTGCATTATTTGGGAGTGCCGTATACGCAGTCATGGATCTCGTATCCTGACATTGAACGGCTGTGGGAAGAATTGGGAATTCCGCCAAACGAAGGCCAACCCAAGGGGTCGCCACGCTGCACGTTACCCGTCCTTCTCGACCGCACCGAAGCTTTCTCGAAGGAATCCATCATACGACTTCATGATTCAAATGCACTTGGGGGCCCGAGGAAGTCTCTAGACACTAACTACGGCACGTTCACGCCACTTGTTTCGACATTGAACATCGCCAGCGCCTTGGATGCGCTGTTCCTCGACCACGATCGCTACCCACCTTTATTTCCATCTGGTCGGTCCAGGGAGCAAGCTCAACAGATGCAGAGCGTTATTACCCGCCTACTTCCCGCGACTCGGCGGCTCATTCTCCCTTCTGTACCGGACATCCTCGACGCCAGAGGCAAAGAATACTTTATCCGCACGCGCAAACAATGGTTCCACGTGGCGTCTCTTCATGAACTACGGCCACAATCGCAGGACGAGACAGACGAGCTCTGGGTAGAGATCGAAGACAATCTCCAACCCGTCATCCGCACTTTACGGGAGTCTCCGCCGCTGGAGGGACCGGCGTCAGACGATCCTTGGACATGGGAGGACTACCGAGATGATCGAAGCCTTGCGGATAGCAGGAATAAGGCCGGACGGAGGGACGCTTCTGCTTCTGTTCGTGCTCGTGAGGCGGAAGCCGACAGTGGTCGTGTACGCTACCTCTCCAGCGGCTCCGCGCCCACGTATGCAGATTTCATCCTTGTGGCTTTTCTCGCATGGATCGCCCGTGTCGATATGCACGCCTGGGCTAGGTTGACGCAAGACGTTGGAGGTGGAGTACTGGAGGATCTGTGGATGGCATGCGTGCCATATATGAGGCGTCATACCTCCGTGAGGACTTTATCGTGGTTTCAATGACGGCCGAGAATATCCACTAACTAGGAGTGGTTGAGTACATAAAAGTGAGTGAAAATGTGCGATTGATCGCCAGCACTAAGATAAGTACGTACCTACTGTAGGCTGCGGAGCTGGATTGGGCTGAAATGGAGCAGTGGGGGCCGCTCTCTCCGTAGCTCGTACCGTCCCGACCTCCCTCCCTCCCTCTCGCTCTCCTTCCCTTTTATCTCGTGCTACTGCACCTCGCCTTCTCTCTGGTACCTCTCCGCCATGCTTCGGCCGTGATGTGTCTGGCTTGAGCTGCTCTGATGTCGGCTCCCTTGACGAGCATATCCTCCAAGATACATGTCGAAAATGGATATATGACCATGGGTCACCCGAGTGGACGAGTGACCATAACCACAACCGCGAACCTGAGTTGAATTGACCGTCCATATATAACACAATCCGGAGGACGGGGGGTAACGTACATGCATATGCATCGGGACAGACATAGACAGCATTCCCGTTGCACTTGACCTTGCCAGCCGAAGACGGTCTGGACGCCTCGATTGATGATATCGTACCATATCATATCATATCATACCATACGCACACGGAGTACAGCCAACCTACACAGTGCCAGTACCGGGACTAAACATGACATCTCCGTCCACCCCTTCCGCGGGCACTCCTCCCCCACCCCCAGCGCGCCCCCTCCATGGCCGCATCGCCGTCGTCACGGGCTCATCATCCCCCGTTGGCGCCGCCGTCGCCCTGGCCTTAGCCGCGCAGGGGTGCTCGCTCTTCTGCATCGACGTGGCTCCGACGGGGCCGCGGCAGGGCCAAAACCACGGGCAAAGCATCGGCACTAGCAATACCACGCGCGACCGGCAGCCCGGCACGCACGAACGCATCCGCCACATGGGCGGCGAAGCGACGTACCACAAAGCCGACACCACGCGCGCGAGGGACATGGACCTCGCGATCCGGGCCTGCGTGGCGAAGTACCATCGCGTGGATATCTTGGTCACTAACGCGAGTGCGAGTGCGAGTGCGAGTGCGAGTGCGTATGCCGCCTCCACTTCATCGCCGCCCGCGCGCCCTCTTCGGTGCCACGAAACCACAGACGAAGATTTTGATCGCGCACTGGCCGTCCACGCGCGCGCGCCCTTCCTCGCGTGCAAATACGCGGTTCGTCAGATGTTGGATGGGCAGCCGCGGCGGTACGGGAGGGCAAGGGGCTGGATCGTCAATGTGGCGAGTCCGAGTCTCCAGGGGGTTGTAGCCACAGGAAGCGTGGGCGTGGGTACGGGCATGGGGATGAGTCCACACATGGGCTCGCCGGGCTCGTGCGCGGGCCAAGCCGCGGCGGTGATGCTGACCAGGCAGATCGCTCTGGACTACGCGACGGACGCGATCCATTGTAATGCTTTGTGTCCTGGGTTTGTGGATGCTGGATCGGGGACCTCTACGGGTGCTGGAATTGGTTCAGGGACGCCAACGGGGAATGCGCATGCGCATGCGCATGCTCGGAGGAGCCAGACATCATTTCAATCTCAACCTCACGAGGACAGGGCGGCCATGGAGGCCGAGGATACCGACTACACCGACGGGTCGCGGCCCAGCGAGCCCAAGCTGGGCCCTTCTCCGCCGTTTGGCGGGAGGTTGGGGACCGTGGAGGATGTGGCGAGGGCGGCGGTATTTCTATGCGGCGACGACGCCGCGTGGATCACGGGCGTGACTTTGCCGGTCGATGGGGGAGGGTATTTGCTGCGATAGGAGAGAAGGGGAGGGGTCAGAAGTGGTACACATATCCGAAGAAACTTACCACGGGGTGAACGTAAGAGCTGGTGACGTCCTGACTAATGGAGGGCTGGTAGTCAGGGGAAGACGGGCAGAGAAAAGGAGTGTGTAAACATCATGGATTGGGGTTCTGTATACCCCCCTTTTCTATCGACATGAAGGAGCGCTCTGTTTTGCGCCCAATATGCCCGCCAACGCCCAAACGCCAACACAAAAGCGAAACCCAAGCAAGACCCAAGCAAAAAGCACACCTCCCACCCAAGGGGGTATCATGGTCGTCAATCGTCACCTCGTAACCAAGCAACGCAAAACAAAAACGCAACGCAACGCAACGCAGCCCACCGCAAACAAACCACAAACAACCCACCCCACCCTCACACCTCGCTCTTTAAGAGCTCGCCAGCCACCAGCTCTGCAACGATCCTCTTTCGTTGCAGAGGGATCATCTCTGGCCCATATGACATGGGCGTCAAGCCCAGCATGATCTGCCGGGCGCTGGTGATGGCGAAGACGCCACAATCGTCCATGTTGGACTGCATTGGGCTCTCCCCCCGCTCCACAAACGTCCACTCCTCCTCCTTGTACTGGGAGCCCAGCTCCCCAGCCAGCCAGGTCTTCACCGCCGCGATGTAGCGGCGCCCACTCCCGGCCATCGAGTTGTAGTGCGTCGCACTACGCGTCTTGCCCAAGACCACCAACAGCGTCCAATGGGCGCCACTGTTGATGGGGATGAAGACCGCCTCGGTCTCCAAGAGGGCCTTACCGCCAATCTTGGCGCGGGAGGCCCACCGCTTGACACCATCGTGTCCCTTCTCCTCCAGGTTGTTGAAGAAGAATGATGAGAACGCGTGGTAGGAAGGGACTTGTGACGGTCGGTCGTTCTGTCGACCGTGCTTGACCACGAGTGCGAGGTATCCGTTGATCACCTCGTCGTTGAGCCATCTGTCTGTGCCTCGGTTGTTGCTGGAGAGAGGGACGACGCGGGTAAAGTCACTGGCTTTGAAATTGCCGTGACCGTGCTGGAGAGCGAGCTGGATGCGATCTTCCCATTCGGCTGCAAGCTCGGCGATGTTGTAAAGGTGTTTTTCTTTGGCCAGAAGCTCACGCTTGGCTTCGGCTCTCGTCCTTCGAGTGGTTCTCTCAACTGAGTGCGGAGAGGCCTTGGGGGTTGGTTTTTCAGGGGTACGGTATTTATCATCGTCGAGTTTGAGCTGCGCGAGCTTCTTTTCGGGTGCCTGAAGAGCAGAGTCTGTAGTGAATGCGTATGCGTCGCCGTCTTCGTTCTCGTCCCTGAGGTCAATTGCGGGTGAAGGAGTGCTCGTGGTTTCTTCGATGGCTGTGACAGGTGCTTCTTTGTCGTCCTCTGATGAGATCCGCTCCGTTGCTTCTGTGGTGATATTTGGTTCAGGAATATCACCTTGGGTGGCTGGGCCGGAGTGTATATCCGTTATCTCGATGTCATCTTCTGCTGGGGCGACGACACTGTGCTGTTCCTCTTCCTCGCTCTCTTGTACGGCAGACTTATTACCGGTGGATCTTTCACCCGATGACTGTACTTGTCCATCGCCAGTGTTTGATTCGATCGGTTCTTTGGTCTCCTCGCGCTCAGCCAGGTTCTTTGACGCGGGAATTGGTGACCCCCCTCCTGCGGTGATCATCCGAAACACGTCGGCGTCCTGTTCTGGGAAAGGCGGTGGGGTACCTTGGAAGAAGGAAGAAATCTCGCCCTTAACGGGAGATCTTACATCGTCGAGGTGATAATTGCCGGGAGAAATATCGCAAGTCGAAGAGATGAAAGACTGTGCGGACGGTGGTGTTTTGCAAACCTTTGCCGAAATCTTCGAGCTTGGCTTTGGAGTATGGAACTTTCGGTCCTTGAAGCGTGATGGCGACAACAAGGAACTGTTGAGAGGTGTGGGTGGTGCTTCTGCGTCAGCTGCGACTACTGCTGCTTGCACGACAATGATAGGTTTGGTTGTAGGGGTGTTGGGCGAGTCGACGCTCAGACCTGCGGTCTGGAATCTCTTTGCACTGTGGCACGCGTTTCCTTCGATCGCTCTCGACCCTTGGATATCTATGCGTCTCTTTCTCGATGTCGTGACTGATGAGACCACTGTGTTTCCTTCCGAATCGCTTTCGGTGGCAGTAGAAAGGTTATTTTGCAGCTGCGCGCTTGGCGTAACTGACTCTGTGGTTGCGACTGAGGCTGCGGGTGAGGGAGGTGACGAAGGTGCGGTAGGGCCTGGGGCGAACTGCGGAAACGGAGAATGAAGTCGGACGCTTCCTGCTTCAGGAAGGGTCTTCCGGACAACGTGCTCTGGGGTTGGGACAGTCACTGATTTCAATGTTTGTGGTGGAGGGATTTGTGGCATGCCAGGGAACGCATCCTTAAGACGTCTGCGCCGGATGACCTTCTTGGGTGTGACATGTTTGTTCGTTGGTCGCAAGAGGCGAGCAGGTCGAAACTCTGGGACCTCAAATGGAATCTCTTCTGTAGCTACGTCTTCTTGGATTTGCTTCTTTGGAAGAGTAAATCTGACGGTTTCCTGCGGTGGAGGGGTTGAGGGAGGAGTGATCAAGACCGTTTCCTGCTGTTGAGGAGTTCTGGGAGGAGGGGTCTGAATGACGACACGTCGAGCTGGGCGCGCTTGAACGGCTCGATTTCGTGGAGCTTGTTGAGGTGGAGGATCGGCTCTGCGAGCTCGCTGCATGTGTCTGACCTGCCGAACAATAGCATATGTTGGCACTGTGACAACGGTCGCAGTCGCATTGATGGTAGCGCGGATAAGACCTCTGCAGACTCGTTTCGCTGCAGGCAGGACAGGCAGGAGGAACTCTTCGAGACGGGTTCGTCGGCGCACGGGATCGAACAGTCCAGTGGTACGGAATTGAGGGGTCGGAGGTTGCTGGGGCCATCCGCCTGGCATGTAATCGCCTTGATATGGGTTGAAAAGAGGTGGAGGAGTCTGAGGGACCCAGTCCATGAAAGACGAATTGTCAGCCATGGCTGTGGAATTGGCGAGTGAAGCTTGAGCTGTAGGTGATCACAGTAGAAGAAGGAGACAAAGGAGTTTGAACTGGTGAAAGAGTTCAAGCTGAAGCCGAGAAAGAGGAGTAGAAGCAGCAGTTCGAAGGTCTCAAGGAGAAGCATGGAACTGGTATGATGGGGCTCGGTTTGCAGGACGCTGAAAACGCTGTAACAAGAGTCGAAGAAGGAGAACAAAAGAAATCAGTCAAGAAAGTGAAGACGGTGATTGTTCTGTAGTTGTGAAGATGAAGGATGGATTGAATCACAAAAGATGCGCCAGATGATGCAGACGCGACTTTCTCCAAATGCGGCCTCGCTCGGATTGGTCACACGGTTATTTACCGGCGCCAAGCATCCACCCCGCCCACTGCGGCGATGCATATCCGGTACCGCCATTGCCGTCTTCCTATTGACGGAATCCCAGATGCTGTGCAGGTGGCCGTTGTTAACAGTACCTCCACAATCACGTCCATTCCCATGGTTTCAGAGCTATTCAAGGAGGATTCATGCAGAAACAATAATCCATATCAACCATTATGGTTTGTTCTAGCAGTATCATAGTATAGCCAATACGCTCCAGTTTGATGCAACACATGTTGTTGGCTGGTGTAAGGCGGACGAGGTACGAGGATTGGTTGGAACTAGAACGAGAGGCTCTATTGGCATAACCTCTATTCTACAGGCTGTGCCGGAAGCAAGCCCAACAGGATCACAGATGATGCGTAGTCGGATTTATGCTCGGAAGATATTTGCGATTGAGATTGAGGTAATGGAGGTGACTAGCGTCAGTCACTATAAAGGCGCTGAGGTTGGCGTTGCAGGACTTGAGATATCCCGTTCAAGTCAAACAGCCAGAAAATCTGAACCAATTTCGTCACGAGCAAGCCGTTTGTGTGTAAATTCCCCGTGGAAATATATCTCCTATACGGCTCTCCTGGCAGGAACCACTCGTAAGTGTCCTGAAGCGGGTGATAACCGAAATAGTATGTATTTGGTTCGAGGCAGGAAAAGTGACGAGCGTACACCTCGTTGGTGTCGAAGCCGGCTTTCAGTCTTCGATGGCATCTCTTCTGCTCCTAGCGATTACTGGTTTCGTATTTCGTGGAAGCGGGAAAGTGTCCATGTCCAGAACATGTCTCAGGCAGGGTAAATATCCAGGTCGCTGTAGCAAGGCCTTCCAGAGTTTCATTCAACAGCAAGGCCGACATGCTTGAATAAGATGGGAATGCCTTCTATTGCCCACCACGCGATCCCAGAATAGACAATTAGTTTGGTCACCACCTCCACATCGTACCTGACTCTCGGCCTCTGTATTGTCGAGAAAATTCGTTGCTCTTGTAACTCATCCGCTGATGAAACATCTCGAGGATTCTGTGCTTCCTCACCCGGTGGTAACACGGGTAATGGTGAAAGTGCTTCGACACCGGTGCCCATCTGTGCTCTAAACATCTCGACACTGCTTGATCTTTTCCTGCCATGACTTGTATCCTTATTCTCAAAATAACCACAATCCAGTGAGGGCGAAGGCGAGACTTCTTCCTTGGTGGAACTCAGTGTCTCGGGCGCATTTAAACTGTCCCTTCTTTTCTTGTTGCGGTACGCCAGTGTTTCATATGCATCGGCTTCGGATTGAGGGCCAACAGATATCGCTCGCCGGCGACGAAAGTTGGACAGCAGTCCAGGAATCTCCCTTGCCTGAGGGATGATGTTGTCGTCGTTTGGCTGTCTCGGTATAGTCTCATATTCCGAGGCTGGCTTGAAGAACCGTCGTGGCAAGGTAAGACCGAATTGCTCAATGACTCGGAAAATTGGCGGAAGAACTTTGAGTAAAGTCGGTTTCATAATGCCTCTCCATGCAAAAATGACAAGCACCCCAAGAACGATGCGAGCCACTAAAACCAGCCACCCCATCTTCTGGAGATCGAATGGAATGGTACCTTTGGTGGGTAAGGACCAGGCGTATGATGTTCGAGCGAAGTGCCACCCAGCATATTCGCAGCCGATGAAGACGCCAGCAAAGGAGACGCTGTCATCGAAACACGGGCAGTCATCGGCCGGCTCGGGATGGATTCGAACCAGCACGAGAATGATCAGTATGACAAGCAAGACTCTTTTCAAATCTCCTGCATGGAGCCAGTCATCAAATGTCGGGCCGTACGCAGCCTGCACCAGGCCCAGGACGGCACCAAGGGCGCTTCCCCAGATCACATCGAAGAAGCCGTGCATACCACAGTAAAGCCGGCCGAGAACGATGGAAATGGCATAGAAATAAGCCGCGATTTGTAGGCCAGATTTTACATTTGGATCCATCTCATTCGGCTGATGAAGCAAGTACAGAGAGTAGACTGCAACGGAAACGGCATTGGTGGAATGTGTAGATGGAAAGCCATACTCGAGGGCAGCAGAACCAGACATGGTGATTCGAGTCAGGGGAGGTGACAAGGGACGAGGCAGACATAAGAGGTCCTTGATGAAGCCGCTGAAGAAGACGCCCGCAGCTAGGACATGTACCATCCTGTCCCGAGGTCAGAATCCCAATCCGAGCGCATATTGGCATATACATACGCCCTTGCCAAGCGTGTATTCCCACACCAGAAGAGTATCGGCAACATGATCATGAAAAATGTGTGTGTTCCCAGATTGGCCGTAAAGGCGAAGTAGGTGTCAAGGGCACCAGACCGTAGGGTATCTTGCAGCCACGCAACATATGGGGTCTCCCATCGCACAATCGGGAGGAGCTGTTCTCTGAATTGGTACCGCCATGACGGCAGTCTGAGCTTGTCTGAAGAAATGGTAAGCAGCGTGTAGCGGCGTTTATCAAGAGGCATACAGTGATCGAGCGACCTCAATCCGGCGTCTGGTCTATCTTTCTGCTTCTCCATTTTTGTGTGTGTGGACGTTAGCCGAGGACGCCGTCCATCGACGCTGGCCGTCGTCCACAACAGGTACTTTTTCCCTCCAGCACGGCATCAAGATCTAGTGGAAAGGACGAGAGCTGGCGTCAACTTGACATGGTGTGCATTGTTGTTCCGGATCCCAGTGACAGTGGTGGGCAGTTTCGTGGCTGTGCAGGGAGTAAGTTGGAGATGCGCAGTGTGCGACCTATCTCATTTGCAGGGTCTTCTATCAGTCCAGCTCAAAGCACCACATGGACTACGCGAGAGATGGACTTGTAACATGGATCTTCCCTGCGACAGAAGCAAGCCAGGACACCGCAGTGTCGCGACTGGACGAGATTTGAAGCGCAAAAGAGGGGCGGTGCTGCATAAAACGTGTGTTTCAAGTGGGCTTTGGCAGTGTTACCTTTGGCAACCACCGTCGCAGCGGGTGTAAACATTGAGGCAGGCGCAACTCCGCCGATGTCATACCTTGATCGCAGGATATCACCACGGAAATCCTTGACACACATCTTGTTGTGCCTGCATATGAAAATCCCACAGTCGATAGCCTGCATATAATACTGCCGCACCCGTGTAAATACTGTCTTCCTCACGCGTATAGCGAACCATAGGCAGCTGAACAACCTCCCACTTCACCACCATGGCAGACACTGATCATTATCCCTCACGAACACCCACCATGTCAGAAAAGACCCCTTCATCATACATTACACCACCCTCGCCGAAGAGAAGACCGGTCCGGGCTCCTAGCACGCGGACGAGTAACGGCACGGTCAGCACAAACATGAGTTACGGCAGCGTGGGCAGGCTTTCGGAGGCCACCAACATTACCCAACCGCCTTCGTACTCGAAGAAGTTTGTCGTGGTCGGTGACGGAGGCTGCGGGAAAACATGCCTGTTGATTAGCTATGCTCAGGGTTATTTTCCAGAGGTAAACAAGAAGAGCACTGTACAGGCAGGATGAGTGGCTGACCAACCGTCCGCAGAAATATGTACCGACCGTGTTCGAGAACTACATCACCCAGACCACACACAAGCCTTCAGGCAAGACAGTCGAACTTGCGCTATGGGATACAGCAGGGCAAGAAGAATACGACCGACTGAGGCCATTGTCATACCCAGAAACAGACCTCCTTTTCGTCTGTTTCGCTATTGACTGCCCCAATTCACTCGAGAATGTCATGGACAAGGTACTACATGTTTCTTTGCTTCTCGACACGCCTACTCACTCATTTTACAGTGGTACCCCGAAGTCCTGCACTTCTGCCCAACTACGCCTCTCATCCTTGTAGGCTTGAAATCAGACCTCCGGACCAAGCGTACCTGCATAGAACTCCTGCGCACCCAAGGACTCACACCAGTAACACCTGACCAAGGAGCTGCGGTCGCTCAACGCATGGGCGCCAAGTACATCGAATGCAGCGCCAAAGAGAACAAGGGTATCCAAGAGGTCTTTGACCTGGCCATCAACACTGCGATTCAGATGGAAGAGGAGAGTTACGAAGTGAAACCGGACAAGAAGGGCGTGAAAGTCAAGAAGGCCAAGAAGAGGAAGTGTGTTTTCTTATGAGCCCGGAAACAAACACATGAATTTTCAATCTTCACGGCCAGGAGTTTGGTTTCTCCCTGGTCGGACCACGGGTTCAACTGGCTATGTATGAGGTACGCATATGTGGATGGCGTTGGATGCACCGAAACCTGCATCATGAGGCGTTGTAACGAGACTTTGCTGTTTTTCAGGATAGACGCTGCTGCTCCGGTGAGCATTGCAGCCACTGAACATCCGGTCCGTACAAGCAGCCGGGTTGTAAACTGCCCAAATGTTCAACACGGCACTCTCTTTCCCCAGACCCGTTTGCTGCATGTCATCGGTATGTCAGAAAGATGCCACTCTCCTTTCCACGCCCGTTTGCCGCATCTTATTGGTATCCTGTGGCCGGAAGATGCCGTGGTATTCTTGGTTTCGTGCCTGCTCGTGCTTTACCATGATGTTTCCAACCTATAGTTGACCATCCAATTGGTCTCCCGGCCGGAGTTTCAAAATCGTTCGCTCAGCAGCGGGAACAGTCCTCACTGAGATCGAACACTCGTCGCGTCGAGAAGCCCGCAGAGCTAAATTACCAATCTTCTCATCTCTCCGGCGCGCCCGCCTCTCCCTCGTGATTCGCGTTCCCGCCCGCCGTCGGATCTGACGACGAGTTGTGATCGTGATCGTGGTTGTGGTTGTTCGCGCCGTTCGAAGTTTCCTCTTCCGACCGGCCCATTACGGTCTCGAACTGACTCCACAGAGCCTCGACGCTCGAGAATTCGTTCCCGATCTGTATATACCACATCAGACATGTTTAAGCACACCAGAACCGTAGCAACGAGGCACGACACCGCATGAGAAGGACCCAGTACCAGTACCAATAGGCGTGAGAGTGTGCACAGGGTATTATATAGGTAGGTACGTACCTCGATGATCCCCTCGAGGCTCCGATTCAATGCGTTCATGTGCGCAAGGACCTGTTCTAGGGACTGTTTCCACCGTCGTCCGCGATGGGACACAAAGTCAGTAACTAAACTAGTTGGACAGTTCAATGGAGTCAGGGGTCCGTGTATAGTGGTCACGTATATATCCATGGCAATGGGAGCCGCATAAAGCTCGTGCTGATGGGGAGGTAACACGGCAGGGGAGAAGGGTGTCTTGCTTGCTTCGGTCTCCCATTCCGCTGGCCATGCATACATATATGACACACACGATGATATGATGCCTCAAGTGTGTAGGGTGGGAAAGATGAGATGTACTGTATGTACTGTATGGACTCACCTCTCCGATATCACCCACAAATGCCGCACGACGGAGTTCGAATTCGCTGTGCTGATGGGCCGGCGCCGACGCATCGCTGGTCTGGTTGGTATTCGATGTTGCCATGTATGCGTGCTCGGTACTTGTTGCGAGTCTCGACGAAGGTATGAACGCGGTGTGCTTGTATGATATACGCGGTCATAATCCGACGCGTTTCTGAGGGTCCCGATCACAAGATGACGATGAATACCTAGGTAGCACAGCACTCCTGGATCACTTGTTGAGGTTTTGGACAAGGAGTGGCTTCGAGTCTCATTGTAGTTGGGAGTTGAACTACCCTGCAATCTACATATGTGCCTTCCTGTATCTACCGCCACACAGTGGATCCCGCGCTGTGGCTCGCCCACCAACCGAGGGCTCACACTCAAGCTTATGCTCATCAATCAAAAAGAAAAAGAAGAAAAGAGACCTTTCATTGAGAGGAGTGGGATTCGAACCCACGAGGTTTCCCACTGCGGTTCATGTACAAAGACCTAAACACAGCGCCTTAAACCACTCGGCCATCCTCCCGGGGTGAAATTAGAGTCAATTTTCGGACCTTTGGTATATGTGAATACAATTTTGTAGGGTGAGTGGCTAAGCGGTACGGGCGTCTCCGAGGGGGCGCAGGTGACATCGATAGGACAGAGTTTACGGAGTGGTTAGGCGCTAGTTAGGTGGGTTAGCACATGACTTAGGCGCTTCTGGTGCTCCCCGTGTCCCCGTCATTGTGTGGTGGCACGGGTGGTCACCGGGTCCGCGGAGGACTTCGGGGAATGACTGTGTACTCCGGACGAGCTCAAATCTCTTGACAGGACTCTTTTTCCTATACAATAACTCATGCGAGCGTGCTTTTTCGTCCTTGCTCACGGAATATCAGAAGATCCCGAGAAGAAGATGTGATTTTGGAATCTCAAGTTCTGAATCGTTTTCTTAATCGTCACTCTTTTGTCTATCGTATACGGTTCAAGTGCTACAGAAGTGGGAATCGTTGGATCTTTCGTCCCAAATTCTCCATCTATTAGCGTCGCGTCTGCTGGTACAACCGTCCCGTGACCTCAATGATCGTGATCTCGCAAATGGCCTTGTGACCTCAGACTTCAAGCATCTCCTCGGCCAGAGGGATGTCCTCACAAGATAATCATTCCATCCTCGACAGGATTGATCGTCGAAATGCTTGCCGTAAGTGCTGTCTCGGGCGTGTCCTCCCGTCCATATGCGGACAGTCTTGGAGGCACGATCTGCGGGATGGGGGGTTACCTTCTGCCCGTTTCTGCAGATCGACACTCTGCATTTCCGGAAGCGCGTTCGGCTGTGGCTAGAGTGGTTCACCAGCAGAAGTCTCTTTGTTTGCGGCTCAGATCGCAAATGCCGGAGCATGGCTGATCTTCGTCGAATGCGGGTGCGCTCGTGATGCTGGACTCAAGAGTCCACCACTGGTCCCAAATCCCCAGGTCTCGAGGTTCCGAGGCTGCGGCGAAGCGCGGGTGGTTGGGAGCGGCAAATCGCATCGACGTGCCTGATGTAGTTTTGCCGCTCGGGTCGGACCTCGCTTTGAGAAACATGCAGTCATGCTCTGACGAGCGGTTTCCCTTTGGTCCTTATGCGATTTTGAATTGCTCGGGTTGCGAAATTGAAAAGGCGAAAAACGCGAGGCCGATCAGGACCAGCTAGCCGACCTCGCGGTGCTTGCTGAAAGATTGATGAGCGTTCGATATGCCGTTGCTAAATGCAAAGTGTTCGCTAAGAAAGGCTCTTTGGTGCTCGTCAAGGGTATAGGTCATGATTGTTGCTGTGCGTGCCGTCCATCTAGTAGTTTCGTGCTCGTATGTCATTCACCTAGAGAGAGAAGTGACGACAAGCCTCACTTCTTGCCGCCTGACAAGAGGCGAGAGAGCCGTTTCCGTCGGGGCTTCTCCTCGGCAGGTTCGCTGTCACCACTCGACGAACTGGTGCTTCTCGAGCTGGCTTCGGATGAAACTCGAGCCCGAGCCATGTTAGCAGCGCCTATGATATCCTCCAGCCGGACATCATCTTGAGGGGATGTCGTCTGGTAACCCGGCTCGAGGATCTCGGTGAATTTGGAAGGCATTGTAGCGAAAGTGCGTTTCTGTCCCGGATAGAGCAGTATCGTATGCTTCTTGGGAGTGTTACTGATTGGATATCCGAGAACGAGATCCTTCGAACGAGTGTCGATAACGAGGGTGAAAAATAGCAAGGAAGACGAGTGTTGTACTAATGGAGAAGGAAAGAGTCGGGTTCAAGGGCGGGAGTGTTCATCTTGTTATTTCTGTCCCTGTTCGTCGACGGCACACGATCACGTTCCGCCTGTTCAGCAGAATTTGCTCGCGTCGGTTTGCCCACGGCCAAGCGTTTGGAAGCCCAATAGAGACTCCGTGGCTTGGACGCCGGCTTCGTCATTCCCCTCCTCCGTCGACTTCCCCGGGATGGAAAGGATCGGTGGTCCCAGTAGTCTGGCTAGACCCTCGAGAGCCAGAACCGAGGCCGGATCTGTCCATAACAGTGGAACCCAACTTTTTCAGGGTCTACACTGTGGCGTTCGTGGGCGGCCAAGCCCCATCAGGGGTCGAGAGCTCTCGAGGATCGACCGCCCGGAGCCATTCATCGCAAAGGAACATTCAGGGAACAACACGTGGCCACGGTAAGAGTTTCTTTGTGCCACGGAGAAGCGTACGAAGGACTCGTGCTCGTAAGAGTACACAATCAAGCCACGTCGGCAGTAGGGAGATCGTCCCACAACACACAACGATCTGCCTAGTGAACAAAAGGGGAAGGTCCCATGCGAGTGCCGACGACGCCTGCCCACGCATCTCGCAATTCGACAACACACAGGACGAGTAGGTAGTGGCTAAGCACTGCATACTTAGGCAGACCGATTGTTGTCCGGTTGGATTAGCGACAGAGCATTCATTGCCTTGCCTTTTCTGGCTCGAGTTTGCCTCCTAGAGTGAAACCCCTCGAGTCGCTGTCCATGGTCGCCGTGTTCACACGAACTGCTTGAGCTTATTCGGCTTTCACAATGGGTCATTGCGGGTTGACGGAGATCTGGCGACTATCGCCTGCCGTAGACAGTATTACGGTAAATAAGGTTGCTGTTTATTTGTTTGTTGAGCGGATCGGGTCCGCTGGAGCCGGGGGGGCAAAATTGTTGTGGCTCTTGGCGTCCGGCACCTAGAACACCAACTCTGTTCTACAGTACCCACGCGTGAAAGGCTGACTTGCATTTTACGAGGACGGGCTTGAGAGCGACCTGTTTCAGCTGCCTGTGATCTTCGGGACCCTCGTGAAGCGACGACAACAGGAGCATAACCTCCGGGCAAGCCCACTCCAGCGTGGCAATAACGCATCGAGCAACTGTTGTGAGCTTGAGAACACCGCGCTGCATCCTTCCATCCGTCCCGACTGTATATGTCCCTGCCCCTTCATCGACGATCGCCCAATATACTGTACGTCCTGGGTGGAGCTTGTTGCTATCTTGGACAACATTCACGACCAAGCTTCTGGGGATGTAATTCTTGACCACCTTGCATAGCTCGGTCGATGCTTGTCCCAATGGACGCTAACGCAAACGCGGCGGCGTGCCCATTGTTTCACTTCCTGGTGGTATTTGATTTGCAATAGACATGAGTGCTGCCTACAGCTCGTCTGAACATGTCCTCCTCTGGAAATTCTGCTTGTTGGTCCATCTCAGGTGAGTCGGGCACGCACGTGATCCCATTTTCTTTCGAAGAGGCAATCTTGCATGTCGTTGGAGAATTATGTCGTCCTGCATTTTCGCGTGTGCAGCAACACGAAGGCGGCGCGGCGCATCTCGGTTCATCAGGTGTTTACCTCGGGGAATGGCTTGCGGTTTTGCCCTGGGGATCCCTCGAGGATCAGTGCTCGTAAGCTAGTCCTCCATCTTGGTGTCGGGCCCTTCGCCGTTCATCTCGACGCCCTTGGCAGCAGAGATCCACAAAACATTGTTGCATCTAGATCACCCAGTTGTCAGCTATTTTCACAGGGATTCAGATTCACCCGTCGCCGTACCTGATGAGGACTTGCCCCAAAGTCCCGGTATGCTTCCTGTCGATATACTCCTCTGTGTTAGAGAGCTGGATGTTCATGTACGAGTCGACGCTGATGAGACGGCCTTTGTATTCTGTTTGTCCCCATTTTAAGCGGATGATGACTTCCTCGTTGATCCTTCAGATAATGAGCGTTAGAGATTTTGTATGAATATCACCAGAAGCCCGGTATCGTAGGCGGTTCTAGCGCATCAGGAAATCGGGGTGAAGGACGTACAAGCTCTGGAGCAAAGGCCGTGGGTTTAGAGGAGTGAACTGCAACAGGTTAGCTGCAGCTGCACCAGAGTCGGACATAACAACATACATTCATGATGTCGTTCGGTCACTTAGTATGATGCTGGCTGCTTTAGACAGTAGTTGCGATCCGAGAAGAGTCTTGTGGTAGACGTGGTCTTGGAATTGGTTACGTTGCACGCGTGCCAGGCGCATACGAGATTCGCAGCGAAAAAGTCATGCCAAGCCTAGTCACTGAGCAGGCAAGGCTGGACGCCAGCCTTGCCTGTATCCTCACCTGCTCCTCTTGGGTGCCTTTCAATCCTGTGCATTCCGTCCCTCTACAAGCATCATCATGCTCGCCTTATTGTCCATTTGATATCCTTAATGCTCACTTCCTCGGAAGCTTTCTCGTCATAATCGAACCACTCTCCCTCTGACAGGTCAATCCCGCTGAACTTGGTCCCAGACTCGAGCCCAGTAGCCTCCCACTCGCCCTAAATGCCGAGTCAACCTACGCCACAAAGATCTCGACTGATGCATCACGTACATCTGGCTTGAAGTCCGTAAATTCTAGGCCGCGACAGTCGATCTCAATGAGATTCTTAGCTTTGGCAGGTGACTGCTGCTCGTATTTTGCTGGCGCTGCCTTGATGGTGGCGCTTGACTCTCTCTAGATAGATGACACTGCTGTCAGGAAATGATGGACCTTCGAGATAGCATCGAAGAATCATTAGTACAGACCTTGCAGTTCTTGCACTTCCACACGAAATTTGCTTCACCCCGACTGCCTGATTGTTCATTCATCTCCTACCATCCCGGGTTAGACTTTAGGACACTCGAGTCATTCCGGAAGCCGTTGAAAGTCGGCTGCCGCAGCAATGCCCGTCCTGTGAGGGAACACCGCAAACCAGCTGCTCCTAGCAGACTACCATAGTGCCGGAACCCAGTCGTCGAACCCAGAGCAGACTTACATGACGACTGAAACCGACCCAATTGGCATGTATTTCTCGACAGGACGTACACTGGACTCTGAATGTGTAATAGTAAGGTGATTCAGCTGTGTCGCGTGGAACGAGGTCGGTCACACTAGCCAATGATCAGTCATGGGAAGTTATCGATTAGGTGTGTTCTTGAGATGTACCCTTCTAGTTCTGCGGACAAGGCCAACGCTAGCATCTTGATAACTGAGAGCCAAGGCAGACTAGATATGGCAACCGTACGTTTCTAGGTTCGCATCCTTCGTAAGTGAAGGAACGTGGATGTACCTATTGAAGGAGCCAACGCGAGTGCGAAAAAGACGTCATTTGAAAACCTTTTGATGGACTATTATTTTTGTGAAGTGCCAACACAGTCAACCCGTCGAAGAAATCAAAGCTAAAGACAATTGCAGAGACTAATAGGGTCTCGCTTGCAGCGCGGCAGCAAAGATCTTGGATATCGTGTTCTAGTCGTACCGCAAACCAAGTCTGAGTTGCTGGTGATGGCGCCCAAGAAGAAGAAGAAGCCAGCAGCGAATCCCGCTCGAGGCTTCGCCACCACTTCTCTACCCTCCAAATCGAAAACGGTCGCTGAGACTGACGATGTTTCTGTCGTCGATGATCAACCGACGCGGGCAGCCGGGGGTGACGCGTCCGTTCATGTGGGTGAAGATCCAGGACCTACTGATAGCAAGCAGCCTACAGATGGCGTTCAGATCCAAGATATGACTCCCGAGGAACTAGAAGCTCATCTGGAGAACTCCGAACTGAACTCAATGCTTGACAAGCACGGTCCCAGAGTTATCGCCGATGCTCGGCGTCAGGTCGCCAGACTAGAGACTGAACGACGTCAACTGCGCCTTCAAACGCAGAAACTATCCACTTACAACTGGCTGTCAGAAGAGATGATTCGTGAGCTGTCTGACATGGCGATTGAGGATGAACGCGGCACATCAGCTGCAGGCCATATCAGGCTCCATGAAACTGACGAGGAAAAGCTCGTCCGGGACCTGTGGACCTTGGAACGAGTCTTAAGATCCCTGAACTTTCCAAAAGTGTCTGAAGCCATCGCGTATATCGCAGAACTTGCCCTCTCGAACCAAGTGAAACCCCTTATCGATTCTGTGCCTGGCCTAGCCGAGGCGCTGCAATGGTATGCCGGGAATACTCAGTCTGACGAGCTCACCCACTATGAGCAGACAAGTACCACAAAAACGGAGCGAAGCGGTGGAAGCACTCCGGCTCAGGTATCATCTGGTGAGTAAAGCGGCTTTGCGATCTTTCGGCGGCTTCCTTCTTGTGATTCAGTGACGAAGTAACCCAGAAACGCCTCTCTGGGGCCATTCAGGAGATGGACGCACGGGATGTGGAGTTGAAACTGCTGGCCATGTTGAGATCCTGAATGGCCTGCGACTTCAAATTTGGTGTTATGGAAAGCTGACAAGAGGACAGAGCCGACAACTGTTACTCACAGTAGACAAAGCCCTGCTTCAACTCCTCCGAAAGTCTCGGACGCAGAGGACGTTGCGCTTACCTCTTCAGACAGCGAGGAAGAAGACGACCCTTCCAAGCTGACGGACAGATACATCCGAATCCAATCACTGATATGGAATGTCCAGAACCAGGCCTTCGATGATCGTCAAGATAAGGGACCCATGAAAGAGAGGAGGTTGATTAGGTGGAACCAGAAGTTGCAACATATACTCCGTGATCCACTCTTTGACAAGTGGGAAGCAGAATCTCAATGGAGAGCCAACTTGCTGGAACTCCAGGCCGTACAACAGCAGCGCATGCGTGTAGCAGCTGCTACTCGGCGCGGGAAGAAGAAGCAAGATCTTTGTGAAGAGACGGTAAGCAGCGACCTAGAGGCAACGGAGACCACATTGGAAGAACATCAGAGGGATGGGGACGATGACGCCCTCCTAGGCGGCATGTTTGGAGAGTCTGAAGATGCTCCTTGTGCTGCCCAAAACCAGACAGCCTCTGAGAGCCCGGTGAAGATTATCGCCTTCCCAAAGTGGACAGGAATATCACCGAGAAGACTGTTGGAAGAATTGTGTAAAACTCACGACTCGAAATCTCGAGTGCGGTTCAGAGCACTGGTCCAAACTTCATATTCAGCCAGACACGAACTAGAGATCTCCTGGGCCGTCGACATTATGCTCGAAGCTCACACGGTGGCCGCGCTGCCGCGCGAAATCTCCGCGCAAATAACTGAGCGGAACTGGACTCTGGGAATGAAAGACGTCGCAGCTGCAAATAGTACGCAGTCCGAAGCTTACATCTCTACCCTCGCCCTCTTTCTACTCTCAACAATCGGACCGGGTGAGGCACGAGCTACTGGCCGCCTGCCAACTGTCTGGCGTGACTTGTTCAAGGATTTGGCCGACGACAAGCAAGCTCTGGTCAATGAGGAACACAAGACAACCCTTCGTCGGTTACGAGCACTCGTTCACGAGACGGAAGACAAGTTAAAGCAACAACAGGACCCACCCCTCAATGCTCGTGCACAAATGCCGAACCTTTCGAAAGAGCGAAGTCGGCCACGGTCATCGGCTGCCACGAAGATCAGCCCGGAGCAGGTCTCTAGGGAATGGAGCTCCAGGACTTCTCGACCATCGTTCCAGCAAATGCTCGAGGTTCGTCGGCAACTGCCGGTACACCAGTACAAGGACAGAATACTGTCGTGCATTGAGGAAAACCCGGTTAGTGTCATCTGTGCAGAAACCGGCGCTGGGAAGTCCTCTGGGATTCCTGTGCTGCTTTTAGAGCAAGCATTTGCTACTTCTCGAGATTGTCGCATACTGGTCACTCAACCACGAAGGATCTCGGCTGTTACACTGGCGAGGCGGGTGTCTCAGGAGCTTGGAGAGAGTCGGAACGATATTGGGACGATCCGATCACTGGTCGGGTATGCCATACGGTTAGAGAGCAAAACTAGCAATTCCACAAGAATCACATATGCTACCACCGGTGTTCTGCTCAGAATGCTGGAAGAGTCTACAGATCTTGACGACTTGGACTATCTCATACTTGACGAGGTACACGAGCGGACCATGGACCTGGATCTGCTATTCATTGCATTGCGAAAGTTGCAGAAGCGGCGGTGTAGCCTGAAGATCATTCTCATGTCAGCCACCGTCAGCGCGAAAAAGTTTTCCGACTACTTTGATGGTGCACCAGTGCTGGATCTTCCTGGCAGGACGTTTCCAGTTGATGTCAGGTTCTTAGAGGACGCAGTTGAGGCCGCCAACGAGCTTGGCGGAGTCAATGATAAAGCTCTGGTCCTTCAAGACGAGGGTACGGATTTCGATGAAGCCTATGCGGACGAGAAGGGGCGACCCGTCATCATGGAGCCAGCGAAGTACAGCAGTCAAACACAACATACAGTCGCCAACATGGATGAGTATCGAATCGACTACAACCTCATCGCAAGACTCGCTGCATGTATTGCTACGGGACCACAGTATGCCAAGTACAGTGCTGCTCTCTTGATCTTCATGCCCGGCATAGGCGAGATGCGACGTCTCCACAGCCTTCTCCTGTCTATGGACACGTTCAGTCGCAACTGGGTTGTTCACCTGCTGCATTCGACCTTCTCGACCGAAGAACTCGAGCGAGCATTTGAACGGCCTCCACCCGGTCACAGAAAGATCGTCATCGCAACCAACATCGCTGAAACGGGCATCACCATTCCCGACGTGACGGCCGTGATTGACACGTGCAAGGAGAAAATCATGCGCTTCGATGAACGTCGCCAGTTATCCCGGCTAACGGAGGGATTTATATCTCGCTCCTCCGCACGCCAACGCAGAGGTCGCGCTGCCCGTGTCCAAGACGGTCTCTGTTTCCACCTTGTTACCAAACATCGACATGACAACCAGATGCTCGAGCAACAGGTCCCAGAAATGCTTCGGCTGAGCCTGCAAGATCCGATGTTGCGCATCAAGGTTTGGGATCTGGGCTCGATTGAGGAGACGCTCAATGCGGCCATTGATCCACCTTCCAGGAAGAATATCCTCCGGGCAATCGAGAAATTGAAGGACGCAGGTGCACTGACGAAGAATGAAGGACTCACGCACCTGGGCCAGCAGATCGCGAAATTGCCCCTCGAGGTTTCGTTGGCAAAACTCGCGATCTTTGGAGTGATTTTCAAATGCTTGGACCCTGTGCTGACCATGATCTCCCTCTTGACTTCCAAATCACCCTTCCTGCCAGGCCCAGCCGCCAGCAGTAGCGGGCAGCAACCTAACGCGCGACTCAGCTTCAGTAGAGGCGAGTCCGATCTCTTGTCCTCACTCCACGCATACGAGAGCTGGAAAAAGGCCAGACTCGCTCGGACCGCCCAAGACTTCTGCCGCAAGAACCACATCAGCGACCAAACAATGGGTCAGGTCGAAGAGCAGAAGATACAGTTGTTAGTGTATCTCGTCGATGCCCGCCTAGTCGTCCTTGACCCAGACGAGAAAGGACATCTGAACCGAGCACGTTCGTACCACGGCCACGGCCCGCCCAGCTACAGCATTCCAACCCGATACAACCAACCAGTATCCGACCGCGCGCTCAACGCCATCAGTGCCATGGCGCTTTATCCGCGCATCCTCATGCGCGAAGGCAAAGGCTGGCGCAACGTCTACACGAATCAGATCGTCACTCTTACTTCTCGATCGATCAACCATCCTTCCCATTCTGCCAAACCACCGCGCTGGCTGTCCTTCTACGAAGCGATGCAGAACACACGGTCCGGCAACCTTAATGTCTTCGAGACGTCCGCAATCCCGGAGTCCGCCCTCGCGATCCTGCTAGGTAGTGATGTCGAGTTCAAGTTCTACGCCGGCGTGATGGTCTTGGATGGCGGGAAGGTGAAGCTCAGCGTGAGGCAATGGAGCGAATTGATGGCGATCAAGACCCTGAGAGAGAAGGTGGAAAAAGTGTTGCAACAATGCTACAGTGCCCCCAGCCAGGAGGTTGCCGAGCAAGATAGGAAGTGGTTGGATCTTTGGTTGAGGATCGAGGCGGCGCAGGAGTCATGAGGCGCGACATCAGCATCAGCATCAGCATTAGCATCAGCAGAGAGCAGAGAGAGAATAGACGTTGGACCCTGCATACTATGTAATAAAACCTCGTCTGCTCTAGGCCCTATGAACATGCCTACAGTCTTTTGGGGGTACCCGCCCTAGCCCAGGCGCATCATCGCCAGAATGCGGCGGACCTCCCGAAAACAACGTCTCACAACCAGTTCGTATCCTGGTCATCATAAGGATAGACGGATATCTCTCTAGAGGTCACGGTGTCTGCCTACTTATCAAGCAAATATTTAGCGGGTTGGCGCCTATGCAAGCCTAAAGACGCCCAAACGACTGGTAGGGTAGCCGAGGAAAGGGTGATTAAGCCACAACGTTGCGGTTTGGAGCAGAAGGTGGGGCAAGTTCTAGGCGGGGAAGTTCACAGCTCGGGCGTACCTGCGCCTGCGATCTCAGGCAGGGCGTCAAGCACAGTTGTCCCTCAGTGCCGCGTTGCTTGATTGAGTTGTGTTTCTCACCAACTCTCTTCTTCCTTGACATTGCCATGACCCATGCTGTGGCTTTGCCGACACTACTCACTCGAAAGCGGGTGTCGTGTCGGCTCAGCCTGCATTCTTCTGCCCAACTTTGGACATCAGTCGCTTGCCGACGTTGTTCGGGTTGGCGTTATGTCACAATTTCCTAGCATATTCTTCCGGCCACTCGAACAAGGCCAATCTGAGGAGCAAAGGTTGCTGTCTGCCTTGTGTCACCAATCTTGGAAAGGGAGGCATGGGGCTGAGTCTTTCAGCCTGTAGCAGTAACCCGTGGTGTATGGAGGGATATCAAACCAAATCAAGGCCTTTGACACACCAGCAGGCGCTGGTTATCACTTCGGACTTTTTCGAACGCTGTCTATGGAAGGTCTCTTGGAATCACTGGCACTTGCATTGTCCCGGCCACCTCCGTTGTCCTAACACAGCATGAACGGCGAGCAGTCTGTCGAACACCATGAAGCTGCTCAGCCTGCCTGCTGTGTCAACCCTTCAGCAGATCACGAAACCCGCAACGTATGAATACACAGCTCTGCCTTTGGACACGAGCAATCCGAAACTGCGCATTGTCTCGCTCCTGCCCGGTCGCCAACATGAGAAGGTCAAGTGTTCGCTGCAAATCGCCTCCTTGGAGAATGCTCATTTACAGTATACCGCCGTATCATACACATGGGGCAGTACTGAAAAGACGCAAACGGTCGCGTGCGATGGCAAGCAACTGCCCGTCACCAATAACTTATACGCTGCGCTGCGCAATCTGCGAATGAAATATGCGCCGGTCACCATATGGATCGACCAGCTGTCCATCAATCAAAGTGACAGTGCCGAGTGTGAAAATCAAGTTGGTATAATGGGGAAGATATACAAGAACGCCCAGGGAGTAGTCATATGGCTCGGTGAAACTCAACACAATAGCACCCAAGCAATTGCGCTATGTAAGCAAATGACCAAGGTCATTGATGCGCATGACCGAGACATATCCAGAGACATCATCGGTGGGCCTGAGCAATTCGGCTTGCCAAAATGGGCAGATAATGTCTGGTACAGTCTTGGACTTTTGCTTAGGCGGCCGTGGTTCCAACGGACTTGGACCATCCAGGAAGTGGTCATGGCACGCAATGCCGCTGTCCAGTGTGGAAGAGACAATATACCATGGACCTCGCTCAGCAGAGTCGCTTCTTTTTTGGACTTTGAAACTGGAAGACCTTCTGGCGTCGCGAACCCGACAAGCACAAGTCTGACTCACCGCGTGCGACTTATAGACCAACTCAGGGAGGCCCCGATGGATCTGATTGATTTGCTTCTTGAGACCAGAGACTACCAGGCTACCGACGCCAGAGACAAGGTATACGCGCTTCTGGACCTTGCATTATCCGATGTTGCGCCCGACTATACTACAAAGACCGCTGAAATACTGTACATTCAGATTGCAGTTGCATATCTTGCGAGCATACTAGTCGAGCCATGCTCAGAAGAGCTGAGAAGCCGCAAAGTGATGAGTCTGATCAGCCATGCCGGATCTGCGAACCAGCAGCTTCGTTTGCCTTCGTGGGTCCCAGATTGGAGCAGAAGCCTTCAGAGCCGGCCATTTGTACTCCGTCCTTCGTTTTCAATCGATCCTATACCAGGGTACAAAGCTGGCGGACCTGTACTTTCTCAATTCGATATGTTGAGTCATCATCGCTTGCGTCTCAGTGCCATCTTCTGTGGCTCAGTACGTATAGTCGGTAGCAAATGGCTTGCCAAGGGAGATATGCTGAGCCGGAAACAACTCCGCGAGGACGCAGGCGAATGGCTTGCTGAGGCCATGTCAATCAATTACATGGCCGGGCAGACGTATCTGACAGGGGGCCCAGAGAACGAGATTTTCAAGAAAACAGTATTAGCAGGCAGGAACCGATATGGCGACCTGGCCTCACCAGACGATATCCAGACAATGTACAATGGCTGGCGGACACTAGAACAGAGGACTTTCACAATCGAGTACGTGAAAGAACGTATCCATGGTGATCAGTGGCTTTACTTCCATGCAACCATGGCGGCCCAGGGACGGGTCTTCATGCTATCATCACACGGTCATACCGGCCTTGTGCCGCATGGAACCAGATGTGGTGACAGGATCGCTGTGCTTCTGGGCGCGGGAGCGCCAGTAGTGTTACGGCCTGTTGGGTATGACATGGACGGACATCTGTATTCGCTTCTTGGTGGTAGGTGTACCTCACACTATCGTTCTCAGATCGTTCAAAGCTAAGTTTTCAAAACTGACTAGAAGCTTACATTCATGGCATGATGGATGGTGAAGTGACTCGAAACGTACAGCTTGACGACCCTCTGATTGAAGACGTCGTGCTTGTTTAAGGGCGGTCGACCGGTGAAAAACAAAGCAGTCCCGGAAGCGGTGGGTGGCTATTGTGATCTTTGTGCCCGATCGGTATCCTTGTCGCTGAAGAAACAGAATACCCATTAACAGCCATTATGCCGAGAAGGGGTCCACGACTCTCTCTGGCCATGGTATACTAATGCAACCCATTGCCCCGAGTTTATATGTGTATATGTTATATACCTTTTGTCGTTGTCGGATGCCTCCCGGTGGTGGCGCACACGCCGATATATACAATGCGCATCGACCAGTGTCGTCAGCATCGATAGTGCCGGTCTAATCAGACCTATTCGGAAGGAAAGCTCGTTCGCTTCCCGCGCGCAGCGATCCTCGACATACTCCCCGAACCTGTCACCCTCCCACTCACACAGCCGTCCCTTGTTTTCGCTGTTTTCGGCCGACTTGCTCGAGGACGTTCTCAGGCTTATGACGGCTTACCTAGCACGTTCTGCGACTCCAGGAGTTTGCCTCCCACCAGGTGCCATGGCACTGTGTCACGCGTTCGAACGAAACGTGCCAGTCTACGTCGAAACTTTGCGCCCAGCAGAATGCGAACCTCTCGCCGAAGTCGACATCGGTGTTGGAGGGAGTATCCTCAAGCGAAGGCTCTTCGGTGATCTTCTAGCTTCGCTCATTCTCTTGACTGACATAGTAGACCTGGCCGGTGCTAGCCTGGTAGAAGGAAAGTAGCGACCGTTCCTAACCACCGTGAGAGAACTAGTGATAATGAACCACCTTATGTACCGTAGTGGAGATCCGCGCCGAGTCTACCTGTCTCGCTGGTCACCCCTTTGCATCTCTTAAGCGACCAGATGCCGAGCGGATCCGCTTTTCTCCGAAGCTCTGATGCAACTCTAATTCATCCAGCCTCGACATCCTGCAGGACCACTGCTTCTCCCACGGGCAGCTGGCCATGTAGAAAATGCTCAGCTGGTCCCTGGTGCGGCGGTTCTACGGCCACACGGCGATCCGCTGCACCATTTCGAGCTTCAGCACCTTCTCCCGAGCTCTGTACAAGGCCAGCAACCACCTTCCCCCGCGTCCAACCCTGCCCGACGCCGAGATCAAAGAGACGTACGTAAAGGGGACCGGACCCGGCGGTGGGTGGGCGCTTTCCTCCATGGTGTTTGTGTCATCTCACCGAAATGAAGTTCTAACACCAGAGAGCAGGCCAGAAGATCAACAAGACGAATTCCGCGGCTCAATTGACGCACATCCCGACGGGCATTGTGGTCAAGTGTCAGGCCACGAGGAGCAAGAGCCAGAATTATACGATTGCCCGGAGACTTCTGGCTGAGAAGGTAGAGGTGCTGCAGAAGGGGGAGGAGAGTCTGGCTGTCAAGGTGGTGGAGCGCAAGTCGAAAAAGAAGAGGAGTGCGGATAAGAAGAAGCGCAGGAAGTATCGACAGCTTGCTGGGGAGGTGGAAACAGAGAGCAAGGGAGCCGATGATGGCGAGGAGTGTAATGGCTATGGTGAGGCCGATGATGCGGAGGAAGCTGGACCGGAAGACCTTAGGGACGACAAGTCGAACGAGTCCGACGGCCTTCAGGACGAAAAGTTGAATGGGCCGGAGAGCAACAGCGGCAGCTGCAACGCCCCAAAGCGATCAGAGTTCTCGACATGAGTAACTAACCCCCGCAATACACCAGAGTATAAGCATGCGGTTGCCTCACTCGATAAACCGGAGCTGGATGGATACTGCAATAGACCCCAGGTCGCCAGGTACCTGAACTGAATGGGAAACATGCAGGCTAACAGATCAGGTTCCTTCCTGGTTTGTTACCGTGGGCGTATCTCGGCCAGCAGCTGTTCAGCCTCGTATACAACGATGATACAGCCTTACTGTTCGAGTCACGGTGTTCTCGTCGCGCACTCCGACTTTTTACCAGCACTAAAAAACGACAAATCGACAAAAACTCTAACCCAGAACCCGAACTGCTTCGGGGTCTAGGTCGAGGGAAACCCCTTGTGGGATTTTTCTCGTTGTCCGTCAGGTTCTCTCCTGCCCTTCGCCCTCGGGGGAGGGTTGTCATCGGCAGGGACTCGATCTGGACCATCATACAATTTTCCACGTCGGGCTGTATGAGGCAGATTGTCGAATCTGAGTCTGGGGCTAACATGCAATCATAGCACCCAAGAGAAGCTGTCTCATGCCTGGCGAATCACCCTTACGCCCTGCAGGTTTGTTGGTTTTGGCGACACCTGACAGAACACGGGATAGACACAAGAATTTGAGAGCGATTCTGTCGGAATAAAATATAAACACACCATTTTCGATTGGGCCGAGGGGAATGTTTTTGCGGATGGCGGGTCCGTGCGTACCAGGTATTGGGTGACCATTACCAAGACTTCACTTCACCCACAGTGAGCCTGCCAATGGTGAGCTCCCTACTCGGTGGCTGCTTTCAGGCTGCTCGAGTCGCAAAACATCGATTACACTTGACTACGGATATGGGGTGACAGCCTTTGCGTTGGTCCTTTTTGTCCCATTTCGCTCTCCACTGTTCTTCAGAGCAATACCCTTCCGCAAGTATCACCGTCACCCTGCGCATTGATCACGAGTCTCTTAGCACATAATGAGATTCTGCAATGCTTTCGCCTTCTCCTTCCCACTCGTCTTATTACCCCTCTCATTCTTCCTTGCTGCGACATATCTCCCTGCCGAAAAAGACGTACCTCTTCCAACTTCATCAGCTGTTGACTTCCGCCAATTCTGGAGATCCGCCGTGAAGAAAGCGATGAATGAAACACACGTCTTCGTTTCCCCCAATCACCCCTACATCCACGTATGCTCTGCGCTGCTCCGCTTCTGACCACCCTCGGTACTAAGCGATTGACAGTATGTGGGACGTTGGGTGCCGTCCGCGGATCAGTTGATGCGCGAGGCGGGTTTTCCAGGTCTGTATACGCCTAGGGCCACCGGTAAACGGAAGCCTACTGACCATTTGGCGACAGGTGCATACTTCGAATTCGGCGTCACCAACACCACATCCGTGTACCTTGCCTTTCAAAGTTATCCGGGTTTCGGTGCTGGGCCCGGGGACCCCTTGGACGTTGAAGATAACATCGGCGTTACGGTGGAAATCGACGACGAGTTATTACTTATGGTCCTACATCCGTGCTCTATCGTGCAGGTCGCGGAGAACCTCGACCCTAGCAGGACGTACAAGCTCAGAGTCACGCAAACGGCCTATTACCAAGGCGCCGACGGGAGTTTCAAGTTTGAAGGAGTCTGGCTGGACCGGCCTGCCTCTGAGGGGCACGGTCGTCCAGCTGTCGGCAGCACATTAGGCGCGCTGGTACCGCAGACCGAAGGCCCACAGGGAGCTACGCAGCAGCAAGACTCACCACCGGCGCTGCGAAAGAAATCACTCATAGAGCTGTTCACATGCGAGGTCGACCTGGAGCTCAACCGCCCCAGCGCGCAAAAAAACGCGGCGGGTCTCGCTGAGGAACGAGTACACACCTGGTATAACCGCTTCGGAGCTGAACTCGGCGCCGACATCGCCCTCGTACCTACCACAGGGAAGTACTTTTCCCAGGATTGGTTCGGGATCAAAAGTGACAATCGGACGACCGCGCCCGTCGCGAAATATTTCTTTTCCTATCGCTACGAGGGTGAGAGTTCATTCTCATCCATCTCAGTGAACCAACCGAAGGAGGACCACAGCTGGCCATTCAAAGCCTACCGACCCGCTGTGCTGATCCTCCAGCTCGGATTCACGGACTTTATCGAGATCTTCAAGGGCCTCCCAGCTCAACAACATTTGGACGAATTCCTCAACAGCTTCGTCAAGGACTACGTCAAATTCGTCAAGACCATCCGGGCCGACGCCTACCCCTCTGACGGGACGACCGCAAACGGCGGTGATGACGGCAGCTACAGCTACACTTACAACTCGGCGCCCTCCACGCTCCCGATCTTCCTGATCGCCCCCTTTTCGGCCCACCGTGTACTTGTGACACGGAAGCTCACGCTCGCCAAATTCATGGCCGACGCCCTCGCGCGCGTGGTGTCCACGTTGCACGCCGAGGGCGACATCTCGACCCACCTCATCGATACCGCAGGGTGGCTTGACCCACAGCAGGACTTTCAGACGCCGCCCAACTTCCGTCGCCTGTTTCGGCCGAGAGTCGATGGAGAAGCCTGGCGACCACTTACCGAGGCTGCTAAAGTCAAGGTGGCGAGTCTGCTCGCGAGCCATATCTGTCCTTACATCAAACAAAGTGGCCAAAGCTCAGTCGACGGATCTGCAGGCATCAGTGATAGCAATAGCAAAAGCTCAGCTGTGGCTTTCGCCGCGTCGGGAGACTGCGCCTTTGATCAATACGACAGCTATCTCGGCAACGTGTACGTCCCTGAGGGCGTGGAGCTGGACCGCGCCCTGCTGGAGCGCAAGTTCGAGATCATCAAGGAGAGATTCCGGCTCGCCACGCCTGTTCGGTTGAAGATCGAGCCGGGGTCACTTCGACACAAATGGGCAAAGTAGTTGTGCGGAGTACGATGTTGGTTGGGTGACTTCAAAGGACGGTTCTGGAAGTGTAGTTTGGCTGGTTGCGAGGCGGGCCCCGAGTCGCTCTGGACATGTTGTCACGAGCAGATCGAATGTAAACAAGTGGAGTTACTCCTCTGCCCGTTCCAATACCGTCCCGGGCGTGCTGTAATCATGCTATAATATCCTACATAAGGGCAGTTTGAAGCCCCGTGATGCTGAGCTGCGACTTCCTTCTCGATCCAGCCTACGAACTTAATCCTTCAAGCCACTCGCTCTTGTTGCGGGGGCATCTTCACCGTCAAGAGTGATGATCTTCCTGCTCAACAATAGCCGCAGCTCTGGTGTGATGACCTTCTCTTTGATCTTTTCAGCCTCTTTGCCTTTTGCCTGCGCTTGGCCTGGCTTCTGTCTTCTGGGGCTTGACCCGACGCCGCGATCCTGGGTCTGATTCTGGTTGTGGTTCTGGTTCTGGATCTGAGTTTTCAGGACCGAAGGACCCGTCGCCGCCGAGCCAGTAACCACTGCTCCTGTATTCTGCGAACCACCAGCATTGATGTCCTTCGCATCCTCCACACCCGGCTTTCTTTGCCTCAACTCGCCAGCCACACCGCTCGGCATCGGAAATGTCTCCTTGCGATCAATCGCCTCGACCGTCTTTTCAAACCTCTTGAACAGCGCCTCAGCCCTGACAAGCATCTCCTGCAGATTCATCGTGCCGGACAGCTCGTTGATGTACTTGAGCACCTCGTCGAAATGCTTGAGGTGATCAATGATGACGTCGCGGTGCTTCTCCAGGATCGCCACCGCGATGAACAGGTGGAACTGGCTGCTGTAGAAGTCCGTCCAGAGACTCTCCCACAGGCGCAGCGTGTCTGACCATTCGAACTCACGCTTATACCACACCAGCAACATGCGGAAGAAGAAGAAAAAGTTGGTGCTGTCGGCGCTTTGGAGGTGCAGGTAGAGTTTCGGATCGAGGAGCTGGACGAGTTGGTCGAGGGTGTTCAGCTGGGCGCGCATGCCGAGCTGAGACCGCGCAAAGTTACGGCTCATGCGCGTCATGAAGTGGCAGAAGGCTGTGAATGCTAGGGCGTCATCTTGGAAGACGGCGTACAGAGGAGACAGGAGATCGGACATGCCTTGGACGTAGCCGAGGTTTTGGGGCGAGGGATTCGTGGTTTGGTATGTCGAAGAGGGAGGTCCGACGGAGGGAGGGGTGTCGTATTCGAGGTATGTCAGGAGCATGTCCTTGAGTTGTTCCATGTGGACGTTTGTGCCGGGTCCGTCGGGGCTGTAGAACGGAGACGTGGGATCCGGATGGGGGATGTCTTCGCCTGCGAAGAGGGGAATGTGTCGGTCGGTGCGATGCACGTCTTTCTCTACATGTCGGACAGCAAGGTCAGTTCGATGTGAGCAGGGAGGAAGCATGATACGAGGTGATTGATCGGAGTACCTACCAATTCGCACCTTCTGCTCTTTCCACCATTCTTCTTGTTCGGGCGTGGCGTTGCCGTCGATCATCCTGTCCCACCATGCACCCTTGAGCTGGATGTATTCGTCTCGTTTTTGGTTCATCAGAGCGCGCCGTTGCTCTTCTGTGCTGTCCCACTCATACACGCCCAGGAGGAAAGGCCAGGCTTCTTTCCGCACGCCGTCCTCGGGGTCGAGACCGCCATGGAAGATGCGTTCTTTGACTTCGTCCACCGTCACGTTGAGTTTGCCCTTTACGTCGAAGAATGATTTCCACTCAGTCATGTTGACGGGTCGGCGCTTGCTGTCGGTCAGCGTCATCCGTGCTGCTTCCATGTCCAGAATCTCGAAATCGCCGACGCTGGTTTCCTCGGATTCAAGGACATCTCGCGCCGTCCATATTCGCTGCTTTCTTTCTCGTTCGCTCTGCTCGGCGATGCTCATAGCCCAGCGCGCGAGGTAGAGCTTTGCGCTGTCGAATTCGTCCTGCAAGGTCTGGACTTCGGGGTTCTGAATTAGGCGCCTAACCTGAGGTGGTAGATTCTTGTTGTTCGCGAGGTCTTCAGCCGTGCGTCGGGTGAAGGTAGTGACTTTGGACAATTGCTCAAGGATCTTCCACCTCGTCTCCTTGAGAGCTTTCGTCAGCGGGTCCATGCCTGGGCCCGGTGGCTTCTTCTGTTGGTCAGCGGGCTTTTTTGCCGCAGCGTCATCCTTTCGCTTGGCCTGCTCGAGTGACTTCCGTCCTTGCCCGAAGCCCAAACGATCTTCCTCCGACGGGTCGATCAGGTAGATTGACGGCTCGGCGGTGCTTCGTTCGACAGCGACGTATCTCTTCAACCATTTGAGCACTTCATCACCACCCCAGAATAATTCGCCGCTTTCTCCAAACGGATCGAACGATTCTTTGGCTCTTTTCTTTTTCTGTAGGATAGTGCTTTCGCATTCCGAGTCGTGGAAGAACAAGGCGGGGAGGCTGGAACCGGCTCTGGTGTTGATGACGATACTACCATACCACCATCCTAAGCTCGGTGGACGGACGTGAATGGAGTATATGCTGGAGAGGGGAAGAGAGAAAGCGTATGGTCCGACCGGCGACTCGTCGAAGGTGGTTGCAAGAGGCAAGGGCGGAACCAGGTAAGACTGACGCGGAGGGGACTGGCTGTCTTTCATGTCCACCTTGACATAGGTGCTCAGGTCATCTTGAGCCAGTGAGGCTTCGGGCACCCACGCCAGTAGATATGACGAGGCATTTAGCTTCTTCTTCGACGCAGAGGAGGCCGAGGACGTCGGCCGCTGGTCGTCGGATGAAAGAGGTGTGGGTTTCTGCTGGACCAGGGCGATGAAGCCAGGGATATTGTCCTTCGCCGAGGGTGTGGGGTGAACGTAGACTTTGCTCTTTGAGAAGAGTAGTTTGACGCCCTTGGTGGTCGAGGCGTGTGTGATGGTGTTGTATCCTCCTTCCTCGTCGTCGGAAAGGTCATAGAAGGAGGCAGACGGTGATGGGGCGTCTCGGCGCCCTGATGGTCCGGAGGCCATGCTGGTGCATCAAATGTAGTACATGCTCTAGGGCAGATGAGAAGAAATATCTCGTCTGAAGCTCGCTGCGCGTCTGTCGGAGTGAGGGTAAATGTGTGGCGGTGCAGCTCAAGATCCATGCTGAATTCCTGATGCCTGGGCACCTGCTGGAGAGGCTGCACAACAGGTGACGTCGCCGACGAGCAACAAGTGAGCCAGGCAGAGCGAGGGGAGAAGTGGGGGAGAGGTGGGGGTGACAGAGGGGCGAGCGTGAGGGCGAAACCCCGCAGTGCAGTGAGCGCAGGCCCAGACTCGCCATGCTTTCAAGGCCATGGACTGACTGGTGAAAGCAAACTCATCCATTAACAAACTTTTGCTATACATGCTAACCAGGGCAACAAGGTCATTCCCAGGCCACTTGTACCAATCCATGCACATGCTTTTCCCACCACCAACACCATGCTTCGTATTCTTGTTCGCACGAGGATCTATTTCCTCGTGTCAATCGTCCATGAACTGAAGTCCAGCTGAGATGCCAATGACCCATCTTTCTTCGCTCCACCAATCTCCTCTTTAGGCACCGGAGTCTTTCTCCCGCTCGACGTTCCAGGCGGCGTGTTGACACTAGTCATGGTTGCACCACCACCGGCCAGGACCTGCTTGTCAGCTGCTCTCATCACGCGCTCCTTGAGCCTCTTGAGCTGTTGCAATCGCGCTCTCCAAGCACTCGGAAACTCGGTGTCGTCGTCCTTCGTGTTCCATGTTTGACAGAACATGCTGGCGTTCAGTGCCAAGGTTCGCACAAAAGGGGCGAGCTGGGCGGCCGAGATGATCTTGGGGTCAGCTGCCGGTGATATGTTAGGCAAGTCGTCCCTCGTGATGACACGAACCCAGTAGAAGCCTGGCAGGAACTCCGGGTCTTTGGCCGCTCTGCCGCGGCATGCTGGTCGAATAACGATGTTGACATAGTTCAGCTGCGACTTGAGGTTGTTCATGTCCCATTCAAGTCCAGATCGGTTAAAGATAATGTTAACGTGACAATTGCCAACATGTGCCTTCTTGTTGATACAGTGAGGATCGTCCTCCATATCTGTCGGCATCATTGTCGGCACAAAGTAGATGATCTCTTCAACCCGATCTCGCCAGGCAATTGTGCGTTCACCGTCCCGAGGATACTCGAGCCCCTGGGGTTTGAACTGCAGCGGTGGTTCTAGTGACACCACGTAGCCGAGACCATCGAGAAGCCGGTCAAAATCTGCAGAGCCGCTGGTATTGGGAAGATATTCAGACTCATTAGTTTGTCCTTCGTCAATGAAAAGCACGCCGAATTTGTGGCTAGTAACCGTTGGTATTCGGTCGAACCCTTCAAGAGCTCGTTGGACATACTCTTCCTGTGGTAGGAGAAGTGGTTGATCAGCCAGGTTGGTGATTGCTGCACTCGCTACTCGTTGGAGCATGACATGCTGAGGTAACACCTCAGTCGTGATCTCTTGCTGCCGGATTTGTGTATACCCAGGTCGATGATGTGAAGGTAAAGGCGCCGTCAACTGTTGGTACATGGCATACGTTGTGCCTGAAGCTTGGCGTTTGGTGATATGCGTCTTGCCGGTATGACCGGCCGTCTCGACAGTCACGATGCTGAGACCAGCGATCCATGAAGCCGAAGATACCGGTCCGTCTTCCGAGGCCGCGAAGTCGTGGTTGGGTGAAGTTTCGCCCAGGTCAGAGAATGCTGTTCTTTGCATCATGTCAATAAGCACTTCACCCTGTTCATCAATGGCCTCCTCTCCTCGGCCATTTTTCCAGACCAGTCGCGGAACAATCCATTGTACGTATTTGGCCCTGAGATCCAGCCGAAGTGATAGGAACCAGAATAGGATGTTGTGGTATGCCAGCGCAGCAGCATATTGAGGCAATCCGATATCGATCAGCATGGCGGCACGATATGGCGGTCGTCTGAAGTTCATTCCGCTGTGCCTTGACGGCGCGTTGACCCGGCCTTGTGGCGCGGTATTGGGCGACTGTTGCTGCGCCCGCGTCTTTTCAAGGTATTGGATGCATATCCCGAATATCATCTGAATCTCATCCGGGTTCAAGTTGGAGTGCATTTCCGGGAGCAGAGCAACTTGGATCAGGAATTCGAGGATGTGTGCTGTAAGATGCCCTTGCGTCATGTTCTTGGACATTTTGTCAATAATGGTGGGATACAATGTGGCCACAGACGACGGAATCTCGAGACTGCAGAGTGACAGCGCATGGATGCAGCCACGGCTTGTCCCCTCCCAAGCTCCCCCAATACCGGCGATAAAGGCTCGGACCATATCGTCTCCGAAACCTTTTTGAATTTCCTCGGATCTCATGGTCGCGAAGGGTGTTAGATTGACCAAGATCTCGTACATACACAAGGCGACGTCGGATCTCTTCAGTCCGGTGGACGACGGTGGTTCTCGGAAGGAGTTGTTGACAATTTGCTCGCACAACACTTGCCGAAGCTTCACGACTGCTTGTATCGAGTTGAGCCAGAGAGCGATGTTGCTTAGTTGCGCAGCAGCATGGATGACCGTGTAACCGTATGTCTCCCAATCTTGATCAGCTTGCAGGCATTGGATGATGCTCATAAGCCAGGTGTTCATGTCCAGTCCCTCTTTCACCTGCGGATAGGCAGTCTTGCTCACATTGAGAATGCTTGATGCTCGTCCAGCGAAAGGGTAATTAACATCTTCCGTGTCAGGGTACATCCACAGCGGATCGCCGGCTTCCGATCTCGCTGACAGGCTAGTGCTGCTCGCGGAATCTCGTTGCGAGGGAGGTTCAAGCTTGAAGGTGTCGGCAGACTCTCTGGTTCGCACAAGCGCACTAGCGATGTGGTGGCTCTGGCCCCCAGGTGCAATGTAAATGAACCCGGCGTCATCTGCTCTTATCCTAAACAAGAGGCGTTTGGCGACAAGACGAGCCGGGCGGGATTGGCAGCGAGAACCAGCTGCTTCGACCAAGGCCTCGAAAACCTTGACAGCAGCATCGACATCGGTGTGGATGCTGTAGCTGAAGATAGTAATAAGAACCTTGGTAGCTAGGATGGCTAGGTCATCGCTTAGGGGCACCCCTGCCGGCGCATCCCTTATCAGGTGTCCGCGGATTTTCTCAATTGTGCGAATTGTTGATGCCTTCTCTTTTGCAGCCTCTTCGTAGTTCGAAATCATGTGGTCCAAAGACCTGAGCAGTGTCTCAAATACGCGAGTGTCGCATTCGTTATCGAGTTGCTCGAGCAATCCGCCAAAAATTGATACGTAGACCTCGTGTGGGAAAGTGTTGGGTTCGGCCATTGTGTCGTCGAAAGGGTTTCCAGCTTGTACGAGGATTTCGATCGCTCTCAGACGCGCTGCTGAGGGTAAAGTCTGGTTCTGAACGATCTCCTTGTAGATTTTGTCAGCGTACTGGCTCTTGATATTGTCGTCGGAAGACGACAAGTGCTTGACGCTTGCGTAGTTCAGGCTCAGTGTTAACTGATTCTGATCAGCGTAGTGAGGGAATTGGAGGAAGAGTTCATGGATGGTATTCTGATCAGAGCTGGGAAGGCGATCCCAGATGCGCAGGAAATCTTGAGCCAGATTTTTCGACAGCGTTTCTCGATCTCTGGAGTGGTGCTCCCACTGCCGGTCCTCCTCCTGAGTCGAATTTCTTGGCGCAGTCGCCTGAAAACAAAGACGCATAGTTTCCAACAACATCCCAAAGTCGAAGGAAGTCATCTCTGTTTGTGATCGGTGACTCGACATGATCGCATGCAAAGCATTCAAGATGTCGTAGCAGAAGCGCGAGATACCTTGCTGTGCTGCGGGGTGTAATACTTCGAGAAAGTCCTGCAGGCTGAGAACAAACCCTCCTCCGTCCTGCCTCTCGTCGACCAGATTCTGCAAGATACGCGTTGCACCTCTGGCGTGCGAGAGGTAGTGTCTCGGGCTCTCCGAAACAGGAGTGCGTACAAAGGAGTAAAGCGTGCTCATGAATCCGGCGTGGAGTGCACCGGTAGCCAACTGCTTTGCACAATCGAGGAGGTGTCGTGGCACTTCTGATAAGCTTGTGATGGAAGCACACAACACCACGAGAGTCTGGTCCAGGCCGCTTGATGGATAGTCGAAATGCGACGAGATGATGTAGAGGATGCTTACACCGGCATCTATGTCCTCCTGGCGACTAGCGTTGAGACATAGAGCAGTGATGGCCTCTACAGTCCGAGACAATTCCTGCTGGTCGAAGCCGGTGTGTCCCAGCTCCAAATAGTCCGAGATGTACTGGAGCAACCAATCCAAGTTCTTATGCTCCTTCAGCGAAGCCGACTTGGAGTTTTTGTTGTCTTTTCGCGCCTTTCCTGCCTTCTGCGCCCAAGTAGGCAGCCATTGTATGAGTAAAGACAACAACGACGTGGTACCTTGGTCACCGTGATGGTCTTCGCGAAGATCGACAAATCTGCGTGATACATCCGTGCCGGGGTTCAAATCACCAAAGGCAACAAGCCAAGCTCGCGCATCTTCCGGACTGTTAGCAATGGAGAGGCCTTCTTTGATAACATCCGTCAGTTGTAGTGGCGTCGTATCGGAAAGGGATTTCTCTGGAGTATGTCCGCTCAGAGCATGCCAGTCAGGGCTGGGTGAGCTGCGTGAAGCGACGGGCAGATGCCATAGTGACACCCTCCTGGCATCCCTCGTATTAGGATGGGCCGGGCCTTCTTTGGGAGAACCATTATCTCTCGACATACGACACAAATATTCCTCTGGGATTGGCATGGTCAGCGAGGCTCTTCAAGGGTGGTGACCCATTGCTCTACGAACGATAGAGTGGGAAACCACGTACACGAAGCAAAAGATATCAGCCGTTGGAAAACAGACTGGGCAGATAGCAAGAGACGCCAAAAGATGTAGATGGCCGCAACGAATCGAATCATGGGAAAGAAACGACGCAGACGAGAGGCAAATGACCCACGGCGTTGGATGGGATTTCCAGCCTTAAAAAAAGGCAGATAAGGCGCAGGGCAGGGCTCTTGTGGCGAAATGCAAGTGTTTCGTACATACATACCTTGAGAACGAAGACGCAACGACAGCGAGATTCAGCCGAAATGGCTTAGGACTATCCCTCGTAAATGCAACAAGAGCATGAACACTGGCCCTTTTGCCTAGGGAAAGGGGAAACCCTGTGAGTTCGCTGGTCAAGTTGGTGGTGGTGTCGATGACAGCGACCTTATCAGCGGCATTTGGGGAAGACTAGGCCCAGCCGACAAATTAAGAATGGCCTTTGAGGGAAGAAGAAATTGACGCATCGAGCAAGGAAAGGTGAAAATTTTGGAGATGAGGAATGGCACGAATGGCCAGAATGAGACACTGCAACAACTGTTTCTGGCTCTGGACTTCAGATGCCGTGGCGCTGGCACAGATCTTTGTGCTTGGTTCAGACAGGAGGGAAATCATGCAGTCGATCCACCTTCAGACAATTGTCACATTTCTCTTCGACACCTCTCATCTCACAGCCAGAACTCCGTGCGTAACCGCTTGAGCCGAACTGCGCCCGACTGAGAGGGCACAAAGATCTCCTGTCACTCACCGTACTGACTTGGCTGTCCGATTGCTCCTCTGTATCGGAGACCAAAGGCGCAAGGCGCTCGCGATTCTGCCAAAGAAGTCCTGATGTAAACAAATGCTCGAACTTGCACAGAGGCACCGTTTACATTTCCGTGAGGTTTGCTCGTAACAATTGCAAGTCACCTTTCAGAGATTGGAGTAGTGAGTCACTGAGTGTGTTTGCCGAGACTTCACTTGTCTTGTCCTCAGCCTTGCATTTCTCTGTGCTTCAGCCTTGGACACTTGCAGCACAAAGGATCTCCCCAACAGCGATGTATTGAGGAACTGATCCCAACCACTCAGTCACCGCTCAATTTAGACGACGGTCAAAAGCGAGCTTCGACATGGGCTCATTAGCACCTCTGGCCCAGCTGCTGGATGCCAGCCTCGACCCGAGGACGAATAAAGAGGGTAAGTCGCAAGCAAGTCTGCATGCGACTCAGCTAACATTGTCCAGCCGAGCTCAAGATCCGCGCCGAAGAGAACAAGCCTGGTTTTGCCATTTCTCTGCTCCAAATCGCCGCCTCAAATGACTTCCAATACAACACCCGACTTGCCAGCGCCCTCTTCTTCAAGAACTTCATCCGTCGGAACTGGACCGATGTGGAGGGCAACTACAAGCTTCCTCAACAAGATGTCACTGCCATCAAGACAGAAATTGTTGGACTGATGATATCCGTGCCGCGGGGCCTCCAAACCCAGCTAGGCGAAGCGATCAGTGTGATCGCAGACAGTGATTTCTGGGAGCGGTGGGATACATTGGTCGACGATCTGATATTCCGCTTGAAGCCAGATGACCCGATCATCAATGCTGGCGTTCTTCAAGTCGCACACTCGATCTTTGCAAGATGGCGGCCGTTGTTTCGGTCTGATGAGCTATTCACGGAAATCAATCATGTGCTGACAAAGTTCGCCCAGCCATTTCTAACGCTATGGCAGTCCTTGGATGCCTATATTGAGAGCCATAGCAATGATAAGGCAGCTCTCCAGAATGCTTTCGCCGAGCTCGACCTTGTCCTCCAGCTGTTTTATGACCTGTCATGCCAGGACTTGTCTCCAGTCTTCGAGGACAACCTAGAAGGCATATCGGGGCTGCTGCTAAAATATCTAAGATACAACAACCCTCTCCTGCAAACCGACGACGAGTCCGAAGCGGGGCCGCTGGAGAACACAAAGTCTAACATCTTTGAAGCGCTGACTCTCTACGTTGGCAAATATTATGATGACTTTTCCAAGCATGTTCGGGGCTTCGTTGAGAGTTCATGGCACCTATTAACAACTACTGGACCCGAACCAAAGAATGATATCCTCGTTAGCAAAGCCCTCTTGTTCCTGACCTCCATTGGTGGGATCGCAGAACAGGCGCAGACGTTCGGCGATGCCTCAGTTCAGACGGAAATTGTCGAAAAAGTCATCCTGCCGAATGTGGCACTGCGAGACTCTGATATCGAAATCTTCGAGGATGAGCCGATCGAGTTCATCCGAAGAGACCTTGAAGGCTCAGACAGCGAGACCCGTCGAAGAGCAGCGGGAGATTTCCTGCGTCAACTCAGCGATCAATTCGAACAATCCGTCACGACTATCGCGATGATGTACGTCGACAAGTGCTTGCAAGAGTTCAGCGCGAATCCGCAGGAGAAATGGAGGGCCAAGGATACAGCAGTGAGCCTGTTCCATGCCTTGGCCTCCAAAGGAGCAACAACCGCCGCTCATGGAGTTACCAAAACCAACAGTCTGGTAGACATTGGTGACTTTTTCTCCAAACACCTTGCCAGCGACCTGCAGAATGAAAGCGCTCAGCCCTTGATCAAGGTCGATGCGATCAAATATCTCTACGTCTTCCGAAGTATCATCACGAGAGATCAATGGCAGGCAGTCATGCCGTTGCTTGTCAATCATCTCGGGAACTCAAACTACTGTGTCTATACTTACGCATCTGTCGCTGTTGAGAGGGTTTTGGCCATGACCGACGGAACCGGGCGACCCGTCATCGACCCTGCCAGTATACGACCGCTAGCAGGCAGTCTCGTTGAACACCTTTTCAGCCTGGTGGAGAAGGATCCGGCCCCACAAAAGGTCCAGGAGAACGAGTTTGTTATGCGCTGTATTATGCGAGTTTTGATCGTGCTGAAAGATGGTATTTCTGCGGTAGCCGAGAGTGTACTGCGGCATCTGAGCACCATCACAACCATCATCGCGTCCAACCCAAGCAATCCAAGATTCTACTACTATCATTTCGAAAGTCTAGGCGCTCTCATTCGCTTCACACCACCGGCGCAGGCGGATGCCCTAGCATCTCACCTGTTCAACCCCTTTGCAGCGATACTTGCTAATAGTGTCGAGGAGTTTACCCCCTATATCTTCCAACTGATGGCTGCGATGCTCGAGGCGGAACCCAGCAAGCCCTTACCTTCGGAGTACATACCCTTGATTGCGCCCATCCTTGGTCCTACGCTTTGGGATCAGCGAGGCAATATCCCAGCCTTGGTCCGACTTCTGTCAGCTATTCTTCCTCGCGCGGCCAATGAACTAGTCAGTGGCAACCAAGTCGAAAATGTTCTGGGTATCTTCCAGAAGTTGGTGTCGACCAAGGTGAACGAGGGCTATGGTCTTGATCTCCTGGAAACGGCGATTTCGACTTTCCAGCCCTCTACGCTTGAGCCTTACTGGGTCCATGTCTTGAACATCCTGCTCACGCGACTACAAGGCAAACACTCTCAATCCTTCCAGCTCCGATTTGTTCGATTCTATCACTTTACTGCCTCCCTCGACGACAAGGGCCTGGGTGTTGACTTCTTTGTTGCCGCTACCGATCGCGTTCAGCAGGATGTTTTCCGCCAGCTGTACCTGCAAATCATTTTGCCGAAGACGCAAGAATTGGCTCGTCCTTCTGATCGCAAGATAGCAGCCATTGCCCTCACGAAAACGTTGGCGGACTCCAAGGCCTTTGTCGAACGCTATCCGAAGGGCTGGCCGCTGACTTGTAATGCACTGCTCAAGTTGCTTGAAGACCCGCCAGTTGTGTCAAGAGGCGACGACGCCATCGCCGAGCTCGACGTGGAGGACAGCAGCTTTGGTGTGGGGTTCACTCAACTAAACACAATCCGACGTTCCACGCCGGACCCTTTCCCCGAGGTGACGGACCTCAGGAAGTGGGTAGGTCAATACCTCAAGGTTGCCGATCAGAGACATGGAGGAAGGATAGGCAAGGTGGTCAATGAGGGTTTGAGCCCGGATGCGAAGAAGGTGTTGCACGCTTACATGACCTTGTAAAAAGAGCACCGCAAGCCGTGATCCAAAAACTCGGCATTTTAATTACCCTTAGACAGCAATGGTTGGCCTGGATTGACGTGGCAGCCGCTGGGGAGCATGCTAGGATGTTCCAAAAGGCATTAGGTGTCATTTAGACGAAGAAAACAAAAGCGTATTTCGCCTTCGGGTTTTCGAGCGAGGCCCTTACCAGCACGCATTTCCAGTTGGGTAGTCACAAGTTCATCTGGCCCAACCAGACCTTCGATCTGGCCACAAGTAACAGCCCATACGGCTGTGGCAGCTGCACTAGGTCTTCATATAAGAACGAGACTGACTCTTCACACTGTTGTCCCATTTGAGCTCCCACGAGTGTCGTTCAACGGCGAACGCGAACCGCGAGGCTGAAACATGCTTCTTGCCTTCCTATTGGTTGGAACCGCCGGCAGAAGTCAGTCCCGGGAGATTAAGGCCTCCTACGTACAGAGTAAACCTGATGCCCATGGCCGGCTGCGGACTCCCCTGTCTCCAATGTTCGGCGTGTGGGCAAAGCAGCCCTGATAACACGGAGTACGGGGTCCGTGAAGCACTATGGAGGTCCCTCAGGCACCGGTCGAGGAGATTGGGAGGGGGACACACGTGGCACGATATCCCCCGTCCCAAAAGGACACATTTGGCTGCTTCAAACAGTCTGGTTTCATCTGCCTTGATAAGGCCCCCCACTGGACACTCTAGCTTTCCAAGACGCCGTTGATGGCCACTTCTGGATCACGGATAGCCCACACAAACACGCAGTGGTAGACGCAGAGGCAAGACCACTGCGGTCTCTCAACGCCAGCGGCTGGCGATAACAATATTACTATCACCTTTGCAGGACGCGACGAGATCAAGGCGCTACCACTATCGAACTCGATCTCCTCCGCCGGCGCGGCAGCACGAACATCGATTATGTGTACACCAAGCCATCTCCCTTTGTAAGGCAAGCACGTCGTCTCCCCGAGTTACTCGATCACCGTGTTCGACAAACATGGCCTTTCTCGAACCGCGCAAGGTGTATCACCGGACACAGACAGATGACTTTGACGTTAAGCCGCCCGACACAAGCGTCGAGCTGTCGCCTTTGCGCTCCTTGTCCAGTTTTCAGAGCGGCTTCACTCGCAGTTTTCGGGATCAATCACCGCTCCTCAATTCCGATGCAGATCCTATCCGGGCCGAACAACCATTCTTCTCAAAGAAGTCACTTCGTTCAGTCAAGGCCCCTCTCGTCGTCTGGCCGACAAGTCTGTATGGATGGCGCACCGGCGCCTTAACCGCCGCGCTACTTGCGGCAATGTCCCTGCTTGTCAACCTCGCCACAGTCATCTGGCTGGGCGCTCACGGCCAAGGGGGCAGTCTTGTAGAACTTTACAATGGCGATTGTGGCAAAGTTCAGACCATGGACATCTGGGTTCATCTGGCAATCAACGTGCTGAGCACCTTGCTGCTGGGCGGCTCAAATTACTGCATGCAGTGTCTTTCAGCGCCGACACGAGCAGATGTGGATCGAGCACATGCGGAAGCCATCTTCCTCGACATTGGTGTTCCCAGCATTCGCAACTTGCTCAGGATTCCGCGCTACAAAATGCTCCTCTGGTGGGCGCTGGGTCTTTCCTCGATACCGCTCCATCTGATGTACAACTCCGCTTTCTATAAATCCCTCTCGACCAGCGACTACAACTTGCTCTTTGTCACGCAGGACTTCGTGGATGGTGAAGCATTCGGAACATTGAACTTGACGGTCTACAACCCGAACAACGCCTATGCAATCGATCCGCACGAAGTTCAGAGCTCCCTCCTTGACAACCCAGATTCCTGGGAAAGGCTCGACAAGATAGCCTGCATAAACGCGTACGCGACTAATTTCTTGGACAACCGGCGCACCTTGGTGCTTGTCGTCAGTAATTCCACCGGACAGACAAACGACAGTGTCCTAGATACGGAGCTATACCTGTTCAATCCGACCCGGGCTTTTGACTGGTGAGTGCTCTTGCTGCAGTGTGCGATCTGACTGAGTCTGAACCCTCCTCGGTCTCCCCTCGAGTGCTCGCTGCTGACTAGTCTCCGCTGTTTCAGGATCTGCACCGCCGACCCCTATATGCGATATAAAAATCCCTCGCTTAGCAAATCGATCGACTGGATGTTGCCCTGCGAATCGTACGTTGACGGAGTCCTCGCCATCGCGGACCAGTGGCAGCCGTGGGGCTACGACGTGCAATACTCTATGTCCCAGCGAGTCCCTGAGACGTGCAGCTATAGTGGAAACATCTCCATCGTGGCGGTTGTGCTTGCCTGCAACGTCGTCAAGGTCGTGGTGATGCTTTTCGTGGCGGTGCGGTTGAAAGACAATCCTCTCATCACCGTGGGCGATGCAGTCGAGAGCTTCCTCAACGAAAACGACAGGACGACGGAAGGCTTATGCCTGCTCAGCAAGAAAGGTGTCATGCGTGCCACGCGCTCACGAAAGCCCTGGTCCACTCATGGGGCCGCAAAGTACGGCGACGCTGCAAGAGGGAAACTTGCCTGTCGACAGACAAAACGTTGGGCCGCGGCCGCCAGTGGGATGCGATGGGGCCTCACCATGGGGTTCTTTCTACTGGCCCTGGCTGTGTGCTCCTTCCTCCTCCCTGTTGCAGTTCGAGCAATTGAATCGTACGGGTTCGACATCCAAACGATCGGCTTCGGAAAGGTCACTCCCGCGGCGATCATTTCGGGCTGGGATGTCGGCAAGAATGGAGCGGCAGGGCCCAAGATCCTAGGCTCGATCCTGATCGCCAATTTGCCGCAGACCATTCTGAGTTTTCTCTATCTGCATTTGAACGGGCTGTTGACGAGTATGTGGCTGGCCAGCGAGTGGAGTGACTTTGCAACGCAACGGAAGACTTTACGAGTGAGCAAGCCGAAGGGGAGTCAGCGCAGTACGCATTTCCTGCAATTGCCCTACAAGATTGCCATTCCATTGATGGTCCTCTCTGGGTTGCTGCATTGGTTGATCTCGCAGAGCATCTTCCTCGCGGTCGTCGCGGAGTATGGCCCAACGGGTCAACTCCTCAGTGCTGTTTCAATTGCGTCCTGTGGGTTTTCTCCGCTGGCAATGATACTGGTCATTGTCTGTGGAGGGTTTATCGTTGTTGCCACCTTTGGGCTGGGCTGGTTTAGGAGGTACGATGCGGGGATGCCGCTTGTAGGCAGTTGTAGCATGGCGATTGCCGCAGCGTGTCATCAGCCGGACTGGGACACGGACGCAAGCCTCAAGCCTGTACAGTGGGGGGTAATTCCTGGTGTTGTGGACGAGAAAGGGGTCGGCCATTGCGCATTTACTAGTGGCGAGGTTGAACCTCTGGTGGAGGGCAAGGAGTATGCTGGCATCAGCGACGGCCAGCCATGAAGGATAAACCCTGACGAGCAGCTTGCGTCGATAGAACAATTGACTTGAATTATGGTAAGACTGCCCATCTGAAGGTTTTTATTTGGTTTGTCTGTGCATGTGAACAACCTCGTCGGATATCCACTAGGCAGGCAAATACATGCTTGATATTTTGATATGCCTACGTGAGGACGCCGGCATGTAGCATTGAACTAAGCCCAATCTGGAATAATGTAGAAGCCCCGAATGCTTAAAATCCACTAGTGCCTCGGCCGACCTGCCCAGACCTAAGTCTTCCTAGAATTTTTGTAGCTTCTCACAGTATTCCCAGGCTTGGTGGTTGCCAGTTCTGTTGTTTTGCTTGGCTTCACGGACTCATGGCTCGATCACCATGGAGGAGCCGACAGTTCTCACAGACGAGCAGATAGATGAACTACTAAGCCAGGCTGAGGCCCGGCTGCGGGAAAAAGCTGCCGGCGCCGACGAAGGCGAGATTCTTCTGGTGGCGGACAATACAGCCCCCAAATCCAGGAAACCGTACGTATCGCGCGAACGTGAGGGAACTTTGGGCTGACAACATCTATAGACTTCCGAAGTTGCGTCATGGTCTTGCGCGATCAACCTATATCAAAGATAATCACGGCGTCGCAGAGACTGACCCAAAGGCCACAATCGTACAGCCGCAGGCCTCGCAGGCAGGAGGACTGAGACCCATCGAATTGCCTCAAAAAGCGAAGAAAGTTGTACGTGCTCTGTTCTTGTCAAGGATCGCTTTGCATGAGGAAATTTATTCCCAATTTTGTTCTTGACGCAGATCAGCGGTCCATTCTGGCCTGCCCTGCATCCGTGAGAGCATTCTATTCATAGTTACTCTGACTGCATTCTTTTGTTCTCATATCTGTTGCATACTTCGCATTCGGACGAGTGCTGACGAGCAAACAGAACGACCAGACATCTGCAGGACCGGAATGGTTCGACATGCCCAAAACCAACTTGACTCCTCAGCTCAAGCGTGACCTCCAGCTGATCGAGATGCGATCCGTCCTCGACCCACACAGACACTACAAGAAGAACAACCGAAAGGGCAAAGTCCCGACGTTCTCGCAGACGGGGACAGTCGTCGAAGGTCCGACCGAGTTCTTCAGCGCAAGAATCAACAAGAAGGAACGGGCAAAGAATTTTGTGGAGGAGGCAATAGTCACCGAGAATCAGACCGGTCGGTTCAAGCGGAAGTACGGCGAGATACAGGAGTCGAAGATGAGTGGCAAGAAGGCGCACTACAAAAAGCTCATGGCGAAGAGGAAGAAGCGACCTTGAACCTACACAAGTGAGCCTTTCACCAAAATTTTACTACGCAAAAGGACGCAACACCTACAAATTAGGCTTGCTCTCCATGCGTGGCCCCACGCCCATGTATATGGCCCCAAGGTCTGCACAACATGTATGGATGGAAGGCCGCGACAACCGAGTGAAGAGCCTCATCGGGCCAAGAGGTCCGAAAAGTGGGAGCTTGCGCTTGATCTTGACGATAGAAGGGCCGAATCTGGGGATTGTGGCAGAAACCTAACCGACTGGAATGCCTGATATGCTTCGTGCCTCACAAGCAGCTCGTGTGCATGCCCGCACACAAGACCGGGGGTTTGGGCCCCTTTTGAGGGCTAGATAGGGCTCTCCGGGGCCGTTTGTCAGAAGCGAGTGGGCGTGCTCCGTACAGAGGGTGCTGATTGTGATGGAGCAAACTGAGCGTCGAGCCATCAAGGCCTAGGAACTACTGTGGTATACCTAAGTACGGAGTACTGGTCCGTGAAATGACGGAAGGCAGAACAATGGCTTGATAGGCAAGAGAGATGGTGGTCCTCGTAATTTGGGAAGGAGCAATCGAAAGATCACCTTAGCCCGACCGGGCAATAGTGTAGCAACAATTAACAGTGGCGATCGACTCTCGCTGCTGGTGGCCTCGCAATCCCATTCCTGCACCGTTTCCCTTGGCTCATCTCACGGTGAATACTCCGTACTGTGATAAACCTGGCAAGCCCTTCTCGACTCTGGGAGTGCTGACACCTCTGACTTGGGTCGAGCCGCTCCTATCGAATAGCTTGCTGACACCTCTGACTTGGGTCGAGCCGCTCCTATCGAATAGCTAGCTGCCACCCCTTATGTCAGGCGTGATCTCGCAATCACAGCTGCGCCAGATCTGAACTCCAATATCACCGTGGGCGTCGAGTTGCGTCAGTAGCTCGTGGTGTGAGGCGCGCATTGGGCGTGCGTGGCGGCATGGCAGCGCGCCTCCCACAGCCTCCACAATCCGGATCAAACTAGCCGTGCGCTGTCCAAGAACCCGCAGTCCTCAGCCTGTTTTTGATCGAGGCTATCTCGCTACAGGAATGGACCAGCCGAAAAGAGACAGTCTCAACCGCCGTGCATGACCATGAAATCAGTGCTAGGCGACCCGAATCGGACAGCGGCCGAGCCTGCAGAGTGGTGCAAACAGGTTTGAAATCAACAGGCCAAACTCCATTCACCGAACGCGTCCGCTGAATCTTTGCGAATCACCTTCTTCACCGATGACGATCCCGTGAGTCGGTTATGGTGCGTCCGGGTTTGGTGGAAACAATAAGAAACTCCAGGTGAGACACACGCTCAACGTCAACCAGGATTGTTATCACGACCTGACCACAAAATCACCACAGGCACTGAGACCACAATTACCCGTAACTCGAGCCATCTCCTCCCTGCAGACGCCCTTAGTGCCTGTGCCTTGACTCCCGAGATTGAGCGCTGCCACGACAGCGCCGAGAAGGGCGCATCAAGCGGGCAATCAGGCCGCGCTCTAAGGTGAAGGCCCAGCAGTGTTGGCCTAAAGAGCATGCTTTCCGCTTTCCACCGCTGCTGTCCCAGAGGCGTCAAGCGCGACCGTTGATCCAATCGCATGACAATTGAGTTCGGTGGAGGGCAATACCGGCCAGTATCAGACCTGCGCCGCGACTCCGCCCCCATTGGCAAGATATCTTTAGCTGGGCGCCACAGAGCCCCTTGGGCGGGGTACTAAGCTCCTTCGAGCCCGAGGCACACGCCTGGGAAGCTGGACTGTGGACCAAGCGAGCGACTCTACGTATATGCCAGGTCGTCTCCAAGCCGGCCCCAACCACCGGCAAAAAGACACGACGACAAACGCAACACTGACCTGCCACTGCTGTATCCCAAGTCTCTGGCTTCCAACACTTCACATCTGGCCTTTAACCTCACTGTTGCCTTGGTTGCTGAACTCTGGAGCATCCATGCGCAATGTGCGCGCGGGCTAGGACATCGCTTCGGACCATCCACACAACGACGCTGTTACCGCCTCTGATTGGATCCGTGCGGTAGGAACTCGAAATTTGAAATCGCTGCATATCCGACTTCAAGATGACTTCAGTCCTTCGATTGGGAAGCAAGGATCGTTCACCCTTTCTATTTTTCAAGCGTCAAAACAATACTTCCGATATCCCAACTGATAGCCTCGCGCACTGCCTCCCGGATCTTTCTCCTCTGGACACACGATCTTTTGCCGGATTATTTGATGAATTTATGAGCAATGAGAACCACGATCTATCTCGAGCGCAGCAAACTCGCTCAACAACAACAACAACCACACATAGGACGCCCAGTGTAATCAGACATAGCGTTAGGAATCAGGCGCCACCACCTCCTGCAACGGCTGTGGATACCAAGCTCGACTACTTGAAAGTCAACATCACCAGGAATGATTCGACCACGTCGTCTTGCTATTCCCAACCAAGCCACAGAGACAGTGACTTCTCGCCCTTAGTCACGCGTCAGTCATCCAGCTCCAGCTATACTCTGGAGCCTTCTCCGTCGCCGTCAAGGACCGCAACCAGAACACCAAAGCCTTTGATCATTCCCAGACGATCGGCCCAGAATCTTACCCCTCGGCTCACGGACTCCCCAATCAGCGCTCAAGCCTCACCAGCAAGAGCAGATTCATCTCTCAAAAGGGCTGGCTCGGTGGCACCGAATCTAGATAAGCCACTCCCACCAGGACCGTGCGGCGATGCGAGGAAGCTTTCAGCCTCTGTACCCGATCTGCTTCTGCGCCATCCACCTGCAGAGCTTCCGTCTGAGTTGCCGGCCCCTCTGGTCCCTAATACACCCAACCCCATTCAGCGGACGGTTTCCCAGCCCGTGAAAATGGCCTCCACCAGAAGAGGCTCTGATGGTGATCCCGCGGTCGAAAAGGCTAGGGCCTGGTCCTCTCGATCAATTCGAGAAGCTCGGCTGGGCAAGGCTGTTGCAAATGGGCTTTACAGAAACAGGGCGGCCTCCGACACGGACGTCCCTCAGCACGGGCGGCCTTTGAACGAAAAGTCTCGGCGGCACACAGTAGATATGCAGAAGCTCGCTTCAACTGTGCCATCGTCCTCTCGCGCAACGCAAACGACGCGCAAGCACCACAACCGACCTATCACCGCAGCGACCGCAGAGCGAGTTATCTACAGAATAATGTGTAGTGTGCATACTGCACAGGACCTTCAGGCCACTGCGATGGTCAGCAAGGGGTTTTATCGGACGTTCCAGCGCAATGAATCGAAATTGGTGAGCCATTTGATGTTCAAGTCGTCGCGTGCCGCTTGGGAGCTTCGCCGAAGTACACTCGCCTTGAGAGGAGCGAACGATTTCCTTCTGAAGGACTACCGGCGCGACTGCCGCACGCTGGATGCGCTGAAAGCCTTCATTGTGGCGCATTGCAGTGCTAGCTGTAAGCCGAGCACTCTCATTGGTCTCCTTGGTCAGGACGATGTCAGGGCGGAACAGATTAACGACGCGTTATGGCGGATATGGACGTTCTGTTCTTTGTTTGGAAACACAGTCGGTCAATCCAAGCCCTCGCAGACCGAAATCGACTGGCTTAATGGCAGTAGAGCGGCTAGTAACAAGCACCTGGGTGCTGGCTTCGCCATCGGGAATGGGAAGGGCCTTACAATTCGCGAGCTCGAAGACATGAACGAGATGTGGCAGTGCTTGCAAGTGCTCGTCTCTGGATTTCATGGCAGAGAACAAGAGGCCAAGCGCTATGGAGTCTTCGACAATTGGCACCTCCGGGAAACCACTACAGACTCTCAGCACCTACATGAGTGGACAGCCTACCTGCTAGCCTTGGGCCCGCAGACTGTCTTGACATTGTCGGGCCATTCCTTCGACCAAGCGAAGATGCTGGGGCTAACCAGTTGGCCTCTTCCGCCGGCCGGCCAAACGCGGTCTTCATTTATGACTACGGCGATATCACAAGTATATCAAGAACGAATTCTCGAAGATGCCACCCGGCGAGCGTCGCAAATGTCGTTCCGACAACTTGCTCCAGCACGAGGACCATCTCATCGTCCAACTAGGTCGCTCGATGAAAAGCACCTGGGGCTTATGGCTCCGAGACACACAGACAAGCTGCAAACTCAGTCGCTTCGAATCGACACATCTGGCCAGAGGAGAAGACCTGTCTCCACGATAGCTACAAACGTGACGGGGAATGTTAGGATGGATATCCGACCAGATTGTGATCCTGCGAGCACTGGAATGCAGATTCGACATGACTGTGAACCTGGGAGCACTAGAATGGAGATTCGACCTGACTGCGATCCCGCGTGGAGGACAAGCCAGACGCCTTCAACGCTCCTAACTTCGCCTACAGTTGATCCGACTGTCTACTACTCGCTTTCTACCACGGCGACTGCGAGCGCCAAGCTCGGAGCTACATTATTCCCGATTGACTATGCTAGCCCTGCCCCACGGGTGCCTTTCCCTGCTCCCGAACGAACCATGGCTCCGGTATCTGAAGTGGTAGATCCAGTGGACAAAGCCATGAATCTGCTGGTTCGCGAGCTGGGGTTTGCCGAAACAAGGGCGAGAAAAGCTCTGGCAATGTGTGACACCGGTTCTGGGATTGACTTACAGAAGGCTATCGAATTACTGTCTGTTGACTCGAGAGATCTGAAGCCAAAGAATGTTGTGCCGGTGGAGTTGCCCACGCCGGGAGGCCTTGCGAGCCCAGCCAAGCCACAGAGGGTACAGCCACCGAAGGCGTATTGCGACGGCTACTGCAAGCGGAACTCAACTGTCTCCCACTCCCGGAACCAGTCGACGGGAACCGTAGGTACGGCAACCGACGAGTCGGTCAGCCCAATTTCGATATTCAACGATGCGGAATGGACCGACACTATTTCACCCCTAGTGGGCAGCTCGTTAGCGGGATCTCGGAAGGGCACTATGAATCGGGCTTCGAGCAAGGCGAAGGCATGGAAGGTGCTTGGTCTGGACAATTCGCCGCCCAAAGGGAAGAACTCTGTGCTGCGAATCGACGAATATCAAGCGAAGGTCGAGAGGCGCAAAAGCATGCGCGCTGCAGCCTTTGGCGAGCAGCAAAGCCTGAAGATCAAAGAAGGACTAGGGAAAAACCTGCTTAGTCTGGGTCTGGGAGTCGGGAGCAGTGCAGCAGCAAAGTCTGTGGAAGAGCAACTCGATCGCGTTCGTGCGGAGGAGAGGCGAAAGAAAGAGAAGAACCAGGCAAGCTGCATGCCTCGTTATGCATGAATCGTCCTCATGCGTGCGGACATACCAGCATGAACAGTGGTAAGAGCAACGTCCTGCCGGAAGTCGACGACACCTCTTTGGAAGGCGTGTATTTGACTGTGCGGTGTGCTCAAGTGCGGCGACATTCGCAAGTCCAGCTTCACTCTCTCGGCACGGACATTCGACCATGATTTGACTCGTGGATTCAAGCCACGAAGCCACTCCTTTGTACAATATACCGCGAATATCTGGGATCATAAATGGACATGGCATGCTAAACAGGAACCAGGAGTTGCGGGACGATAGAAACGAGGAAGAAACGATACCCTTTTTGCAGCACGAACATGCAACAATTGACGACCACAACACGCGCACACATACGGACGAAATACTTCCGACTTGACTTGGGCAGCACAGCATAGCACAGGCGGAGGCAGGGGCACAGGCACAGGCATCGCGGCCGTGTAGACCCCCGACCATGGGCGTCACATGGCTGCATGGTTCTTTATCCCCCAACGAGGTCCCTTCTGCATATATACATATGGATGTGTGTACACCAGCCACTCCTTTTTGCATGGCGGAGTTTTGCAAAGTCTTCTGCCACATGGAGGCATCGATGGGCGGCATGAGTTTCCCATTGCACATGGCTAAGGCACCTTGTCAGTCATGTCGTGTCGTGGCGTTTTATAGGCACCCACAGGCATATATACATCTTGATAATGACATATGCTTGGATCTACATGTTCTTGACAGACCTGGCTTAAACCCGTGTGGCCTGTATGGCGTGGAAGTGAGACACTCTACGCCGTATAGGCCGGCGTAGATGTATCTCGTCACTGTGGAAGGTGTCATGCGGAGCGATCAAGAATGGAGGAATGCAAGACTGGAGACCCGCAAATGTACGGAGTACTTCGCAACCAAGTGAATGATAGGCGAGTGAGTGGTAAGAATCGAGGTTTCGATGCCATCAATCTTTGCTGGCTGCGACCCATGTCCCCTCTTCCTAGGTATTTGCTTGATTCGAGGACCACCACGCAATACCGGTGTAGGATGTCCTTCCACGTACTGTGCTGCGCTGTGAATATTTTTTCATTGCGTTCCTTCCTTCTCTTTCCCCAATCCTCCCTCTGTCGTGCAGGGTTCTGTAGTGCTCGGCCACAGCACAGCACAGCACGTCCAACACAGAACGCAACGAGCGGGATGGAGGTCGAGAGCGTGATCTTGTGTGACAACAGGTTCTGGACAGCCCTGCGTTTGCGTTTTGGCCTTCTGCGGTATCATCCACTACGCGGTCCTAAGCCTACCCCTGTCTCTGGCCGGCCTCGCCTGCACAGGAGAATGAGGGGGGTTTCGTGCTTGTTGCTACTGAGGATCACGCTCTGAACGCTACCTCACCTCGCGTTCTGCGTCATAGTCCACCACCGGATTCGACCCTGTCATGTCCTGGGCCGTTCGCGCCTGCAGACGAGGCTGAGATAGGAAGGATTCGTGCTTAGTGCGTCTGTAGGATCATAGCCTGCACCGTTTTGCCTCAGAGTACCCTCGTACTTCGGTCGAGTTCGGGCGCTGTTTTGGCAACGATGCAGTCGTCGCGATCGGGTCGACAACAGTGCTGTGGAGCTGGGAATGCCGTCGTCACCTGTGCAGTGGGCGTCCTGGACGCTGATGCTGAAGGGCTTGAAGGCACTGTGGACGTTGGTGCGGAAGACCTTCAAGCCCTGATAATGTATGCGTTCCTCTTCGCTCCTGACTGAAACCCACACTCGAGATATGAATAGATTGGCTCGTCTCTTCTCCCTGCGCCCTGGCAGCTGGTATGATGACCCTGAGATGTCGTACCGTGTTCAGTATGGTTCGATCGCCTTTTCCTAGCAAGAAACATGCTTCCAGCTCTCATTTCCCCGTCTTTTCAATCCACGGCCGCAAACATGCTCAGATAGATCCCCCAGAAGAGACCGACAATAGCACCCACAATGACTCTCCTGTTCACGGGCACAAGAGTGAAATTCATGATCGCAACAAACGGCCAGACCTTCCAGCTGTTGATCATGAGGGGGAGAACATCCCTCTCCACTTCTCTCTGCACTGCCCTCGCTGGTTTTCCCTTGAAGGCGGCCATGGCGGCGACGAACGCAAATGTGTTCACGAACGCCCCCAGCGTTTGGTCGAACAGGAGCTTGCGCAAAGTATTGGGTATGTCGAGCCGTTTCTCGTAGATCACGTCCGTGGACAAGGAGGGCGCGAGCGTCTGGCCCGGGAACTTATACTCGAGGTATTCTTGCCAGAGGATGTTGGGAGGGCAGGATATCAGAGTGAAGATGACGAATTGTGCCAACGGCACGAGCCTGACGGAGAAGGATGTCTATTTGGAACAAGTGGGTTAGGGTTCAATGAAAGACGAGGTGTAAAGGCGCGCCCACCTCTTCTCGGTATGCTTTGATAGCTTGGGCTGCCAGGTTGGAGATCGCAGAGAGCGCGGCAGCTTCGAGAGTCGTGGTTATGATGTGTGATACCATGGTTGAGACCTAGGTGAGGCGGTAGTCGGTGAACTTGCAGGCGTAAAGAAACGAAATAAAACCCCCGCTATGTACAGTACAGGAACGAAGGCAAGAGAGAAACGGTATCGTCGTGATCGCCCGCTGCTGATCAACAGCAATGGCCGTCGCAATGGTGATCGATTGAGCCGATTCGCATACACAGTACGGGGTAAACTCACCTTCACACCGTGCCCGTGTAAGTGCGTAGGTGGCTTGTAAAGTCACGTGATCGTAGTGTGGCTGGTTGGGTGGCTGGAGTGGCGGGCATTTGTCGTCCCCTCCCGGTCGCTGTCTTTTGGCCCTCACGAATGGACAACGCATCAATCATGGCGGCATCGCGGCCCAACGTGAGGCTGAACCCTCCATGTTGTCGGGTCCTGTACTTGCAGCAGTACGTGACTGAATCTGTGCTGAATGTTTCGGCAGCTCGACGTCAAGCGAAGAGGAACCGAATTGATCATCAGGCACAAAGTACGTAGGTCGGATTGATGCAGAAGGATTTGCAGGAGATGAGGTGTGGGAAACGCAGCCTTACCAGCGTACAGCAGTTTGGATTTGTTCATTGATTTGACTGCTGGCGAATCCTCTGTCGCGCGTGCCTGGCCGCAGTTCGCGTCATGGTCATCATGTGGACGGCGGGAGACAAATAGAAAGCAGTACTTACTGGACGTTGGCACAGCCAAAACAAACGCTTTGTTGTCACTGGCCGCCCCGAGGCCGAAAACACGGCCATCAGTAGCGAGTCCGATTGGTTGTCCATTGTTGACATGAGCTATCTCGAAAGATGCATCGAGATTGCAATTCCATCACACGAGGAAACCGGACGCTTGCGCAAAGATGTGATGGATGTGTTTAGGGACTTGTGGTTCTGCTGGCACCGGCGCTGGCACTGGCAGCACGGATCGGTCAAGGTCAAGCTAGGCGAGCTGAAAGCGTGGACAAACCCCCGCAGAATGAATCATCTTTGACTGCAACCCTCGCCCACGCTTCCAAGGTTCTCAGTTACTGTGCTTCATCAACCTACTTACCTACACTGCTTCACTCACCGACTCTCCCACCAGCATCACATTCCCAGCCTGCTTTCCCCAGCTTTTCAAGGCTTCTGTCGTCACTTGCCCGCTGCGCTAACCTTGACCGCCCTCTTCCCTCGACGCTCTGCCCGCATCCCCGACGGCGCACAACTGAGTTGAAGTGCAGGCTGAAGGACGCGACAGCTATCACCACCGTCGCAGTCTCCCAGCGCAACCCCCACCTCAACGCCGGCGCATCTTCAGCAACTGACTACTCTTGCCGCGATCGAGTCTGAGCTTGTTTCTCGTTCGCTGCCCCCTACTCTGCTCTACCATCCAACTTGACGCGGCCGCACTGGTTGCCGGCCTCAGCCATCATGGACCAGCAGCAGAAAGCACCTGCCCCAGTGTACGATCTGTCCCAAGGTGGTCATTATGGAGCAAGCGCTGCCGTGAGTACTACAGTTTCCTATCCTGAGATGAACATCGGACCGCGGAGTCCAGAAGAGGAGGAGAATGGAGGAACACTTGTGTACACTACCTGGGGTCCATCGCAAATACTTTGTGCAAAAGGCGCTGACAAGAGGAACATAGCTCTCCGCTCAAGGATATGTGCCTCACACAGAACTGTACTCAGGGTTATGGTCAAACGTAAGTCTCCGGGCATATCCTTCTCGCGCTCATCACTTACACTCCTTTCAGATCAACCAAGGCTTGACTGGGCCATCGCGAGAGATCCTGGCAACGTACTGGCAACAAACCATCAACCATCTCGAGACCGATACCCACGACTTCAAGATCCATCAGCTTCCTCTCGCCCGCATCAAGAAGGTGATGAAGGCCGATCCAGAGGTCAAGATGATATCGGCCGAGGCACCCATCCTCTTCGCGAAAGGTTGCGATATTTTCATCACAGAACTCACCATGCGCGCTTGGATCCACGCCGAGGACAACAAGAGAAGGACCTTGCAACGCAGTGACATTGCCGCGGCTCTCGCCAAGAGCGACATGTTCGACTTCCTCATTGATATCGTCCCTAGGGAAGACAGTACCGGCCATGGAAGCTCGTCAAAACGACCAAATACCAGTGGCCAGGCCGCTGCTGCCCAGGTCCAGCAACAGCAACCTCAACCCCAGATGCCTCCGCCTGACTATGGCATGCAGCCGGGCACAATGGGACCTCCGGACCCCCAGTATGGAAGGCCTCAAATGTACCCTGCTCACATGGGCGGCGACGCACAGCACGATCCCAACCAGGGCTATGGACAGCCTCCGCAAATGTTTGGTGGCGGCGATATGTACAACCCCTACGCACAAGGGCAATTCGGCGGCACTGGGGCACAGCAGGTAAGTGACGCATCTTGGTGATAATCTCTTCGCTTCGCGAGCACGATAAGCTGACCAGTCTCGCTTAGATGTACTCGAATCTGCAAGGCCAGAGGCCGCAGAGCCAAGGATACGGCGGTCCCCGACCCGGCACCGCAGGAAGAGATCAGCAGGTCAATGAGCAGGGCTACGGTCCTGGTTAGTGGCCGGGCCCAGCCTTTGCGCAAAGAGCCTCCCACTCTCGCTCGCCGACTCCTGCAACTCCTCCACCCAACTTCATGTTTCCTGGTGCCACTCCACTAAGATTTGATGTGAAAGCACCTGTCATGCATCACCCCAAACCCTTCCGACCAATCGTCCCTAGACTTCTCGCTCCAGAGCCACCTAGCTCTCCGGACATGTACTTGGAGCAGAGTCCTGACACCGCTGGCACATCGTTAGAAGACGCGGAAACTCCAGTCGATCCCTCATTGTCCCCTCTGCTAAGAGCGTAGTGCCACTTCCGATGGAATTGATTTGTATATTGTGATCCCAGAACAAAGAAAGATATGCGAACAGCAAAGCACGGAGCATCATCATCTGTCACTCATCATGTCAGTTTTAGGAAGCGGAGTCGTCAGCACAGCATCGTTACGAACTCAGTCACAACAAAATGAAATAGCTTTGGTTCTATGATACCCCCAAACTTTGGTCTTAAGCTCCTCTTCACCCGCACTCCAGTTTGTCACCGTTTTGGAATTCGATCAATGCGATCAATTTCTGGTTGAGGTCGCAGTCCTTCCCATCACCACGTTACCGGGGAATGATCCCAGCTCATCCCAGCTACGGTCATTGGGGCACGTAGCTCATAGCAGCAGTATACTAGACATCGTCTCGTGGAAGTCGAGGCGCCTTTTATCTCATCTGAAATTTATGTAGTAGGTTGGTGGGTTTGTGGATCCCATCCAACTCAGCCGCTGGCCCGATTACACTTCCAACAACAGTGCTGCTATGATAGAGCGAGTCCTGGATTTTAATTATCAATATTTAGTCGCATGAAGAGATCATACAAAAGTGACGATGAGGTACTGGTCCGTTCAGAGTAAGCGAGCAGTCACGCGCTCGCAACTTGAGACTTCCAACTGTCAAGCCAAAAAGACATGCGTACGGTACCCTCCTGTCGTCGCAGCACGAAAAGGCCATCTACCGCCCACTATGCATGTATCTATCGCGCAAGGCCCCAAACGTCGTGCCTCCTGTTCTTGACCCGGTGCTCCCACTGTGCCCTAGGCCGGCACTCTGTTGCCCATTCGCCCAACCGGCACTTGTGGGCGACCGGCCCATATCCACGTGGACGACCTTTTCGAGCAGCATGGGCCCCTTGAGCGGGTCGACGTTCCTGTACTTTTTGTTGCGCAGGCTGATGTCGTAGAACTCGTCCGGCTGGTCCGTGCGCATGAGCGCGATGGTCTGCACGAGCTCATCGAGACTCTCGAGCAGGACGAAGTTGTTGGGCAAGGTCTCGACGTAGGCGCGGAAGTGCGAGATGTCCATGTCCATCTGGGCGATCGTGGCCGTGGTGATGCGCTCGACGCTGTCGGAGAGGGGCAGCGAGAGGATGCTGCTCGCCGTGTGGGAGATGGCGTTGAACAGCATGAGATCTTTCAGCGAGGACGGGAGCGACAGGAGCACCGAGTTGATGATGTTGGCGAGGTACCGCGTCAGGGTCAGGATGTAGTTTGAGGGCTCCGTGGGAGGGTCGCTCGAGAGCCAGTCGTATTCGGCCGTCTCGATGAGGTCCGAGACCTTGCTGTTGACGAGTTCGAAGATGCGGTTTTCCGCCGTTTTCTGGTGCGTGCTGAATTGGGCGGTGGCCTTGAGGGAGATGGACGGGCCCGTGGTGGCGGCTGATGTGGAGGTGCCGTTGAGCGAGTTGGTCTGCGACGAGGAGCGTGCGCTGGCCAGCAGGGTCTCGAGTTCGTGGCATGCGGTCGTGAAATGGGAGAGGTTAATGAGGATCTGGACAATCTGGCCGAGGTATTGGGAGGAGAGTTTGGAGACGAGGCTGGCGCAGACTTTTGTGGTGAGGAGGTCGTCTAACGACGTGAGTAGTTGGGAGTCGATCTTTTGGGACAGTGGCGAGGGCGCGTTGTCCTCCTGCGCGGAGAAGAAGTAGAATTGGTTGAGGAAGTTGCGGATGTCGATGCAGCAGAGCGGGTACATTTGCGAGAAGGGGAAGACGGTCGGGAAGGTCATTTCGTGAGCGGGTCGATCCGGCGTGTACCAGGAGACGTTGACGACTTTTTCGAACTCTTCGGCGTTCTGGATCGGCATGGGCATGTAGTCGTCCGTGCTGACGATCTCGATAAAGTCCTCGCTGAAGCGTTGCTTGAGGAGCTCGGCATACTTGTCGAACAGGACGAGCACGAAATTCGACATGGCCGCGGTGTTGAAGTTGAACTTGTTCATCGTTTGGATGAAGAGAGAGATCAGGTTCTTGATCATCAAGAGGTGCTCTGCGTTGTCGACCGCTGACAGGGCCCGGGACATGAGGGAGATGGCGGTCTGGCAGAGCGAATCCCACAGTTCTTCCACGTCCGTGGTGGAACGCAGATCGGGCACCTTCTTCATTGTGGCCCGCTCCATGATGGCGAAACCCGCGATGTCCTCGAGCAGGGTGTGCAGGTCTCCCATCTCTTCATCGACAAGAGAGATGGAGTTTGAGAGGAGTAGATCGCGTTGTGCCCGACGGCTCGCAGCATAGTCTGTCTTGAATTTCTCCATCTGCCCGAGCGAGCGGTAGATGTGTAGCGCCTCGAATAAAGGCGTGAAGTCAACCTCGAGATCCTCGCTCTTCAGAAGGTCGAATTCTTCGTGCTCGTCAGCCACGAGCTCAATTGCCGAGTTCAACTTGAAATTAGCCAGGTACGGGTTCTTTTCGGATCTCTCCTTCAGTCGCTGCTTACGCAGATCCGTGTGATAGAAAGACAGCTCTCCGAGATACTGAGACATCTCGCGGACCCGGAAAAGCCAGGTATTCAGATCGGCCATGACTGCTTCAGCAATCAACTTTTGGGTTGCTGGGACCGATTTCTGGATCAGTTCGCTCAATTGGTACTGGGTCACGCTTTGCAAATGGACACTCTGCAGTTCGTCCAGCGCTCGTAGGGCTGCATAGTGCTTCTTCTGGTCGCGGAGCTCTTGGACTTGGTTCGCAAGACGGAGGACTTCCAGACAGTCCTGCAGAGCGTGCCGGGCATCTTCGATGTTCTGTCGCACGCCTCGCGACTCCACCAATGCTTTCTTCTGGTCGACGAGTCGTTCGGTGCTAGCCTGAATGGACTGGTTTAACTCGAGTATCTCGTTCGTGAGCGTCATTGTCCCTTCGCGGATCCGAAGTAGCTGGTTGACGGATTTGACGAATTCCTGATGGTTTGTGTTGCATTGTCGTTCGATTTCGGCTTCGCGCTCCCCAGCGAGGTCGGACAGCTGGCTGAGCAGATGGGCCGTCTTATTGCCAAAGCTGTAGTCTTTGATGTAAGGAATCAGCTGGTCCAAGGTATCTGCTTCGGACGACGAAGTGACGATCTTGAAGCGTAGTCAGCTTATGATTGGTACGCACGGTAGTCCTATATACCTGCTGGAGAACATTATTCATGTCATTCCTGTATGGCGCTATAGAAGGCATGATTGCGGTGCATCTGACTCCTCAGAAGCTTCGTAGACAGTGAAGGAGTCTGCCTCTGTCCAGACGATCTCGATGGGCCTCGGAATCAGGGTGGCGCTCCCTTCCCGTATGCCTATGTAGGGAAGCGTTTCAGACAGTGTTTATCACGACCGATCATGAAGAAGATACTATCGTGCTGAGCATGGTCTTCACCCTGGTGGAGAATGGGTATTTCTGTGACGGTCCAAGGTAACAATGAGAGAACAGGAGCCATGCCATCCAGACGAGGTTCACATATACCGCTAACGCCATATGGCTAGCGCCACTTGGCCCGGGCGCTAACGACAAGTGCTGTCGATTTCTGACAAGCACCTCAAAACCTCACGACCTCACACCTCCTTCATGGTTCACTTCTCCCATGACAATGATCAGCCTTTTCAACAATCCAGAACTTCAACGGCTTCTTGACCTTTGGGTCCTGGAAATTCACACGGTTCAAGAGAGTTTGCAGTGCGCAGTAAGCAGTTGTAGGGCCAGAGGGCCAGATATCTGCAGACAATCCAGGTGAGGTGAATTGAAATTGGTTCGATCAGAGAAAAGATGCCAGACTTGCCTTTACACAACAACATCAGCAGGGACACTGTGTTGGCCAGTGTCGCAAATAGCTGTGCAAAACAGAAAGAAGAATAAGAAAGAACTAACGGCTGGTCGTGAGCTGGGGAGCCTGTGTTCTCTCTTCAGCTCAGATATGGAGAATCCTGAGGTGTTGCTAACACCCAGCCAACGACACTCGTTGCCCGCTTCTGGGACAATCTTCCAGACAGTTCTGCTTCCCCGCTGAACGATGGTGTCGCCTGCGGCTGGGGAAGTCGAGTGAAGTCCCCCAGCCGCCTTGATGCGCAATGATGTCGCTGGACATGAGTTGCAATGTGAGGCCTGGAGGCTGCGACTCTGAGCTTGTGTGCGAAGCCCATCACACGGTCGCTGCCGCTGTCGGCGCTTGTGATGCATTACCCCTCATACAGATTTGTATGTGAACGTGCACAATACATGCGAGGGGTGCGGCTGCTTGGATGTTGACATCGTCGACGTTCCCCTCGTTGATGAGCTCATTGACACTCACCTACCCCGACATCATCGTCGCCCAGCCGACTCTTCTGTCGTCAAATCCATCGTCGGACGCGTCGTTTGAAGCGGCCCATACCCGTTGTGGACGCTTTGGCAAGAGCACACAACATTGCTCCTTCCTATAAATTTTCTCCCTCTTCCCCCACCAACTCTTCTCTCTCCCTCTCTCGACAACGCTCACACTCCTTACCCGCAACACATTCCTTCAACGTTGTTCACACCTTCGAATCGTCTTGTTATTCGTCCTCACTCCATACATTCCTTACTGCAACCCACACCCTCATTGATTTCAGCACATCCAAACACCTCACCTGGTAAGTTTTTCTCATGCCTTCTGCTCACCTGTCTGCCAAAGCCAAGTGAGTTGAGGACATGAACAAACACCAACATTCCGTCCCCTGCCCCTACGCTCCCCGAACACTGCAAACTTTGCCATTATGGCCATCTGCAGCTCTGGTACAGTGGTTGCAAATGTTTCGCTTCCGCAGCATCTCGTCTGCCTAAGCACACAGAATAACCAGCCAATGTTCACTTTCGTACCCCCAATTTATCACTTCATCCTACAAGACTCTCAATCAACGCAGACAACTAACGTTCAGCTTCTGACAGCTTACAACATGTCTCCACATGGTGCAGCCATGAGTTCCTCTCCTCATTCTGTCGATGAGACCATCAATCATGGCACACCATCCACCAACATCACCGCCTTCACTCCTGAGGCTGTTTCCGTCAACAAAGGAAAAGGTCGTGCTGTTGACTCGGCTTGCCGCCCTGTTCTTACACTTCGCCCTGGTCAACTCAAGCTTGCAAAGTAAGTTCACTCACTGCCTTGCCCGCGCCTGTCATCAGCCAGCCACATGTTGATCCAGAGCTCACTTTCGGCACCTTACTGACTTGACCAGCCTTGGCGATGAGTCTGAAGAAGACATCTTCTTGTCTGCTCCGTCCACCAAAGGCACTCAGCTCTCCCCAACTGCCGAAGTCTTCACTCCTACTTTGCCAACTGTTTTCATGAAGAAGGATGCAGAAGGTCAGGCTGAGAACAACGTTCATGCTGAAGAGTAAGACGTACCTGTAAGTACATCCATACCAGACTCTTGCCTCGTTTACGGCATTCTAACACATCGGCAGATTCGTGCTCCCTACCCGTTTGAGTTCTTTCCGAACGGCGTTCCTGCATCTCGTCGAGCTGAGGTCGATGCTCACGTCCGAATTCATCAGTTTGGCCTCATCGACATCAAGCAAGTCCCCTTCAACAATGTCGCTCGTATATATGTACATGATACGACCATCACCGAGGGTGTCTTCAGCACTGACGAAAGCTTTTCTCGCTCTTTCCTCGTCGCCGGCGTCCCTCTTTGGTTTCCTTCACGAGTCATTGGCCAACACTTCACAGTATGTGTGAACCTATCGACGTTGGTTCAGCTGCTAACTATGTAGGTGGAGAGATTTCCGAGTCTCAGAGGTGTCAATGCCACCAAGCTCCCAAGTGGCCTTTTCACTGTCTCTTGCTCTGATATCCGCGACACCGAGCAAGCTGCCGCTGTCGTTAAGTCGATCCTTCCCTATGCCACGCTCATGCCATGCAGTGGCAAGACCTACGCAAAAGAGATTGGTGCAGACCCAAACCTCGCCAGTGACTACGAAGGCCAGATGATGCTCAGCATCTACTACAATCCGAATGCTACTGCCCCGCCAGTCGAGGCACAGCCAGTCATTACTGAGATCAAGCGTCTTCTAGGCCAATGTGGTGATGTCAAAGCTTTCCATACTTGCACCTCTCTCCAGACGCACGTCCGAGAGATCCGTGTCGAGTTCTACAATGCCGATCACGTTGACGTCGCCAAGGATGTCATTCGTGGCACTGTGATCCAGGTACGCCTCCAGCTTCCCGATCTTTGTCACTGCTAAGTTTCTTCAGGGTTGCGTCGTTGATGCTAGGCCATACCAGCCAGACGTGCGTGTCCCCATTTACGACGAAGAAGAGATGGAGGCTTTTCAGCAGCTTTCCATCACTGGTCGCTCAAGAGTTCCAGTCGGTGATGATGAGTATGATCGCATTGCCCATGCCATCCATCGTGATGGTCTGCATCGTGGTCGTCGCGTCGCTCAGAACATGAACCACAATGCCGTCGACGTTGCTCGCATCCAAGCTGGACTTGATGTTCGCACCACTGTGTGTATATACACCCTTGCATTTTCCAATCTCCACCTGCTGATACTTCTTTCAGATCATGCTTCGCAACATCCCTAACCGTGTCGATCAGCCGATGCTCAAGACCCTGCTCGATGTTACCAGCTGTGGTCGTTACGACTTCATGTACCTGCGAATCGACTTCGCCAACAACTGCAATGTTGGTTACGCCTTCATCAACTTCATCGACGCTCAATCCATCATTCCCTTTGTCCTTGCACGTGCTGGTAAGCGCTGGAACTGTTTCAGTTCAGACAAGGTTGCCGAAGTCTCCTATGCCAGTAAGTGCTCCCCTTTCATCACACTGTTACCTTCTGCTAACTATGCCTCAGCGATTCAGGGCAAAGACTGCCTCGTTCAGAAGTTCCGCAACTCGTCCGTCATGCTTGAGCACCCTGCTTTCCGCCCCAAGGTAAGTCCACATCCAATCATATCACGGTTCTTGACTCACAACTCTGCAGCTCTTCCTTGCTGGCAACTTCCCCAATGCAGGTCAAGAAGAGGAATTTCCCGGTCCAGACAATCAATCCAAGATGCGTCGTTCGGTTGAAAACGCGGAACACGTCGGTCTGTTTGTCCCATTCCATGCAGACCGCCAGCAATGGTACCCTCAACCCTTCGCTCCTGCCCCTGCTTTTCACCAACGCAATCCCATTGTGCGACCTGCTGGCAGATTCAATCATGAAGAGAATCGCCGCCGTGGTGTCTATCTCCCACCTGCCCGGGTTGTCAGACCAGACCCCATGGAGCCCGAGGACTTCCCCCAAGACCCCTCTCCAAGCCACCGCCGAATCCCCTTCTTGGTTGACATCAGAAGCCCCTACGACCCATTTGCCGGCCGTCCTTCTGCCTCTACGTGAGACATACTTATTCTTATCACGTTGTCCTGACAAATGTACTGATATGTCTTCCTCTTTCTACAGGTCTTTTCGCTCCTAGACAAGGTCAGGCGTACAGAGAAGAGCAACGTCGTCGACGTTCGCAATTCGACCGCGGCACACCAGGTGCTGAGCATGAGTTGGGTGTTGCACCACGTTACCGGCTTCAGGATCGGGCATTGGAACCTGTCAACCATATGCATCTTCAACACTTCTAACTCGACATTATGGTGGCGCCGGAAATCTTGCGAAGTTTCAGGTCACCGTTGGTATCATGGTCGTTGGTGATGTCTTTGTCCTGGAAATGATTTCTTGCCTCTCGGCCTGGATGGTTCCCCTGCTGGGTTCATGGAGTGCAATGGTCATGCACTTGGCGTCTTGTTGCAGAGTTGTGCATCGAAGGATGGATGTGCTGGAGTCCCCCCTTGCCCCGTCATCATTACACCCCTTATGTGTTGTTACACATCTGCCCTAATACTCCCTCATCATCCTGCAAGTTTCCCTTTGTTTCAATCAATCGATTTGCGCTGGGTTGTCATTGAAAGCAATGTGCAGAAGGACATGGTTGAAGAATGAGCGTCATCAGAAACAGTCATGTACCATCACTACTGTGCCTCGATCACTAGGAGTGATCGTAGCTATTCATCAATGGAACCCATTCATACCCTGCTTCTTCCTCTGTGGCTGTTGTCGCGTGCAAGCTGTGAGTGTAGGCCTCCGTCGCAGTTCTTAGCGCCGCTCGGTTTTCCACCAAGACAAGCGACGGACTGCTTCCCTCGAGCCCAGGAGAAGAAGAACGTCCAGGAGCTCCGTATGGTCTCAGCTCCAAGCATCATCGCGTGTGGTGATTTCCACGAAGGTCGTTCTTGTCACGTACAACCACGTGTCGGGAGGGAACAAAAGACAAGAGTATGTGATCACCCCGGCCTCCAATCGCGCTGTAGCCCAGGGGCTGTCACTTGAATTGTACTGTTTCCCCCTGCGGCCGAAGCTGACTCTGACCCACATCGAGACAACTTGGCTGAAAGGCTCGGCAGTGGCTTCATCACCACGTGGCTCGGCTGTCAAATCTAGGGCGGGGCTGCCAAACTCACCAGAGGTCCAGCCGGAGATCAAATGAAACCTAAGGCTATCGGAATTGCCCTGCTCGAGCTGCGCGAAAGAGGGGATGTTTTCACCAGTAAACATCCGCGTCAGTCGGACAGCAGCAGGCATGGTGGCAACAATAGGGCCAACCGTCGTACCACGGCTGGAGACAGACTCCGGAGGCGCTGGGGGCGCCAGCGGCTGAAAGCACGAGGAGGATGCACACATTACAACCGCTGACCCGCTTCTAAGTTCTCTCAAGTAAAGGTGAGGCGAAGGTGCTGAAAGCACTGTTGAGATTGTTTTTGGGTCTTCTCCTGTACGTGGCCCACGCGATACCGCTCTCCGGAGATCAAACGATAACATATCATATCACAAACCATTTCCCGGTCACTGATACTCTCACGGTACGTACAGTGTCTACTATTCGTAGCGGGCACTGTCCTGTAAGTCCCGATGGCGTACGTGTACACGCCAAGTGCCCAAGATGCCATGGAATCCAGCTCATATCCAATCGAGGCATCAGTGCCTCCGACGCTGGCGGCCATGTCGAAGGGCGCCAATGTCGTGGAAGGTTGTTCGCACGAACCCTGCAGCTATCAAATGCCCGGGCTCCTTGGCTATCGTGCAGAAATTGTAGAAGTACGGGAAATCCTCGTGCGTTGTATCCGTTGGTTAAGTAGACGAGACCTTCGAGATCGTCGTAGGCAGAAGGCCACGTCAGACCTGCTGAAGCCCCGGCGATGAAAGATACGAGACCAAGGGCAAGAAGCCCAAGGTTATTCGTTCTCCGCAGGATGAGCGTGTGTGTTGATCTTCTTTCTTTCTTGTGGGTACTGAAGGGGTTGTGGGTGGACGGAACGTCCAATGGACGAAGACGGTGAAAACGAGCAAATAAGATGTGGCCAGATATAAGCGAACTGACGACTGAAGGTGCGTTTGGCTATAAGGGTCAAGAGCAAGATGTTCGCTTACCGGCAGCTAGCGAGCATTGATCAGAGGCTGAAGCTCGTGTACATGCCTTATTCTGGGAAAAGCATTGCCTGCCTTGATTCCACGCCTGTTTTCCGCGAGCAAGGTACTGCGCAACATTCTTGAGCATGTACTGGCACAGTCCTCAGTGAACCGTCTTCGGACCAGCTTGCTACCCTCTCGGCAGAACTTTACAGATTGCCTACTACTCGGCCCAACGGACTCGTGCACGTTCCTATCGTCGTATCCTGCAGGCCCACTAACCTTCGAAACTGGATGAAGGTTAGGGCCGATGAAATCCTTCGAAGCCAAAGGGGGAGTTCACGGACTCCGCCGAGAAGATGCAGCCACACAAATGGAGTTGTGGATGATTGTCCAGCAAGATCTTGGTTGACCCCATCCTTTCGTCAATGTAGAGGCTGGAGAGGCTTAGTCGCAGCGGGCTCAAAGGCGCGCCCCGGATGACGGGGCCTTCGCTATAAAAATATCACCAGCCAAAGTCGCCCTGACGGCGGATATACGACCCCGGAGGATCCATACACTTGAATGGGATAGAAGCGATGTTTCAGAGTGGTGCTTGGTACCCGAATCAGTCTTGGCAATCTTGCTCGATGTATTATCTCAATTGACTCGAATCTGCTCACCATCTTCCTGCTCGGCGAGTCGGCCAACAATGTAAGCTGACATCCACACTCGCTGAGTGGTAGGTGTAGCGGACATCATCATTAACAAGTGTCTACCTGGCGGAAAAGCTACTCCGCCAGCAGAAGTGCGAAGGGGGGAGTAGGTCGGTACTGAAGATTGCCAGAGAGTACCTGTACAGTGAGTGACTGGTGAAGCTGTTCTGATCTGATTGACTCGAGAAACAGTTGAAATTGAAGGAGTCGCTGTGTAAAGAGCTAGTAAGGAGCTATTCCAGATTTGTACTAGCTCAATTGCTGCTCAGCCGCAAGCGTCAAATGAAGCTTTTGCATTTTTGCTTGTGCCTTGCGAATCGTGGCTTTCGAGACATTGGTGTGGCAATGGGCCATCAAGAGAGTTTCTCAGTCGTGGTGTGATATGCGCATCAGGGCTATGTGACGATATTTGTGTAGGCACGCGAAACACCCGCGTAGCCCGAGAAGCTTGGGTCATTTAGTTCTCTGTCGCCGAGAAATCGGCAGACGAGAGATGCCCGACAGTGTCAAAAGGCCGAGAGATGGGCCACGTCCGTCGGTCGAGGCTTCCGCCGCTATTACTGCCGAGATGAGATCAAGAAATCCGAAGAGGAAGAAGCTCCGTCACGGGCCCCTTCCGGGTGGCTTCCACGCACGTTCGCGATCACGAGGGAAGACACCAACGGCTGCAGTGAGGAAGAAGCATGTCCGTCCTCAACCGCCACGTGAGCTTCGCTCATCGGGAATAAAGCATCGACAGGCGAACGGAAAGGGGACTGGAGCAGATGTCAAGACCAATATCAGACACTCAGCTAGGCCTTTGACCTCAGATTCCGAGGGCAACATTACCACTCTATCATTCGCCAAAAGTCTGCTCGGCAAGATCTGGGTCCGGAACAAAAACCAACACCGTACGCAACCTTGGTGGAGGACGCTTTCCTCCCTCCGGAAAGCCACATCTCGCCTTACGGCACTGGAGGATGAAGAGCGACGACTCAAATCCGAGACCCAATTGGCAGGCAGCCACACCAGTGGCCAGCATGCGAGAAAACGATTTGAAAGGGAAAGCCAACTTCGCACCGAGGAGGAGGCCTGGATGCAGTGGATACGTGAAGTCCTGTTGCCAAAGGCGTACCTTGGCTTCTCGAGTTTGGTGGGAGACACTCAGTTCGCAAATCTGGGGGTCGTGTTGGTAGGCGTGCTCGCTGATATTGTGAGTGTGACTGGTGCCCCCGAGCCCGTTAAAGGGCGCGGTGACGGTCCAGGAGATGCCAAGATGACGGAGACACAGAGGCTCCAGGAAATGGTTGCTACTGGCGAGGCGAGGAGGCTGGAGGCTACGAGTCTACGGGTGACGGGACTCCAGAGCGGTGAGCTAGTCGAGAGACAATATGATAGTGATGACTTAGGAGAAATCGTGGAAAGGGATACGAGCGAGGGGGACGCAAAGAAAAGGCAAATCCTCCGCTCCAACGAGAACAAAAAAGTCACAAACACACCGTCTGACAGGGGAGACCTGAGAAGGCCCAGTCCGGCAGCAGTCATACCGAAGATGCTGAAACAAGAAAACCTGGCAACACAAAAGATAGAGGCAGCGTCTGCTCGCCGCCAACCTGATGTTGGAAGAACGATGCTCCCCAACGAGACCTTCCCTAGGGGAAAGAGCGAGAGCGCCACAAACGGTGCCGGTAAGGTCGGCAAGCCCAAGCAAGGGAAGCCCAGGAAGAAAAACAAGAACGCGATAGATGATCTATTCGCTGGCCTCACCTGAGACAGTGACGACTGTAAGGACTACTCTTTACGGCCTCGAAGGTTGAGGCATTGGTTGGCCTGGCCCGTCGATTAGGTGGCTACACAATATATCCTTTAGACAACTTTCGAAGTTTCGTGTTGCTAAAAGATTACAGGATTAGATGAGAGATATATCTGTGCACGAGCTGGCCACATCCTCCCTGTTCAAAGCTGCCCAGGAGACCTGAAAATCGAAGGGGTATCGAGTTTTCTGGGCGCCTCAATCGCACATTCTTGATACGTTGCGCCCATTGTCCATCGCTCATGGTTCGGGTGCTTCGAGGGAGCGAAGCACACAAGACCCTGATAACCATGCGCCATACGCCAGAAGGAAAGCTTCCGTCTTTCGGCAACCGGGGCCTGTCTGCGCCGATTGCTATGCATATGCAAGAACCATCCCTTCAGTCCCATTATCGTTCCAAATTGCGCCATTCAAGGCCCAGCCACTGTTGATGCTAGGGCTGCGTCTGCCCAAAATGCATGTACTGATAGTATTCGGCAAGGTCGTGTCTTCTCCCACTACCCTTGCCAGGACCACCATGACCCGAGGCCGGATTTTGACCCGAACCTCGTCGTACCTAGCGACGGTACGGATCCTGTCCGCCACCGCCATACCCTCGGTCTCTGTCGCGATCTCTGTAGTGCCTGTCTCTGTCCGGATCACGATCCCTGTCTCGTCTGTCCCGGTCCCAGTCCCGCACTGGACTTCTACTCCTTGGCCGTCTTTCTCGGTCTCTGTCTCGATCATGCCCTTCTCGACCACCGGACTCATCATACCGGAGTGGTTCGCCATGGTCAGGTCCAGCATCCCTGTACGGTGGCCGGTCATCTCTCCATCTCTGTTTCGGTGGAACCACGTTGGGATCTGCGCTCGAATATGATGGAATATAAGTATCCCGATGACCGCCTGCTGGAGCTCCACCGCCCGATCCGACAGGGGGTGCTCGAGATCTTGGCGGCGGTGGACCACGCCCATCGTCGCGATAGGGAGGGAAATCCGGCGGACCATAGCGATAAGGATCGACTTCTGAGGGCAGCGGACGAGGCGGCAACGAGTGCTCCGCAGGAGGTCGGCGTGGGTAAGCATCGTCGTAGGGTGGAGGACGATGATGTTGGTCAGAAGGTGGCAAGTCTCGATGTGGAGGATGATGAGAGATCGGTCCACGATGATCAGGGCCGCCACCATAGGCGCCATTCGGACCAGGAGGGCCAGGAGGTCGGCGACCATAGCCTTGGTTGTGACCGTTGGCATGTGGTGGCCTGCCGCCAGGAATACGAGAAGGAGGACCATGATTCACAGGGCCTCTGCCATCGTACGGCGGAGGCCGTCCGCCGATGCCCCATTCGCCTTGCGGACCGATACCCACGGATCCGCCAGCAGGTGCAGGTGGTCGCTTTGATTTCTGATCTCTAAATTTTCGTCGATCCAATTCATGTGAATCCTCGAATGAGGGCAATTCTTCGGGTCCCGCAGGGTAGGGCGCGCTATGAAAGTAGGGGTGTTTCAGTGCGTCAATAGCATTGATACGTTTCCGCCAGTCGAGCTTCAGCAGTTCGCTCAGCAATGACATAGCCAGGGGTTCGAGATCGCGAAATTGGCGATTGAGCGTTGGCGGTGTCGGTTCAAATTCTGCGATCGCCTCGGCACCAGGGAGTTCTCGCCAGCCCGGCATAGTATCATCATTTGGCGGTCCCAGCAGTTCGAATATCAGCTTCGCTTGATTGAGATCACTGTCTCCGGTCAAGATAGGCTTGTGCTTGAACATTTCCCCAAAGACGCAGCCAACCCCCCACATGTCGATGGCAGTCGTGTACTTGCGCAGCTGAAGCAAAAGTTCAGGCGGACGATACCATCTCGTGACCACAAGCGTGGTGTATTCTCGTGTGGCCTCGCCTCCTCCGTGGCCGGGCCTTGGCGGCTCATCGTCGTAGGGCCGTGCCAGGCCGAAATCGGCGATCTGGAGGATTCCTCGGTTGTTGATGAGCAGGTTGGCGGCTTTCATGTCGCGATGTAGGATTCTGTTCTCATGCAGGTATGCGCATCCCTGGAGTAGTTGCTTCATATAACACTTGATTTGGGGCACGGTGAAGTGCACATCGGGATTCTCAAGGAGGCCGGAGAGGTCGTGGTCCATATAAGGCGTCACCATGAACATGCTCGTCTTCTTACTCGCATTCTTGGGCCGCTCAACCGCCATTTCTTCCAGCTTCAGGATGTTGACATGGTCCAGTTGTTTCAAAAGTTTGATTTCCCGCAGCGCAGTAATGGGAAAGCCATCCTTCTCGTTGTGCATCAGAATCTTCTTCAGCGCCACCAACTGTCCGGTTCTCTTTGACCGTGCCTTTGAAACCTCGCCAAAGGTACCCTCTCCCAGCTTGCCCAAATACTCATACTCGGTGATTTTCGAACAGCCACGGAATCGCGGCCTGCCATCGTCAAGCCGTTCCAGCGTCTTCTTCGAACGTTGTGAATCGCTCGACATGGCGCTGCAGTTCCCCAGGCCTTACACCCAAGCGCAGGCGAATACTGTTGTGCCTCACTCCACCGTTTATCACCATATGTCTGAAGACGTGCCAGGCGCAATGCGTTTGCGCTCGTCGATCGTGAAGTTGCTTTAACGAAATGCTACTGACAAGCCCGCGGCCACAATGGGAGCACTTGATTCGTCATGAGGCTCAAAATGGGGACAGGAGGGAGTTGTGGCTCGACACCGTTGACGCGCGAATTGAGAGTGGAGTGAGAGAAGGTTCGTGGGAGGCAGGAATGCGCCTTGAATGAATGGGTAGATGAAGCTCAAGTCAGACGCGATCTGGGGTACAAGACTGGTCGGTGTCTCTTCCTGCGCCAGACTCAACCAAGTTTCATTCTCACAGATCCGATGTTGAGCGCAAGCCGGATTCCACGCGCACAAATGTTCTGCTTCGACAACATGGCAGATATTTCGTAATTAGGTGGCACTTAACACCCCTGCAGATTCAGTAAGATTCACCCAGATTGCATCGATCCTCGCTTGTCCCCCGCCTGCTCGAAAGACCACGAGTACTCCGTACAGATCGGAACCTGCAGCTGATGCCGAGTATCTCACCGTAGTCCTCCGGTGGGCCATACGGTCAATTCACGCGGACGTAGATCACGTGCGACGTGTCTCAAGGCGTCCAGCTCCCGACAACATGTAGGTAGCGTTACCTTCGCTTCCAAGCTCGGGAGCACATGTACAAGGCAGGTACATGATGTCCAAGGGCGTACAGATGTTGTCTCTGCGCCGGTAGGGTATTCTGTCGCGAGCATATATAGGCGTGTTGCTTACTGCCCGTACTTGTTCCACACTCAATCACATCCCATCGTGACCCTCGTACTCCGTACTTTCGCTTCCTTCCGTTGCAATGACACCCGAACGCCCTGCACCCGTGGATGACACGATCAACTCGGTTGGAGCGGCAGCGATACAGCAGCCACACGGCGAGGTTACCTCGAGAAGGGATGATGACCGGGATGGATTGGGGTCGTCTCCAGAGGTCGCGCCCGACGCTGACGCCATTCAACGACGAAGCACATTCAGGACATTTACCGTCATGGTTGCTCTTTTTGTGAGTAGGCATAGGACGCGTAGATGTATTCACCCCGGCTCATTTAGGGGTCACGCGTTCTGCATAAGGGACTGACTTGCAATCCTGCTTCAACTTCCAGTCCACACTCTTTATCGGTGCTCTCAACACTACCGTGGTAGCCACCGCGATTCCCACAATATGCTCCGACCTCGAATCAGCAGCAGGCTACTCCTGGATCGGTGCCTCGTATGTCATTGCCACGAGTGCCTGCAGTCCTGTGTGGGCGAAACTCTCAGACATATGGGGTAGAAAGCCGATCCTCCTACTGGGAGTTGCCCTATACTTCGGCAGCTCCGTCATGTGTGCCCTGTCCAGCAGCATGGCTATGCTCATCGTGGGCCGTTCGCTCCAAGGCATATCTGCAGGCGGGTTCATGACGCTCATCAACATTGTTGTGTCGGATCTGTTTAGCATGAGGTTCGCCCATTATCCCTTGGCATGGTTTCCCTTGCCGTATGATTGACGTCTATCGCAGGAGTCGAGCACTATTTCTGGGCCTACTTCACACGACCTGGGCTGTTGCTGGCGGAGTCGGCCCAGTATTGGGAGGTGCCTTCACGCAGCTTTTGTCCTGGAGATGGATCTTCTGGATCAACCTTCCGATCTGTGGACCGGCGTTCTGCCTGTTGCTCGTTTTCCTGGATGTGCATAACCCAAGGACCAAGTTTGCCGCAGGCATCAGAGCCATTGACTGGACGGGCAGCGTCTGCATGGTAGGTCTGATGGTGATGCTGCTGCTTGGTCTCAATTTCGGGGGCGCAGCCTACCCCTGGGACTCTCCAAAGGTCATTTGCCTCATCGGCGTCGGTGCTTTCATGGTCATCCTGTTTGTGTTCAACGAGGGCCGTCTGGCACGCCATCCGATAATGCCCCTGGGAGTATTTCGAAACAAGTCCAACGTCGCGTGCCTTACCCTTGGCTTCATCCAGCATTTCGTAAGTGCAATCCAACCGAGTTCCGTGGTCGAATGACAAGCCTCAACGCTGACTGCGACCAAGGTTCTCAATTCGGCAGAGTATTATCTACCTCTATATTTCCAATCCGCGAAAGAAGCATCGCCGCTCCGCTCCGGACTACTCCTCCTCCCACTGATACTCACGGAAGCATCCACCGGCGTTGCTGGGGGGATCTACATCCACCAATTTGGACGCTACATCGAACTGATCTGGGCGGGCGTGGTTCTGCTCACAATAGGCAATGGGCTCTACATCCGTTTTGACGCCACCTCTTCCATCGGCTCAATCGCTGCCTTTAAAGTTCTTTCGGGGCTGGGCGTAGGTCTACTGGTAAGTCGTCACTACTTCTCCAGATCAGCAGTAGCACTGGACGCACGTTCTAACGTCCTCCCAGTTCGACCCCCCCTACATCGCTCTCCAGGCCCTAGTCCCGCAAGCCGACATCGCCACCGCGACCGCCACCCTCGGCGTCATGCGCAACATCGGCGTCTCTCTGTCCATCGTCATCGGCGGCGTCATCTTCCAAAACGGCATGCGCCTCCGAAAATCAAGCCTCCATGCCCACGCACTCCCAGCAGATCTAGTCAACGACCTGTCCGGCCCGGACGCCGCCACGCATATCGATCTCATTTCCAAGGTCGCCAACCCAGCTCAAAGGTTGGCAGTCGAGCAGGCCTTCGCGCGGAGTCTGCGGAACCTGTGGATCACGTGTACTTGCATGGCGGCACTCGGTCTCCTCGCCGCCGGGCTTGTGACCAGGACGGAGCTGAGCAGGGAACATACCGAGACTGTGACGGGACTAGGGGACCAGAAAGACGGGGCCGTTTCTCACGACCAGGAACTCGTGCCCGTGCCTGCACCTGCTGCGAATGGTGGTAAGTAAGGACCGTGCAGAAGATAGAATCAGCGAGATATACATACACCCCTGTCAAAAAGTACAGAAGCCAAACAGTCTGGTGCATGGACGGATTTTGAAATTTTTATTTCTTGACAGATATCAATATGCATGTGCAAAGCGGCCCAGCTCAGCTCAAAGGTATGCATTGCGTTGCTTGACTTGTCCCTTGCTGCGTCATCGTCATTCAAAGGGTACGTTCGCTTCTCGTTCTGGCACAAACTAATCCTCCGTCAAGTCACCGTACTCCCACATGCCGCGCCGCTCCTTCTTGGCCTCTTCCTGCAGTTCTTTGAACTTGGCCAATGTGTCCCCGGCCTGCCTCTCCCACGGTTTCAGCTTGGTCGGCACCATGGCCAATCCCTCACGGAGGACTTCTGCATTGATACTCTCCTCAATCTTACTTGACACTTTGGGATCGAGCAGCGTGAGGTGCAATGTTCCCTCCGGGGCCACGTAGTCGACATTCGCAACGAGTTCGCGCCCGTCCGTCTGTTCCATTAGGAAGTCGACCGTGTCGCGGAGGTACTGCTCCGACGTCGGGAGCTGGAGGTAGGAAAGCATAGCGTCCGTTGCCTGGGGTTTCAGCTTCTGCGTCGAGAACTGCGGCTGTGTTAGGGATCGTAGGCGTGTCCAGGGGACGGTCTCCGAGTTGCCGTAGTCGAGGTACGTCAGATCGGCTTTCTTTCCGTCGCGATCAACTCGGCGCACGCGGGCTCGGTACCACTGGTCGTCGGCGGTGAATTTGGCGGCGACAATGTCACCGACCTTAGGAGGTCCGGCGAGCGGCTGATCGTTGGCCTTGTTCAGATGGAACGACTTGAAGGCGTTCATCAATTCCGTCAGCGCGGTTGTGCCGGCTCCGACTTGTTGGATCTTCAGCTTGCCGGACTCATCGACGTGAGTGACGACGACATCCCGATAATCTTTCTTCCTTGATACGGGCTCAGCTGCATCTCCATTCGTGCCCGTGTTGCCATTAGTAGGTGGCGCTAATCCATCGTCCTCGGCGTCTTTGCTAGGGTCCCAGTCGTGCCACATACCCTTGCGAGCCTCCTTTGCCTTTTTCTCCGCTGCGAAGAGCTCGTTCGAGTGGCCGCTTTTCTCGGCCGAATTGGCATGGACTTCTGCGAGGCCTTCTTCCAGAAGCGCTCTTGCAAAGTTTTCTCGGCCGACGTATAACGTGCCAATGAAGCCCCCGACCTTGTCTGTGTCCTCGACATCGATTTCCACATCACGCTGCATACATCTTCTGTTGGCGAAGTCATATGCCTCTTGACCAAAGGGCTCTGCTGCTTCTCCAGATTGACGCGCCGGCTTCGGCGTGCGAATGCCGGAGAGGACAAACGTCAATTTGGCGTTCTCGCGGGGGACGAGGACGACGAATCTGGAGCCTGCTCGGACAAAGTCTACAATAGCCGGGACCTTCTTCTGCCTCTGCAGCACGGAAGCTTCCATCTTGGCCTTCTGCAGACTTTCCGAATAATCCTGATATTGCTTTGCGGCGGGAGGCTTTTCCGACCACATGCCCTTGCCGTCCTTCTGTGCCGACTCCTCAGCCAGCAGCAAGGCATCGTAATCTGGCGACCGATCATCATCGTCGCGACGGTGTCGGATGACTGAGGCATAGCCGGCTTCAACCAATGCGAGAGCAACATTCTTTCCCCCTACAGACACTGTAGCCACTTCCCGCTCCTCGAAACCCTCCGACGCTGGCTTCTTACCGTCAATGGACACTTTGACATGTTTACCGATGAGGCGCTTTCTGAGAAACTCTTTCGCCTCTGCCTGGAAAGGAGCTTGTTTCGGGTCGGACGATTTAGGTTGACGGATACTTGAGAGTGTGACTTTTCGTTCCTCCCCAGATCGAGTCCGGATGAAGACAGTCTCACCATTCTGGATACGTACAACCGTGAAGTCCGCCTCCTGGACACCGGCAGCTTTCGAGGCTGTAGTACCAGTGAAGATTCCCTTTCTTGCACTCTTTGCAGCGTTCTCCGCATTTCTGAACTGGGCCATTTGATTTCCGAGCAGGGTGACGTGTTGGTCGTTGGACCGGGCAAGGCCGGCCTCGAGGAGGAACATGGCAATGTTCCCCTTTGGATGTAGTACATTTGCGATAAGTTGATTCTGCGGGGTGACTCCAAGGAGCTCGACGTTTACTTTGCGCTGGTGTAGTCTCTCCTCCACGAAGGAGTGTGCCTCGGTACCGTAAGACTCGGCGGGAACGTCCTTACCTTCCGGGGTCGTTCTCTTGGTCGCAGGAGCTCGTACTCCGGCCAGGACAAGCATGGTCTGAATATGCTTTGTAGGTGTGTCGAGGAGACGAGCGATTAGGCGGTCTCCAGTCAAGACCCTCTCGATTATGGCCTCGATCTTCTTGCCTTTGTGTTGCTCCACGAAAGCGTTGGGATCGGAGACTTCGGAGGAGTTCTCAATCTGACCGCCCTTGGCCCACAGACCCTTGCCTTGGGACTTGGCATCGCTTTCCAACGACCTGAGCTTGTCGAGGTAGGCCAGAGCTTCCTCATCGTCCTCTTTCTTTCCGGCGTCTTCCCGCACTTTGGCCCAGCCTTCCTGCACGATCAGATTGGGTAGTTCCTTGCCGTCGGGCAGTATAACTCGACCGTATTCGCGCTTCGTGGTAGGGATGGCATATAGGATCTGGAACTGTACGACCTTGCCCAGGACGAATTCTCGAATGAACTCACGGGACTGAAAAGCGAAAGGCTGCAGAGGTCAGCATCGGCTGGTGGATCTGCCAGTCCATGTGACTAACCTCGTCGCCTTCTCTCTTCAGCCGTGGTGCACTGATGTAGGCTAGCGACAGCGTTCGCTCGGCGCCCTTTTGGTTGGTGATGATCAAGGTGTCGCCTGACAGAATGCTCTTGACTCGAGCTTGCAGAAGGGCCATGGTGAGAGAGTTCTGGTAAGCTCAAAGCTTTCAAGGACAGACGGGGAATTATCGATAACGCTATGCAAAGGAAAAGCACAGGCGAGAGAGTAGGAATAGCGGTGTCTTGTGCTGGACAGCCTCTTGTGGCCAGTTTTCTATTTACCTTTTGTTCGTTGTGGGGTAAGACCCTCGTGCTTCGAGACCCTTGGTCACTATCCCGCTTAGGCATAGTCAACCAGGTAGTGTCACTGATTCATGCTCGACGTCATCTCGAGTGACAGGGTGCACGCTGCACAGTCACCCCGTGAGGGTCTCCTAGGTACTACCTTAGAACGAGGAAGACTAAAGAGGCTGAATTGTACCAGTATGAATACACAGCACCTCTGTCGGGTGAGCGACAATGCACCCGGAGAAGAGCGCGGGGCACAAGCATCGACCTCAGGCGTGGCTTCCCGTTGCCGCTGTGGCTCGCCTGCAGCCGGCCGCTCCTTCCACTTTTGGACGTGATGCTTATCGCTGCGGGGTTCAAGAATAGTTGGACTAGCGACGGCCAGCGGCGCGATGATGAGATGGGCAGAGAATCTATTTCTTCCGCTGTCAATTGTTCTTCAAGGGCAGTCATACTCGACTTTTTGATCGTCAAGATCTTGGTGTACGAGCTTTTCTGAAGAGAAACTACCGTTCCGGCGTAATTACCATATCCCTACCCCCCGTTTTCATACAGCCTCGTCGCCTTCTCGTGCTCACTCCTGGACGAGTATTCAGTACAGGCTCTATCGACATCAACATGGACAATACTGATCCAAGTCACCGAAAAGCCATCATCGGCAACCCCTCCTCCACTTTCTGGCTGTATGATTCCAAGACGGGCTTCGACCTCACTCACCCACCAACGCCCACCTCGGCCACTCCGACTCCAAATCACACCATCAAGACCAACACCCTGCCGATTACAATACATCCACCCAAATCAGCCCTTGTGATTGTTGACATGCAGAACTTCTTCCTCTCCCCGCAACTAGGCCGACCCGTGGACTCGAAGGGCCTTGTCGCTCAGCAGCAGCTGCTGAAATATGCAATTCCTGCTGCGCGCAAAGCCGGCGTGCGAGTCATCTGGGTCAACTGGGGCCTCACGCAGCAAGAAATCGACGAAATGCCACCCGCAACGTTGAGGGCTTTTGGTTTTGAGACCGTCCTTGCGTCGGAGTGGGAGTCATATGAGAAGGTCGAGAAGAAGCAAGCGGCCATCGACTCTCACGGCGTGAACGAGGGCTGCCACAAGTTTCCAGACCCGCATATCGAGACTTCGGGCAAGAATCCCAGGCTCTACAAGGGCCTTGGCCAGGAAGTTGGACCTGTTACCATGGAGGACGGAAAGACGGTCGTGCAAGGAGGTAGACTTTTGATGAGAGACACTTGGAACGCCGACCTAACTCCGGAGCTCAAGCAATCTTACGAAGAAGAAGGGAAGAAAGCGGATCCACCGGATGTGTGGATTCATAAGAATCGCATGTCTGGTCTGTGGGGGCCTGGGACCGACAGCACCGAGTTCCTGGACAAGGAGGGGATTAAGACGTTGTTCTTTGCTGGTGTTAACACCGATCAATGTGTCGGCGGAAGCCTACAGGACGTAAGTCTCCCTTTCCGTGATTTGACCATGATGTCTCGTGACGTGCATCGACTGAAATTGCATCTTGTTCCAGGCTTTTTCCAAAGGGTACGACACAGTTCTCCTCTCCGACGGCGCTGGCACAACAAGCCCATCGAGCTCCCAGGAGAGCATAGAATTCAATTGTGCGAAGACGTGGGGGTTCTGTGTATCGTGTAAGGACTTCGCCGAAGGGTTGGGTCTTTAGGAGAAGTAAGAGCTCTGTTGCTTGGTAGAGCCGAAGATGACCAGTCGATACCAGTATCCGCGTTGTGGAAGCAAAGGTTCTTGAGTTGTCACTCTGGATCCCTGAGTCCATTTCTGAGTCATAATTTTAGACTGTGGTTGAATGTACCTCAATTTCGGAAAACCCCACGACAATGTAATGTACACCTTAGCCAGCTTTTCACCCTCGTGTCACCGTATGGTTTGAACAGCCGGCGTTTTCTTCGGATGCTCGGGCAAGTCTTAGATTAAGATGGAGTCTTCAACCGGAATGTCGCCTTCTTGAAGTCCGGGTCCTCATACTCAACATTCCCAGCCGGGGGTTTGCGCTGCATCAGTGTCTGCCGCCTGTCTTGTCGTCGAAGTAAGAAGAAGAGGTTCGGAAGTGACGCGGAGAAGAGAGGCTCGTAAAGCTGTGCTGGCCCCCCTGGCGGATACTTGATCCCGGCAGCAAGGGCGAAACACAGTCTTGATCTATTACTCTAGCCTCGCCCACAAGGCTGCCAGGAGACCTTCAGACCTGTTTGTTGACAATATTGTTTCGATTCTTCGCTTGTATCCAGAGGGGTCAGTTCAACCTCCTGACGGTATGTGCACCGAACTGTCAGATACCACGCAAAGATGGGAAACCTGTATGGTGAAAAAAAGCCTCGAGTACTTACCTACCTTTGTATCGAGTGGTGCCTGCCGTCCATCAGGTCTTCAGATCTTAGGCAAGTGTGGGGCAAAGATCAGAACGAGTACTAAGTGATGACTTTAAAGTGAGGTGCAAATGAGTGAGAAGGAACAATGTGCAGGTATATTGATTCCCACAGTACGGCGTATTTCATCTTACTCTGATTCATCTCTGGTCCCCCAGGCTCGTGGCCATTTCCTGCCTCCGTCTCTATTTTCTAGTGCTTTTTAGTGCTTCGAATCGCTCTCTTCCGATCATCTTGCATTCAAAGTCTCCTTCCCGGCGGTGGGTGCTCCCTTCAAGCTTAATTGCTTGAACGTCTGAGTATACCATTGCCAGTCCCATTCCCATTCCCACGCACGATCTCCCCACTAATCTTCCCCTAGTAAACAACATTCCATGTGCCCTTTCATTCGGACCTTCATCTCCAGCGAGTCGAACAGGTAGTGTCGATCCCAGTACCCTGCTGCTGTTACTAGCGGGCGTACTTGCTTGACTCGAGCCCAATTGGTTGCTTCTGCGGCTGCCTGGCAACCTTGCTGGCTTCATGGCCAGCAGGCTGCTGTTGCCGCTGCGGAGCGTACCGGTTAGATTCAAGCCCACCACGCTGCTGCTCTTCTTCGCCGCTAAATTTGCTGCCCTCCAGGCCGACAACCTGCTGCTGCGGCCGAGGGGCGTATCGGCTGGCCTCGAGGCCTCCATGCTCCTGTTCATTGGTGGCACCGCTGGTCGCTTCGACCGTACCGCCACGCTGCTGCTGTGGTTGAGGCGCGAGCCTGCTGGCTTGGAGGCCATCACCCTGCGGCTGTTGCAATCGGCGAGCATGTCTGCTGGCCTCGAGGACACCATGTTGCTGGGGTGGAGCATACCGACTGCCTTCAAGGCCTTTGCGGGGTTGCTCCTGCTGGTGCTGGCGGGCATATCGGCTGTCAGCGAGGCCAACCTCCCGCTGTTCTTGTCGACCAAATCTGCTGCCTTCAAGACCAACATGGGGACCCTGCTGCTGCTGTTGCTGGGGTGGAGCATATCGACTGCCTTCGAGGCCTGCATGCGGCCGCCCCTGTTGTTCTTGGCCAGCAGACTTGCTGCCTTCGAGGCCAACCTCCTTCACCTCTCCTTGACGATGGGGAGCTGAAGTCGGAGTGTTCAGAGCTGATGTGGGCGGACTTGCTGCGGCGACACCAGGCGCTGAGGACGTCGCTCCCACCACGTTTGAGTCTGTTTCCTGTGGTTGAACAGGTCCGGGAGCGACAGCGGCATCGCTGGTTTCAGTGGCCTCGACAACCGGGCTGGAGATGCTGGAAACGACATCGGGAACGGGAACAGGTTGCTCCGAGGATGGCGCAGGCACCTCTCTCGCGTCCTTGCTGTCCTCGGTCTCCTCGATGCCAGCTGACTCCGTGGTTGAGTTTGGAGCGGGAGCGGGATCAACACCACTGCTAGACAGCAACTCGGCGACGACCTCCGTGGCCACCCAGTTGACAAGGTCGACCTTGGGCATTGTTGGAATGCCCGTTGCCAAGTATCTGCTGGCCAGGGTGGATGCCTGCTGCGTGAAGCCTCTCTTCTCGTTGTTCAGAGCGCCGATCTTGTCTTCAAGTCGCTCCTTCTTGACCTGAGGCATCTGGTCCAGCTCTTGCTTCAGAGTCTGGACCTCATTGGCGAGAGGTCGGATCCGTACTTCCAGGCTCACCTTCTTGTCTTCCAGCCGGGCCACCTTGTGCTCCAACTTCGCGACGAGACTCTGGGTTTTTCTGACCAGCTCGGACCTATCCTTTGGAAGAAGGACCTTGACGCAGTCAGTGTCCTCTTCTTGGACGGGTACGAGCTGGTCTCCCTCGCCGAAGCACGGCCGGTTGGGATTCTGGTTGTTCTTTCGAAAGTCGAATTGCTCTGATGATTGCAGCTCCTTCTTCAGATCGAGGATCTCTTCCTCTTTCAGCAAAATGACTTCCTCTTTTTTCGACAACTCGACATTTTGACCGTTCTGCAGAAGTGTATTGGTGATTGTTAAGCTGCTGAACTTCTCCCTTTCTTGGAGTAGTGCACCGTGAGCATCTTCTAGTGACTTCTTGAGCTCTTGGATCTCCTCGTCCTTCAACTGTAGACGCTGCTGGGCCGCGTTGTCAGTGTCTTGATGCTCCGCAACCAGTAGTTCGAGGCCGTCCTTCTGTTCTCGGAGCAGCTCAGCAATGGAAGCCTTACTGGACTTCAACGACTCTTCAGAACGCAAGAGCTGTTGTTGCAGGCCGGCATTGGAGGTAATGAGGCGTTCGATCTCGTCATTCTGCCTCCTAGCCAGCGACTTCTTTTCGTTAAGCAACTTGGCGTTGAAGGCCTTACTAGCCTCCAGGGACTCTTGGGGGCCCTTGAGCTGTTGTTCCAAGTTGGCGTTGGAGGTGGTAAGGCGCTCGATCTCCTCGGATTGCTTGTTGGCTGCGGAGGTCTGCTCTTGAAGAAGCTTGTCGTTGAGAGCCTCACTGGACACCAAGGACTCCTTGCATTGCTTCAGCTGTTGTTGCAACTTGATGTTCGAGGTCGTTAGCCGCTCGATCTCTTCGCTCTTCCTCTTGGAAACAGCCGCTGATTCAGATCTGAGAATTTCGATATTATTCTCTGCTCTGATCACGTCCTCAGCCTTGGAGGCCAGTTCCAGCTTGACTTGCTTGACTTCTTCTTTCGCCTTCTCGACGCTGCCGCTCAGCGTTGCAATGACGGTGACTTTCTCTGCAGAGTCTTCATTTGTTGCGTCGAGTTCCGCCTGGAGACTTTTGACCGTGCATTCGAGCTTTGTATTCTCGTCTGACTTGGTGCGAGCAACTTGCTGGAGCTGCTCGACCTGAGTTTGAAGGTCTTCCTTGGCAGTGGTGGAAGCGAGGAGGCTGGCTTCAAGGGTCTCCTTCTCGGCCTTGAGCGCATTGGTCATGAGCACAGCCTCGAGGACCCGTTGCATGGAGATATCCATGGGTTCATCATCACTAGCTTTGCACATCGCAATGAGCTTGTCCATGAGCTCGGCGGTTTTCTCATCCTCTTCTTGCCATTTATACGTATAAGGGTTGATCTCTGCTTCGAGGACGGCAACCGGCTCGGACTCCGGCTCGGCTGAAGTGGCTGAAGCGACTGGAATGTGATGGTCCTGCTCGTTGATCTTGACATCGTCTTCGAGGGGACCAAGTTGCGGCGGACACAGAGGAGTGCAGTAATCGACTTGCTCTTCTTCTTCTTCTTCTTCTTCTTCTTCTTCTTCTTCTTCTTCTTCTTCTTCTTCTTCTTCTTCTTCTTCTTCTTCTTCTTGTTGATCTTCCAATGGTGCTGTTTGCTGCGATGACTGCATGCCTTGCTCGACGGCCTTAAGCCGCAGCGAGGATGGAGGAGTGGAATAATCGACCTGTTCGTCGTCTTCCTCTTCCGCTGGTGCTATGTGCTGCGATGTTGTCAGGCCTTGCACCACAGCCGACCTACGCCAGCAGAACCAAGCAAATATCACACATGCCACATGAAAACATACCGAGATGAGAAGTAGAATCCATGCAGACTCCGGGAAGCCAAATCTGAAAATGACATTATCGAGGAAGGGGACAAGAGGCGAGACATTGCCAACGAGGGTATTCGCTGCCCTGGTCAGCGCATAGACAAAGAGACGCACAAGGCCAGCAGGCCCGGCGGCAGGAGGTGGCGGCGCGGATAAAAAATGTGGCTCCCTCAACGGGAAAGGCGGCAACTCCGGCGCAGTCTCAAAAGGATAGATAGGAATCGTGGGCTCGAAGCCAAGCCCGCAGTATAACGGCACTTCCAGGGACATGATGAGCGCGTGGAATTCCTCCTCATCGTCACACGTCGTGTGGCCGTACGTGAGATTCGGCATGAACGGCCCGTGAACATCGATGTTGGCATGGCATGCGAAGACCGGCGAGGGGGTTGCTTCAGGTCCGGCATCGAAATCGAAGTCGAAGTCTTCTTCATGTGTCTCAGAGATTGGGACCGTCGTCTCCTCTCCGGCTGGGGCGCGGGTTTTGAACTTATACCACGCTTCGCGAACCTTGGCGAAGAAGTGCGTCCAGAGAAATTAATCTGCCATGATGAGGCACTAGCAATATAGGTCTATACCTTTCTTTGTTAGGAATTGGTGAACCTTTTTTCTGGGGAAGTAGTGAGTGAGTGATTGATTGATTGACTGATCTTGTTGATCAGGGGGTGGGATCAGGCTATAAAATTCCTGCAATGGATGTAGCAAGCGAAGAAGAGGATGGAAAGCAGCGGGTATGGTGTGGATTGGGGGAAGGGAGGCAGAAATGCGCGTTGCACTGCTTGGACGACAAAGATGTGTTAGTACGATTGTTTGTCCAAGGCTTTGTCACAGTGAAGAGTCGGAGGACGCGACACAATGCCTTTTGTCTAACCGAAGCCACCGAGATGATCGAAGTGGTTTGCAGGTAGCTGTTTGGTAAGGATGCAAGGTTGGACTTACTCCGTAGATCGCAGGTGAGCCAGGTCCGGCGTATTCGCGCCGTGCTTGCGATGAGACTCCAAGGCCTTTGCTAGCAGGGTTGCAGAAGATTGGAGGTTCGAGATGAGAGTGTAGAATCCCGTAGTATGAGCAGGCTTTGCGCGCAGGCAACATGAGAGGGGAAGGTACTTGAAGCTCTGAGAATTGAAGAAGAGTTGCGAAACGACGGATGTAAAGGAAGTCATTCGACAAAGGTTCCCTGCGCGTGAAACTGAGGGACAGTTGAAGACAAACAATTGGAAATTTTGTCTTTGTGGTTGGATCAAGGCAATGACAAAGAGAGGCAGTTGCAACTCGCGTGAATTGAAATGCGCAGCCTTGTGAGGCTCCATGATCGACGACGCTGTAACAGAAAATTGACGCTTGGAGAAATGACCACGAGGCGGATCGAACTCACGTACCTCAATCGGAGAGCAAGTCCTCGGTGACTTCGAAGCGCATCAAGGATATCGAATCTGACAAGAGTTGATTTGTAGGAGGGGTATCATGTATTGGTACAGTTTTGCCCGACGAAATTACTAACTCCCTGCTGTCCTCTCGTCGTGGAAACGAAGCCGAGCAAGACTCTCCCGTCTGCACGCTGGTAAAGGTATGCGTGTTTCCTCCATCATTGCTGAGGCATTCCGTTCATGTTGTCGCTCAAGATGAAGTCGTTATAACTTGGTTGGCCAAAGGTTTCTGCCCAGTCCCACTCGAATGTCATCGGCATCTGCCACAAGTCCTGAGGGACAAAGGGATGTTGGAAAGAGCTGGCATTGAGCGGCGACATTGTGGAACTCGGCATTTGCTGGCTACCGAGATCAGGGCTGAAGCCAGGCGCGGAAAGCATATCGACATAGTCGTTGTCAAACGCTGACATATTGAAGATTTGGTTGCTGTTATTGTTGGGAGTCATTGTGCTTGGTGAGTGGCCCCCTAGGTTCGCTGCTGCCATGCCGGCAGTCGACGGTAAGTGGCCAGGGCCCGGGCGCGGCGAGCCCCCTACGCCACTTGATCTTCGAGAACCAGCATGTCGTCCATTAAGCGCTGACTGTACTTGTGCCATGGCTGATTGGTTGACACGCATGACTTCTTCTGGCACAAGCCTGCGTTTTCGCTTGTGGCCCTCCTTCTCGGCCTTTTCGATCACCACTTTGGCGATACGAGCAAACTCGGCACAGACAGTAAGCATCCGATTGATCGATCCAGACCCCTCGTCATGAGCGACATTGCTCAGGAAGTTCACCACAAGGTCCATGAGCTTGATGTCAGCTCTTGCACGAGTATCCTGAGGATTCTGCAAGATGTTCGCGAAGAGAGTCACGAGGGCCGAAACCGGGAAGTACAGAATCAACCAAACGCAGGCGAAGTCGCCCTGGGGAATGTATTTGATGAGGTGGATAGAGGCTCGCGCAGCCGAGACACACAGTGCAGCCGAGGAGAAGACTCTTGGGTTGAGGGGCCGAGCGTTGAGTCCCTGAATAGCATATTCCGACAGTCGACTTGTCCAATAGCCATGGTGGACCGACATGCGATGGATCGTCGTCAAGCAGTTGTAATACGAGAAATGGAGGACGACAATGTGCAAGATGAGAGGAGTGTGTGATGTTTTGATCTCGTGCTCTGGCCGGAAATCGAGAGGTATGCTATCCTTCCAGGCCTCCAGCTCCCGGTCGAGCTCCCCAATGGTGTTGAGGAGCTCCCCATCGCTCTGCTTTGACGCTCTGACAGAGTACAGCTGGCGATAAACCTTGCTGGAGATGACTGCAAATTCACACATCAAGCGGAAAAGGTTGATTTTGCTCTTGCCGTCGGCCAATGGGACGTTGCCTATGTTGTCAGGAGGATCTTCTGAGGGCAACTCGACATTCATATCATCGTCGTCCTGAGCAGGTGGTCTTCCCGCCCTGAGACACGCATCTTTGTCGAGCAGATATCCGATCCAGAAAACTCGCTTGCGTTGCTCCACCTCGATGGGATTGAGGTTGAATGCCGATCCACGCTTGTGAAGGCCTATGGTGTGAGAACACCTGATGGCAGCTGCAATGAGGAAAAAGGACGGCTGAGGATTCGGAGTGCCTTGCAGGAACAAGGCCATGCCAAGAAGAGCCTGCACACTGAGCAGATCCGTGTTCCGTAAGGTCAACTCTGTGATGACCCCCATAGCGTTTTTCAGGTAAAGCCAGGCTTTTTGATCGTCTTCTTGCGGAACAACATTGCTCATGACTCTAATACGATAAGCAATGGCGAGGGCGACGTTGATGCTCGCCCACCAGCCACTACCTTCATAAGGATCTTTGGAGTATTGCTTCTCCACAAGGTGCATGAAGGTGGGTTCATGAAATAAGGGAAACATGCAGTTGAAGTTTTCGAAGAAGTCCTTGAACAGGGACAGAGCTTCCTCTTTGGGCGGCAGAGGCTTAAAGACTCGGCGGACGAAGATATCTCCGAAGATCTCGGGTTTCCAGTATTGCCATTTGGTGTCGTCTTCGTTGACAGCATTCTGTATGGTTTCTTGGAAAGAGGTGTCGCCGGTCTTCTCATTGACCCATTCGATGCCCTTACTTGAGAAAATGGAAAACGCTGATGACGATCCTAGGCAGGGTTAGGTTCCCGATTCCAGGTCCCCGGCACGGAAGAACATACCGATGTACCTGGTCTCGCCCACGTTGTTGGTCACCAATGAGCACATGGCCTCGGAAAGATTTTCCACCTCTTCCCGACCTGACTTATCGCCATCTGTGCTCGGCGACGTGACCGTGTCGCGAGGGGTCTCAGTAGAGGCCCGCGCGGACCCTAGCTGGGGCGAGTTCTCAGGTGCGATAGAGGCCGAGCTACTCTTCGAAGGGGCTGATGACTCGGTCTTCTGTGCCGTCGATTCCTTCGAAGAGGCTTTCTCGGCTAGGCGCTTCTCGAGTGTGCCCAAGTCTGTCTTGCCAGCCTCGTCTTCCGAAAGGAGGCCGGACATGCGCAGAAGCGACTCCATGCGCCCAAGTCGGTTCTCGAGGCCCTCGATGTACTTGGCTCTGGGATTGTGCATCAGTACTATTCCAATTGCTCGCCCTCCATGCCACCTACCCTTTGGGAGGATTGCGCTTCTTCTCCACTTGTGTGAAGATGCATTCCGTTTTATAATTTATGCAGTGGCCACACTTGGGCATCTTCCCGTCGCATTTAATTTTCTTCTTCCTACACATGTCACAAGCCTGCAGTCACTGTCAGAATGCTCGTACTCTTTTGGCGCAGCAGAGGGAGGCACACCCTTGCAATGCGCCGCCGCTTGGGGTCATTCTCGTCGAGTCCTCCATCGTAATCGCCAAAATATGCGCCTGGAGGCAAGGTCGGGGGTATGGGTGTGCCGTCTGAGTTATATGCTCCGAATATCTGAGGTGGCTGTTGCGGGACGAAGGAGGACATGTCATACGACAGTCCATCGATACCCCCTCGGGGGTCCATGATGTGTCGCGGTGCCACCGCTGCTGTGTCTGCCTACGCTCTTGTGGTCTCCCAAAGGAGGGTTGTACAACCCAGCGACCGCCTTGTGGAACGCGAGGTAGGTATCCGGCCCGGAAGGAAGGTCAACGGCGTGGAGGGTCAAGAACTGGTCAGCCAATGGCTCATCTTGAGGTTCCAATCGTAGTTGCTGATCGCCACAAGGATATCACCTCGACAGAACCAGGAGGGCAGATCAAGCAGGGCTGTGATGTGGGCGGCTCCAATGTGAGCCGGAGATAAAGATCGCTGGAGGACAACTTCAGGAGAAGTGCCAAACAATAATTAGTCAGGCAGACAAGAATCGAGTTGGGCAATTCAGGAAGGTACAAAGTGTATCAAGTAGTCACAGATGGCCATGGTCTGCGTGAGCAACCCTGGATAACTCCGTATTGTACGATTTACGACACCAATGGGAGGGTCCCGAGGTCAGAGTTCCTAGCCCTTGTCCGTTTATGACCTAAGGATACCAAGAGCACGCCGACCCATTATGACGAAGCGCAGGACAAGCAGGGGCGGCAACACCTTGAAACCCAGGCGGCATAGGCGTGCAAGCTATGCTGCATTGGGCGTGTCATACCGAGCCCGAGTTAAGGATCCAGGCAACAATCATTATCCCCACGCCCGTTGCTCGTATTGAATCATCTGTCATTCGACGATCAGCAGCTGCCCGTTGATCGACCCCAGCAAGCACGCAGGATGGGTGATCCGGGGATAGGTATGTAGTATGTACCGTAAACGTGTGCTCAGGTGTTTGACAGCTCACTACGAGGTAATGTCAACCTCAACCGGGCTTTACGCGTATCTCCTCCTCGTGCCTTTGACAGTGAAAGCCCGGGCCAGCCAAACGTGGGAGTGGCTTTCTCGCTTCCGGCATGGATGGCTCCCAGTGTATCAGACTACGACAAATCAGTCTCAACTGAAGGCTTCCACCTCACCTCGCTTTGATCCGGAGTCAGATCGGTTTCATCATGACAGATTCAGTAACAGCTCATTACACACTCAACTCACAATCAACACTTGCTCCTGCGCAAAAGTATGTGAGCTTTCAACCCGACTCTCCTGCTTCATATGCTCCTCGGCCAGGATTTACTCCGTGCTGCCTCGACTCTACTGGACCATTTTCATCCGCACGGCCCTTCAGTCTGGTCCGCCTGCAGCTTGCTCCAATCACGGACGCACCTTCGACCGTGAAAGCTTGATATGCTGCCGCATTCTACCATGCGTCGTATTCTCGGATTCGGCAACCCTGCGACCGTCCGGGCCCGATGAATCGTCCGAGTGAGCCCACGTCGATGGCGCTTTTCCGGCCTCAACCCACCCACCTGGGAATGGCTCTCCAAAGATGCTACCATACCACAACGGGCACTCTCCATTGCTTGGCCTCTTCGTGATCTCACTGACTCGGCCGAATCCGGGCAACAGATATCACTGGCCACCGATGTGCTTGCTTGATTTGTCTTCGTCACTGGGAATCATATCTCTGAGGGATGAGTAGCTGACGAAATGCAGCGTTGAAATTGGACAACTTGCAGTGAACCCTGCAAAATCCTGCGGAGGTGAGCCATTTTTCACGTATAATCAACCACCTTTCCTCTGTGAGCCTCGCAGTATTCTCGCTACGGCATTTCCACTGACTCTGCTGCATGAGCACAGAAAGAACCTCGCAGATCCCCTCTAGGGAAGTGGACATCGGGAACGAAAGCATCAGTCGCGTGACGACTCGTATGCCGTCGCCTTTCCATCTCTCCGTGTCTCGGTACGATATCGGACAGTCCACGGGGGCTGGAAAGGCCGAGGGCGAGGTGGGCAGGTGGCAAGAAGAAGCGCTGAGTGGAAACATTTCTTTTGACATGTCATTCGTGCCTCTCGATCTCGCATGTTAACAACAGCCTTTCGAACACGTCCTTTAGGGATTCCGCTGCTCATCTGCTCTGCTCTCTTGGTTCGCTTGTTGCTGTGTCTGATATTCGACGTACTCGTCGACGATCTCATGGCAATTATCGATCAAGGCCCACCCGTGCTCGTATCTGAAGGTGGGCCATTGAGTGTTCAACCAGGCCCGCCCTTCTGGAGAGTCGCACCAGAAAGGATTGTCGGCCACAGAGTTGAAGTGGAAGGTTTCATGGCGGTGGACAAGAACCCGTCGAGGTCGCGTAATCTCCGGCGGGGACGGCCCTCGACTTGACAGTCGATCCAAGGCGTGGAACAGTCGAGGCAAGCACGGGAGACCATCGCGCTCTTGTGACTCGAAGTCCTTCTGCGTGCTGTATGGATCGACCTCCTCTTCGTCGTCTTCTTCGTCGTATTCCTCGTCGCTCAGGTCGGCTGGGCTCTCCCAATCTTCGTTGTCGTCAACGACTTGGTATGCAATATCCCCCTGGCTGTTGTCGACACTTTTGTCCTTATGGACGTCCGCTGCATCGTAGCGATCTGTCGCATGTCTTGGTACTTCTTGTCCGTATCCCTCAGCATTTCCATACCGATATTCCTGCTCGGCCTCTGCATGGCTCTGGTACTCTTCGCCTTCTCTGTTTTGTGAGAAGCGCTCTGCGGTACCAGACGCACGATGCCGCTTGACAGGCCCATCATCTTTCTCATCCTCCCCATCATCCTCATCATTGACCCTGCCACGCTTATCGCCCACATGGAAGTTTTCCTCCGCGTCCTCTTCTGTCCCGCTCTCTTCATCTTCCTCGTCGTCGTCCATTTTGTCTACCAGTTGGTCAGTCGTTGCAATTGGCTCGAACAGGTTCAGGATTCTATGACGTACGACTGTATTCCTCGACGTCTCTCTTCATCGCTTCCTCTTCAGGAGAGTCATACAGATACTTTTCGACAGAGTCATCGAAGGAGATGTCGTCCCGGTGAGAGTTATGATCTGAAGGTGATAGCCCACCTTCAATGCTGTCCTCGCCATGCTGCGGGTTCTCAGCACTAGGAGAACCTAGGCCTTGGAGTTGGGCTAGAATCCGCCGTCGCTCATCTTCGTCCAAGTCTGGAACGTCTGAAAGATTGTCATGGTCATCGTTCTCTTCATCATGGTGAGGTTGCTCATTAGGGGCACCTGAGACTTGGAGATAGGCTGGGAGTTGGCTCTTCTCCTCTTCGTTCAAGTCCGAAATGTCTGAGAAGCTGTCATCCTCAGCATTTCTTTCGTTTTGGATGCCTCCATCAGTGTGGCCCTCTTGAGGATGAGCAGGCTGTTGGGTGGGCTGTGACGTTCCAAGTCCCTGAGTCTGGTTGTGCCTTCGCTGAAGCGCAGCTGCCAGCTCCGGGGGGATGTGGATGTCTTGAGGATTGACGATGGTGTTGGATTGTGGCTGTAACAAACTCTGGAATGGATTGGCCTGTGCAGGAGTCGTTTGCTGCGCCGCCAGTCGGCCCCTGGGCCTCAGCGTCTTTCTCTGGACATGGCCGTTGTACACCTTCTTGACTCTGTCTCCCCACACCCCCCATTCTCTCAGCTCATCTATGCTGTTCGTGGGGACGGCTTGTTCACCAGTGTAAGCAAACACCGACTGTGGGTTGGCAGTGTTCTGCGGCGATCCCGAACCTGTGCTCTGCATGTTGGCTCGAAGCCTTGCACGATCCCATGCTGTCATCTCTGGTTCGCTTGTTGATGCAGGAGCTTCTCGAGCCACATCGCTCTGCTCATGGACAATGTCCGGGGCGTTTTGTTGCCCGACTGCGTATTCACTCGGGTCGCCATACGGGAGGTCACCGGTAGCGGGTTGCATTGGTGTCGGAGCCACTTGCGATGCACGTTGGGGATATTGGGCCTCCTCTGCACCAGCACCCATCTCAACTCCCTCCATCCCAGCATGAGGATCGTGCGGGTCATACTCAGTCCTACCACCGGGTAGAAGAGAGTCCAGCAACGATCGAATCTCCGGCATCTCGCCAGCCAGATCGAGGCCTACTCCGGCTCCAGTCGCGTTCGGACTCAACCCCATCGCACTGAAAAAGTCCTCTGGGTTCGCCCAGTCCTGACCCTGCAGAACTATGGGTTGATGCTGTGGTTCCTGCTGTCGCTGGCGGTCTTGCTGGTCGATCGCTTCCAGATTGTTCCACTCTGTGGTCCCAAAAGTCGGCAAGCCGGGCAGATTAAACTGACTCGGTTGAGCCTGGTGGCTGTCTGCTTGGCTGAGAGTAACAAAGTCGAACGGCGCAGCGTTCGAAATTCCCTGCTCCTCTGCCATCGTCATCTGCTGGTCTTGAACCAGGGGCTCGCTGGACGCTGGGACCACGTTGTAGGGAGAGACATACTGCACCGACTGCTGGTGAGGCGTCGCCGATGGCTCGTCTACCGTGGTCATCTGCTGGTCTTGTACTGGGAGTTCGCTGGGTGGTGGGACCACGTTGTAGGGAGAGACATAGGGCATTGGCTGCCGGTGAAGCATCGTCGATTGCTCGAGTTGAGAGACTTTGTCTGTTTCGACGTCGTCCATTTCCTCGTCCAGATCGGGCTTCTCAATGCCTTCCATCTCTTCGTGCAGATCGACCTTCTCAACGCCGTCCCTTGCCTCGTGGACATCCTGCTTTTCAACGCCTTCCATCTCCGGCGCGAACTCAGGGGCACTCGGAAACGACTGCGCAACCGCTGGTCGCGTTGGAGCTGGAACCGGAGCGGGAACAGGAACAGGAGCTGGAGCTGGAGCCGGAGCGCCGGTGGCTTCTCGCCCTTCTCCATCGATCTCCATATGGTACGCCCGCTGAACTCGAGCAGGTGGCTCCTGCGTCCTAAAGCGGCGCGTCTGAGCAACTGGTGACCCATCATCATTCACCGCGATCCTGGCTCTACCGAGGTGTCCTAATCTTGACGGTACCTCATCTGCATCCCGCTCTCGATTGCGCAGAGCTGAACGGCGAGGGGTGCTGGCACCGACAGTGTCCGGGATGAGCCTGAAGATTCTGTCTTCATCTGACACCTGGTAGACCGGTCGTTCCGGAAGTTGCGACTGCACATTGAATTGAAAGCCACTGAAGACAGGAGCAGGCACGGTGGACCGAGTTGAAGGACCTTCGTTGCCAGAGCCGTTGTCCTCGCCACTAGGGGCGGCGGTGCTGTTGCTCTCTTCAGTGGGCTTGGCCTCTGTCGAGGAAGTCTCTGCGACAACTGCGCCTGATGATGGAGGAGGAGGGGAACCATTGTCACTGTCGTCATTGTCGTCGTCACCGTCACCTTCGGTATGCGACGTTGGTGGAAGGGTCTCCTCGGCCTTTCCGGGCTCGCTGTGTCTGTTCGCGGTGGTGCCATCGTCTCCATCAGCAACAGTCTCGGTGGACGTCGAGGTGGCTTCGGGACCAGCAGAAGCTGCAGCGGCTACTGCATCAAGGAAACTCTTGGAAACGTGTAAGTAATTGTCCTTTCCGACATTCTCCCAGCCAAACCAGTCGAGGTATGCATGCAAATAATCCTCATTCACGTTGTCGACAGCCAATTTGTCACGGATTTCAGACTGCAGATAAGTCACGAGCGAGGCGCGGTAGTGAGGATCTGTCGTCTCGGGTTGGGCAGGAGGGACATCACTCGACTCAATCTCTACTGGTTGTTGCTCTGCAGATGTATCTGGTGACTGGTCCGAAATTGAAGAAGTCTGAACATTCTCAGAAGATTCGGTCTTGCTTGTACTGTCCGTTGGGGCCGCTTCATGAGGACTGGGCACAGTCTCCTCTCCTTCGGACGCGACTACTGGCTCAGGGGCCGCCAGGTTTGTTAATGTCGGGGCAGCCTTGGCTGTCTGCTCGGCTTCCCAGGCGAACCATGCCTCGCAAACCTCGTTCAAATTTTCCAGGCTCAGTTTGTGCCAGCCGAAAATGTCGAGAAACTCTTCGACCTTTTTACTCTCGGTATCTTGGACACCAAAGCTCTTCTTCAGGCGATTTCGGAGAGTGTCTCTGAGAAGTGAGCGCTGAGCACTGTTGATCTGGGTGGGAGGAGGAGCGACATCACCCGACTGAGGCTCTGCTGTTGCGTGGGACGCTTGTGCCGTTTGAGTGGCAGTTCCAACATCCTCTTGGGGAAGCGAAGGCTGAGCGCTGCTGGCATTGAGTGGAGAGGTGACATTGCTTGATTGAGGCTCTGTTGCCTGTGCTGTTTCTGTGGCAGTTTCAATATTTCTGACAGCCCGACTGCTTTCAGCTTCGGTCGAGCTTCCTGTGGGAGCATTGACGACGTCTTGCCCTCTCTCTGCCGCGGCATTCTCTTCATAAGCTTGGAACTCGATCCACTGCTGATAGATGGCTGTTGCAGGAATGTGGTTCACTCCGTCCCATCCAAAGTAGTCAAGGAAGCGGCGCACCTGGGCTGAATCGAGGTTTTCGACACCGCACTGTTCCTGGAACCGACTCTGAAGTAAGCCCACGCGGACTTTACGCGAAGCCTCGTTCAACTTGGGCTCTGGAATAGATGTGGTGGTCGACTTGGCCTTGGCTCTCTTAATCTCGGCATCCTGGAGTGCACGCGGGAACTGCTCGTCCTTCAGCTCAGCTTTTGTCAACTGGCGCTTCGGGGGAGCAGTGTCGCTTGATCGGATCGGTGAAGGTGGTGGAACTATCGGCGAAACAGTTGCTTGTGGGGCGGACTCGGAGATGTTGCTTGCTGGAGTTTCGGGTTTCTGGACCTTACGCTCTGGAAGTTGGGCTCCTGTCTTGGGAGACACCGCCTTCGGTTGAGCTGCTGGTTGCTCATCGGCAGAGGAGGGAATCACTGCCACCTTGTCAAGTACAGGCACGGGCACTGTATCATCGGCAGCTCCGGAGCTCTTCGTCGACAGTGGCGCAGGTGCAGGTGCAGACGGACCTGCCGGGGCGGGCCTATACTTGTCGCGCAGCGACTTGCTGGAGACAACCTCGTCAGGCCGCATGTCCTCATCCTCATCCTCATCCACACGAGCCGCCAATAGGCGCGATGCCCTCTTCCTCTCTCTGAGACGGAGGATGGGTAGTCGGCGGCGAAGAGCGTGCTCGGCGATTGGCGCTGTTGAACGTGTGCTAGGGAACTCGGGGAGCTTTGGTGGCTCCGCCGATGGCTGCGACGGCGTCTCCAGCGTTGAAGCTGGTTGCTCTGAACTCCGCGGCGGCACGTCGGTGGGGACAGCAGCTGTTCCGCTGGTTGAGGCGGGCGCTTCGGTGGGAGGAGAGGTGGTTCTTGACGGCGGAGGCAACGGCCTCATGATGAAGCCCGACAGTCTCACCTGCTCCTGCTGGACAGCCGGCATTAGTCCGTCGACGCAGTCGACGTACTCTCTGTCGGAGTCCTGCTCCTCCTCTTGGTGTCCACAGTTGTGATGTTGAGGTTCAGCGACCAAGTTCGACGACTCAACAGTCTGAACAACAGCCTCGGCTTCCTCCGCTGCATCGGCCATGGATGGCTCGATCTGCGGCGGCCCTGCCTCAGGGGCAGCTTCGGTGGCAAGCTGAGGGTTTCGGAACCAACCAAGGCCTTGCAGGACGGAACCCCGACGACGTCTCCTCGTCATTCCTGGAAACCACAGGCTGACGAGCCTGACGCCCATCAGGATGAAGCCTAGCATCTCTGGGCGGACTGGCAGCAACCGAATAAGCGGACCGAAGATGGTGTTTCGTAGACCCCAAAAGAAGTTGAGCTTTCTTCTTGCTGACTCGACAAACGGCTTGAGCCTGTTGTCTTGAAGGCCGTGGATGATGAAAGAAGGCAGTCCCCATCTCGAAGAGGTTGTGTTGAGATCAGTCGAGTCAGGCGTAGGTATATTGATACCCGGGGTCGCCCCGGTGTATCCAGTCGGAGCTGTGACAGGCGAAGTCGACTTGGTGGGGGAAAGGTAGGTGAAGTCCTGAAATTTGTCATCGACGTCTGCAAGACGAAGAACAATCTCTGCGCTGACGATGGTGCTGTTGTCGGAAAGCTCCACAACGACGACTTTGGGCACGGATGGTGAACCGCGAAACAGGGTGGCTCTTTCAGGAGGATCGAGCTCGAAGACGGTGTAGTAGCTTCGAGGTTCTCGCGTGGTTGAAGACAAGAGTTCGGTCTGTGTAATGGTGGTAGTGGTAGGTGTGCCGCCTGTGGTTGCCGTGGGTGTCGGGAGAGGAAGTGCGAGAGGGGCGGGAGTGATCGAGACATCCTCTGCAAAGACCTCTTCGTCGCTACCTATGGCAGGGACTTCTGGTTGGTATTCTCTTGCTGACCGGAGCAGGTTCCAGCTAAAGAAAGTGGCGCAGCTCATGGCACCGAGGGCTCCGACCATGAGTTCGGCGCGGTTCACGTGGAAGTTCGGCACGTTGAAGTTCGGCCAGGCGCTGACCGCACCAAGGAGACCGAGGACGAAGAGGAGGAAGAGTGTGGTATTGAGGTTCCGCATCTTGACGGTTCTGGTGCGCGTCTTGCAAGCTGCGAAGTGGTAAGGGTGTATGTGTGAGAGGCAGGTTCTGTTGTTTTGCGCTGTTGGTCGCTGACCTCAAGGCAAACAGTGAGTGTGAGTTCGGTTTCGGACGAAGAAGAGGGAGGCAAACAAGTGTGATTTCGGGGGTTGAGCAAGTTGAGATCTTGCGGAAAGTATGGGAATAAGTTCTATCTCTAGCTGAGCAGACGATCGAGTCTAGCAAGCAGGAGAGATGATGGTGGTGTTGATGTTGTTGTGTGGTGTTTCTTGGAGGAAGGTTCAGAGGAAGGTTCAGAGGAAGGAGGTAGGCCTACCCAGTTGTTCGATTGAAGAGAAAGACTCACAGGTGGACAATATGCGAGCAGTGAATAGGAAAGCTTGGCGGGCTATTGTGGTGGGCAGCGGAAGTGAATGCGGTCGAAGTGAATGTATGGGTGTGGCGGTCAGGTATCGGTCGGCGCACAGCGTCGGGGGATTCATTCAGCGAGGCCTGAAAGCAAGAACGAATGGCCTGAAACAAGCAGTTCTGGAACGCTTGAGAGATCTTCGTGTTCTCTTCTACTACGCTGGTTTTTCACGGATATAGATATGTTGGTGGTATCGCAATGGCGACAAGGCTGAGTGGCTCAGGAGGAAACAGGAGCGAAAACGCAGTCTCCCAAACACATGCTGGATGATGGTCAATCTACATAGAATGAGCTCCATTGTCAACTGCGATAGATGCCATGCACCCTCAAAGCCAGGTATATCTATTTTGGCAACATCCTTTGCATTGTGTCGAGCCTTGCGCTTGTTGTTCGCTGGTGCTGTTCGTTGTCGCGAGGCACAAAGGCTGGCCGTTTGTTGTGCCAGCCAACCAATCAGATGTGTCATCTAGACTGGTATCGAACAATACAGGTAAACGGAAGGCTCCGCATAGAGAGTTTCAATGATACGTGAAATCTCAGTACCCACCCGCGGACACACAGGCTGTTCGTCGTCTTTTCGTCTTTTGAAGATCCTGCGGGCTGCGGGCTGCGGGCTGCGGGCGCACGAAGCACGAGGTGCACGATGGTATGACATCAGCTTCGGCTTGCGATCGTCAGGTTCAGGTCTGAGGTTTTAGGCCGCCTTCAAGTAAGCACGTGCGACTCGGCGAACTCTGAAAAGGTAATATGGTTTCGAAAACCTGTTTTGAATTCTCAGCCAGATGGCAGTCCCGGTTGGGTGCCTGTATGATATCTACTATGATGCCTGCAGCCCTGCAGCGTTGAGTATATGAGTCGCTTAAATTCCCAAGGAAAAAAGTCCCGTATCTCCTCTAGCCATCTCGACGTTCACTAGTACTCGTCCACACAACTGTACAATTTGGACGAATACCGTGTCCTGTGTACTCTCTGCCGAGTTCAGTCGCACAGCCACAGCCGCAGCCAAGATCATTCGCAATCTCCCGTACTCGTAGAAAATTAAGTCCAGGTCAAACCTCACGTACACGCCTTCAAGATGTCCGAGGACGCCGGCCTTTTCAAGAAAACATCCGAAGCGGTCGCCAACGCGGGAGCCTCGGTTGCGGGCGCGGTGAGCGGCTCACTCTCCATGAACGCTGGGGCCAGCCACAAGAAGACAACAACCACGAAGACAACGATCCCGGCAGACCAGCAGCAGCAACAGCAACAGCAAATAATTGCCAATGGTGGGGCGGGACAACCTGCTCAGGGCCGGATCACTGATGGGGCCAAGGGGCAGCAGAAGAGACTGACGCAGCAGGAGGCTGATGCACTGTACGACGAGCGGATCGAGGATGAGTATGCCAAGAGGGAGGGTGGCGCTTGAGAGGCGATGGACGGGATGTTAGAAGTCAGAAGTCTGCATCCATGGACGGTTTTCCATGGTGAGAGCGTGGAAGGCGTAAAAGAGTGGCTTGGTGAGACTGCAGTAGAGCCTACAGGAGCAAGAGCAGGAGCTGGGCCCCCTTCAATTACAGTTACTTTTTGTACAGTCATCATGGTTTCTGGAAGCTTGGAAGTCGCGAGCACCAGGGTGAGATGAACTTCCCAAGTTCTGTCTCTCGAGATACGGACTTGAGATGTATAGACACCTGAAAGAATACTTCGGGAGGTGAACGAGAGGTGATAGAGCTGCTGTTGCGGGGTGACATCACTTGCAGGAAAATCTTCGGCAAGGGTTCGTGGGCTCCGCAAGGTTAGAGATATGGAGATCTGGAAGATTGATAGTCAAAACACCTTTTCTTCTCTGGGCGTGCACAACCATACTACTCACAGCCCTCATCATGGCTCCTGATGTTACTAGAGCTTTGGAATTAATAGACGCAGCTCACAAAGAAGACCCCAACGTTGTCAACATCAATGGCGAGAGGATACCCTACGAGCTCCATTACGCCCAGAAGATGACCAACTTCCTCGACCTTCATACTCCTGGCGCCGATCCTCTTGTCGCGACGGCTGCTCGAGCCCAGCACTTCCGCCGCTGGGAAATACCGCGAGACACTTACCCACGTACGAAGGCCGGTTACTTCGCCTGGCGCACGTTCTTGAAGAAGCGCCAGGCTGAACAGGTCAAGGAGATATGTTTGGACTGCTCGTACAGTGAGGAAGAGGCCAGCAAGGTGGCAGCTCTGATAGCCAAGGAGGACCTCAAGAAGGGAGAAGGTAAGGGCGACGCCGACGCACAGGTCATCGAGGATGTCGCATGTCTGGTGTTCCTAGACGATCAGTTCGACGAGTTTGAGAAGGGCCATGACGAGGAGAAGATCATCTCAATACTGCAGAAGACGTGGGTCAAGATGGGCGCGAGAGGGCAGGAGTTGGCCTTGAACATGGATCTGAGCGGAAGGGCAAAGGAGCTGGTGGGCAAGGCGTTGGCTGGGTAGGAAGCCTCCTCAAACAGGTGTCGAGCACAGATTGGTTGGGTCCCGCCAATATCGTGGCCTTCCCACCAGTCCGCTGATACTCGTACGGGACGATATGAGGCCGAGCGTGCGAAAGAGCCTCCCGTCTGTTGCTTCGTCCCACCTGTTCGCGGGTGTGCGTCGTGTCAGATTGCGGGGAGATTGCAGTCCGATCTCCACGTGCCGAACCCCGCGACACAACCGTCGTCCGTATATACAAACACACACAACTCAACGCAAAGCATTGTCCAGTCTTGGTATCCTTGGAGAGGACGATAACTTCTGATCAAGATGTCTCCGCATGGCAAAATCGACTGCCACTCCCATTACCTGCCCGCGTAGGCCCACCCTACTCACTCCAGCCTGACCGCAGCTGACACGGAGCAGTGAATACCGGAAGGCTCTCGCCGAAAATGGCCATGCGAATCCAGATGGCATGCCCGCCATTCCAGTATGCCAAAGCCATCAGACTGCCATGCCCTTGCTGACGCGGACCAGGAATGGAGCGAGGAGAGCCACCTCGAAATGATGAAGTCGGTCAACGTGACCAAATCCATCCTCAGTGTCAGCTCACCGGGCGTTCACCTCAAAGCGGGCGACCACCAGCTGGCACGGAAACTAGCCAGACACGTCAACGAAGTCGGCGCCGACCTCAAGAAACGCAGACCAGATCAATTCGGGTTCTTCGCCTCCTTGCCGTTATCCGATGTCGACGGCTGTCTGCAGGAGATCCCCCATGCGCTGGATCAACTCAACGCCGATGGATTCGTCGTCATGACCAATTTCCATGGCTCCTACCTTGGCCATCGCGACTTTGACGCCATCTTTGATGAACTGAACCGGAGGAAGGCTATCGTCTTCATGCATCCTACCACGCCTTGCTTGTCGTCCGGCACGGCAGCGACGCCGCTCCCGCAATTCCCAAGACCGATGTTCGAGTTCATGTTCGACACGGCTCGCGCCGTCATCAATCTATTCCTTTCTGGCACGGTGAAGCGTTGTCCAAATATCACTTTCCTCGTGCCGCATGTGGGAGGCACATTTCCACCGTTGATCAATCGTTTCGCCAGCGTCGCGCCATTCATGAACTTAGGCGGAGCTGCCAGTGAGATTACTCCAGCGTGGGTCAAGGAAAGACTGAACACGCAGTTCTACTTCGACACTGCTGGGTGGGCATTTCCGGAGCAGACCAAAGGGTTGCTGGAGTATGTCACGGTGGACAGGATGCTGTACGGGAGCGACTTTCCTTACACGCCGCTGCGGGGTGTTCAAGCGTTGTCGAAGGAACATGATGATCACCTCCCGAGAGTGTTTCCTAGTGAGGAGGAAAGAGAGAAGCTGTGTAGCAAGAACGCGGAGAAGCTCCTGCATCAACGAGCATAGCTGTGAGTTGAATCAATGATCGGGTCATGAGATTATACTTGGACTTCGCGACATCAAGAAGTTCAATTACGAAAAGGTCTCTCGATCTAAGGTCCAGCTTCAGAACCTGATTTATGACTCGTGCAGTTAGGTGACAGTATGCTGCTACCTTTCTCCATGGGGTATCAGAGCCGCTTCATTGTGTGAGCCGAGAACATGGCAAGGCTTGGATACGTGCCCCGTGCGCCCGGAGAAATGATCCGATGGTACCAAGCCCCTCACTGCCATAGTCGGCGACCAATGAACGTCAGCCTTCTGTCGTCAGACAATGCTAGGTGAAGTCATCGTGGCCTCAGAGTCAACAACGGCTTGGTCGCGTGCGAGATATATACTTGTAGGATGCGCGCTTGCGTTATGATGTTTTATCGTTGAGCACAGCCCGGTAAGAGCCAATCTCAAGCGAAAACAGATTGGGACAAATTCTCTAAAGAAGCCAACTTCAAGCGAAAACAGATTCGAACAAATTCTCCAAGAAGCCACCCCTTCGTATATTGCCAAAGGCAAGAGACGACCTACCCTCACCCAAGATGACAGACGCACACGTAGGACATACAGATACCTCGCCAGACGATCTAAAACCAGAGACGACCGCAACAGGCAACACGGGCTCCCACTCCGAGCTCTTCGGACTGCAAGGACAGAAACGAGCGTCTACCACAGCCGGCGCTGGAGCAGGATCAGGAGTGATCGGCACCAGCGGTCATCCTGGAGCGGGCAAAGGGCCCAACACCGACTTCGGGCAGACCGCTCAAACAGCAGGCATTGGAGGCATGGCCGAGGGCGGGAAGAGCAGTGCCATTTCTGGATCTGGCGGAGAAGCTTTCACACCAAGTCAAGGAACTGGGGATGTACGGCCTGCAGGCGAAGCGACCGGAGAGAAAAAGATTCTCGACAAATTGAATCCCTTCAAGTGATGACTGGTTGGGATCTCAAATACCGTTGAGGCAGATGGAGCGGTTACTGCGGTCGTCAGCGTAGGAGAAAAAGCCTGGCTAAGGACGAATGAAGGCATAGAAGCCATTGATGATTACTCCATATCCAATATGACGGAGGGGTGTACACACTGCCTCTGTTGGCGTTGTAGAACACGAACAAACCAAGAGAGTATCCATCAATAACATAACAAGTGCTACCGGAACGACCAAGACCAAGCAGTCGTACTGAAGCTCTTGAGGTACATGTACAGTACCGGGAGTACTTTGTACAGAGCATGTCATAGTTCGAGGAGTCCTTGAACAGGAACAGGGATGGAAATGCGCTAAGTGGCAAGCGCGAGGCCGGGGCCAATTAAAACACAGCGCCTAAGGAGTGGTAGGCGCCAAACGGCCCGCTAGGCGCCTGTAAGCAACAACAACGGACAACCCGATCAAGGAACGGGGCGCGAACAAACCCCGACCCTTGAATCTGTCCGATTCCTACACCTCATATCGAACCCAAGCCATGTTTGAACAACGACTGTTCAGCTCCGCGTGACTCAAAGATTATCCCGCTATTACGCCGATGAACTCCACGGCTTAACGGCTACACAGTACACTGCGACCAGCTTGTGTTGAGCAAGATCGATCTGCCGCTCAACGCCGTCCACCGCGACCGCGCTTGTCCTTGCTCAATCTCAAATTGCGCTTGACATTGGCCAGGTGACTCTTTGCTGCACGGCTGCGGCGCCCAATCACTCACATTGTCACTCCCGATTTCTCGTCAACAAGGCTCGCCCACCACGGCGTTGTCGAGGTTCAACAACGCTCTCGACAACGACTACGACCACGAAGACAAGATCTATCTTGCTCCGCCGCCGCATTCGCCCAGATCCGCAGCCTCATCCTCGAGTCCTCCGTCCCCACGACCACCGCCCTTCTCTTCCCTATACTTCCCAACTGACGCCGAGCTCGACCAGATTAGAGCCACTGTCACCGAGGCTGGTTGCGACTCGCTTCCCGCCACTGCCCCGGCACCCTCCTTCGAGGAGGCTCTTGCCGAAGACGAAGCCGAGTCCAAGGCTGAGCGCGAAACCAAGGCAGCTCTTCCGCCGGACACCAAGGGTCAGTCTTCGTCGGGCAAGGCACTAGACGACGGCGAGCCACCTCCTCCCTACACCGAAGGCTCTAGCCCTCTAGATTCGTTTACCTACGTCATGGCGGCAGCAGGTGGCGCGGCGAGTATTATTACACAAGTTCAACAGACAGGGCCACCAATCAATACACTGGGAGGTAAGCTCGGAAAGGTCTCAGGCATGCTTGAAAGATAGACACTGACTCTATGGTCAGCAGGAGAAGCAGCGGCCGACGAGCACATTACATTGGATTTGAGGTTGGTTTCTAGGAGTAAGGCAGGGAGCCCAGACTGGACGCTGACTGTTCGTGCAGAGGGACGCATTTCACCCTATCTCGTGATGAGCTCTTGACCTTGCCCGAATTCGTCTTGCTGTCATTATTTCCCAATGGCCTCCTTCCTGACGGCCACATGAACTCGTTTCATGAAGGCGACGTGTATCCCGTCGACGTACGTTCCGCCCAAACCCCACATCCCATCACTGTTCTGAGCAATCCTCATATCTATATTGGAGACATGACTTATTCTTCGCAGTATGACCCTGCTTCACTCCAGTATATGTTAAACTTCTTCCGAGATGTTGCCCAATCAATACCCTCAACGTCCCCGTCACCCACCACTCCACCCGAGCATGACCCCATCTCAATCGAGCCGCTGCAAGGCTCTACCAAAGATATGCTGCAAGACCGGGCAGGAATTATTGTGCTAAGGGAAGACCTTGACTTTTATGTCATACCGCCTCGCGCGGATATCGAGCAGCCGGAAATGACCGAGGTCAAGCGAGCTGCCGGCAAATCATTGCTTAAACAAGATGGCATCTTCTCGGGCCTTAAGCGGAGTGAGGAGGCCGGCACTACCGAGCAACACCTAATCGAGATGCTGACTGCTGGGTACGTCCTTCAATAAGTAGTGGACTGACAGGTTACTGATTGACGCAGCGGTTTCAACCATGACGATGCATGGGGTCACCGAGCGGGAGAACCCAACAAAGCAGTCATTTGCAGCTTAGCTCTCGCCAGATTACGGACGGACATCAAGGGCGACCTCGCGGGCAGCAATGTCGTCGGCATGGCTCAAAAGCTGTTGCTGTTCTGGCGCAAACCCGCCCGGAGGTGCTGGTGGGAAGGTGTCGAATTGACCGATGTGGAGGGCGTACAGGGCAGGTTGAAGGTGTGGATTCGAAGGGTCTGGACTCTGGAGATGGTAAGCGATCTTGATCGAACGTGACATGGTGTTTTGCTCACATCGTAACAGAGTGTTATCGGCCTACGGTGACCTCGTTACATCGCTTTGCGTTGAAGGTTTACTTATGCTTGGAGCGACGAATCAGAATCGTAAAATGGCATCACTCTATTCTTGTGCAGTGGAATACGCTGGGGCCCAGGAAATGCGGGTAGGGAACGGGCGTATGTGGGTGATCAACACAGTGTTTGGGACCTGTACAGCAAGTTGTGTCACAGAAGGAGACGAACAATGGTCCCAATAGCCAAAGCCGCGCGCACGTTCCGAAGGATGGCATCATATCAGCTTCTCGACTTGGGAGAAGGGAGGGCCTTCACGGTCGATTACTGTGCTGGAACATTGCGCGGCTGTAGAAATGAGAATGACAACCGTGAAGGCTATGTACCACTGGAGACACTCCGACTTCAGAAAAACACACCACTTGACAGTTCTTTCGCACCATAAGGGGAAGCCTTCCAGTAACCCGCTATCAAACCAAATTGCGCGACTTGGTCTAGAGTGTAATAGGAGCTTTGCGAGACACAACACCATCAAACGGAGGAAGAGCCTGCTCATAAACAATTATAGCAATCCTTGCGACGGAAACTTTCGCCATCGTGGATGTTGACCGCTCCCTTTCATTGACTTTGCTTATGCCAACGGTGGGTCATAGAGCGGCGTGAATAGTTTCTGAATCGGGGTGCGTCGCGAACAGATTTCGCTTGACTCTCAAGGGCAAGTCGCGACTTGTGAATACTCGCGGATGCCACTATTTATCCCTCCTGTTGCGCGATACAATACTTATCCTGGAAGGGGGGCAGTTATTGCTGCGTGGAACCTCGCGTTTGACCTGCTTGACCATGTCATAGTGCTATCCTCTCTCGACTCACAATGGCGCCGGCGCAAGCATATGTGACCAGTTATCCCCCGCGGATCCGTCAATACGCCAACACCCTTCTCCAACCTGTTCTCCAGACCCAGAATGTCGCGCCCGCCGGCCGCACCACCAAGCGAGGAACCACAGTTATCAACTATGCAGACGACGCCTACGATGAAGACGACTTTGAAGACAGCGAAGGCCCGCGCCGACCAACAGGTCTACGCTCCTTGCGACGAGAAGAAGTCGAGAAGAAAGAGCCGCAGAATGAAAAGCTGGGGAGAGAATTACGGCATCCCGTGGATTTGCAGCCCATATACAGAGACTGGATGATCAGGAGGACGGTGCGGCCCACGTAAGTATCTGGCTTTCCGGATGTGCCCCCGCCACAGTGTTGACAAGGCGAACAGGACTGATGCTCAAGCCCATGTTCAATCACAGCTCCCACTCACGCTGATACCTATACGCATCGATCTCGACGTACCGGCACACCAGCCAGATGCGCCGTTTTCTCTATCTCGAACCGACGTTGGAGTCAATCCTTCGCTGCCCATGTTCAAGAAACCGGAGCCCTTGCCGGGCTACAAGATTCGCGACATTTTCTTGTGGAATTTACACGAAAACTTGTTGACTCCTGATGACTTTGCTCAGTGTTTCGTACGAGAACTTGACCTCCCCAACCAGACCGCACTCGCCATGAATGTTAGCCAGCAGATACGGACTCAGCTGGAAGACTATGCTGGCGTCGCTATGCACCCGCTGTTTCATACTCAGCAGAAGCGATCACAGATGCCAGATGCGAACAATGTGCCAACACCATCGGCGATGGCTAATGGGAGCTCTCGTGGAGGGACACCGCGGCCGATGCGTGGCGCATCAATACCTCGACCCGCATCTACAACACCTGGAACGCCGGCTGTCTCCACACCGATGCCCATCACGTTGTCCAACGGCGCGTCAGTAACAGCGGCGGCTTCGCCTCTGCCACCAGTCCCTCAACCTGAACAGTCAGATGAGTCAGAGGATCCATACCTCAACCCGGATGACACCTACCGCTGCATCATCACCCTGTCGATCTATCTTTCTTCAAGACTTTACCAGGACAAGTTTGAGTGGTCATTACTCCACCCGTCTGGCGCGGCGGAAGCTTTTGCGAGGCAGACGTGTGCAGATATGGGTCTCGGCGGCGAATGGGTCATGGCCATTACACACGCCATTTACGAAGCAGTTCTTAGGCTCAAAAAGGAGGCCTGCGAAGGTGGAATGCTCATGCTTGGCGGCAACGCATTCGGCGGAGAGATTGACAACCAAGCCGTCCGACATGAGGAAGGTGCTGGTTGGAGATATGACATTGACGACTTCGGTGCTGAATGGGAACCAAAATTCGAAGCACTGAGCAAGGAAGAGATTGAGAAGAGAGAAGGCGACCGCGAACGGCAGCTCAGGCGGCTGAGACGGGAAACCGCCAAATTCTCATCCACGGCAGGAATGGTCCCGTCTGCGCGAGAACAAGAAGCTCAACAGAGAGGCAGCTATTTCGACTATGCGAATGTCGGCAATGGCGGTACGGGTGATGAGACACCGCAGATGGGTCGCGGCGAGAGGAGCAAGAAGAAGAGACGGTTTAGGTCGCTGTCTCCAGTCGCGAAGGCGCAGACTCCAGAGGCAGGAAGCTCTGCTGGCGCGGGCTGGGGAGGTGAGGGGAACAGGTTACAAGAGTATGAGAGGCAGAACTGGAGGTGTAAGCACTGCCTGATCTGGGGCAGCGCTGTGTGGGCTGTGAGGGATGGGCCATTAGGTCCCAGAGTGAGTTGCATTCTCAAGCCTCTGAGCACGCGGAAACCTGGAGCTAACCTTTCTGCAGACACTGTGCAATTCATGCGGCTTGATCTACGAGCGGGACAAGAAGCTGCCAGTATGGAACGAAGGACTGCACAAGCACACGATCCCTCTCGGTCGGTAACCTCCTTGCTGGTTGCATGATGCTTCAATTGCGGGATATCTTTAAGCACGCCCGATTCATTACATTGTTGAGGGTCAATTGGAGTTTGTAGGAACCCGACAGAGGTCTGGGAGGGAGGTTCTTTAGAGGATCATGTATGCGCGGCGTTGGCTGAGTCGGAACTTGGAGCATCAAATGTGGTGGACAAGGCTGTAAAACTATTGCTGGGAGAGTTGGCAAGGCTGCACGTGGCGTCGTGTGGCGGTGGGAGATTAGATAAGATCTCCGAGGGAGCGTCCCGCGCATTCGACTCTCGAAATCGCGGTAAAGACTAGTTGCCAGATCGCGCTTCCTGCAACCACCACCAGTATTACAAACCTGACTTGTTCCTCTCGACAACCTTGATCTGCGGACTCGAGAGATGCGGTAGTGGTGCTATTTTGCTTTTCCTATCTTCCCTCCTCACCGACCTCACCTCCATGATGGTAGGTTTCTGGCAACTCTTCTCAGCACACGCTCTGCGACTGTGTCAGTATACGTGGTGACCAAGAGCGCAGTCCGCGACATTCCTATGTTCAGATGGAGACTCGGGCTGAATTACACCATGGCTAATCATTGGTCAACAGGCGCAAGTCATAGCAAGTTCAGGCCACGATGACATGATCGTACGGACACGCTTCCCTTCGCACTCCTGCGCCGACGCTGACTCTTCACCTAGCACGATGCCGTCCTTGACTACTACGGCCGCCGGCTGGCCACCTGCTCGAGCGACAAGACGATCAAGATATTCGAGATTGAAGGGGACCAGCACCGGTTAACAGAGACGCTCAAAGGGTACGACTGACCACCACTGCCTCCGCCCAGGCCGCCTACTAACACACCATGACACATGCAGTCACGAAGGCGCGGTCTGGTGCGTCTCCTGGGCCCACCCCAAATTCGGCACTCTCCTGGCCTCCTCATCCTACGACGGCCGCGTGCACATCTACAAAGAAACCCCCGCCCAACCCTCGCAGCCTGGCCAACAGTCCCAATCGTCCTGGACGCTCGTGTGGCAGCACCCGATCCACACGGCCTCGGTGAACATGGTCTCGTGGTCGCCGCCGGACCTGGGATGCCTGCTCGCGTGCGCCTCGTCGGACGGCAACGTGTCGGTGCTCGAGTTCCGCGACAACCAGTGGGGCCACGTCATCTTCCCGGCCCACGCGATGGGCGTCAACGCCGTGAGCTGGGCCCCCTCGGCGGTTCCCGGCGCGATCGCGCGCAAGGACGGCGGCAGCACGGGCGTGGTCAAGCGGTTCGTCACGGGCGGCAGTGACAACCAGGTCAAGATCTGGGAGTGTGGCACTGGTGGGAATTACGACAACGTCCTCGTCCTGCCGCAGGGCCATGGCGACTGGGTGCGCGACGTGGCGTGGAGCCCCACGCTGCTGAGCAAGAGCTACATCGCGAGCGCGAGCCAGGACAAGACGGTGCGCATCTGGACGAGCACCAATATGACGGCGCAGGGCGTCGGGGAGTGGACGCTGGCCAAGACGCTCGAGTTTGACGCCGTCACCTGGCGCGTGAGCTGGAGTCTGAGCGGCAATGTGCTGGCCGTGAGTGGCGGGGACAACAAGGTCACGTTGTGGAAGGAGGATCTGAAGGGCAATTGGGAGATGGTCAGGGAGGTGACTGAGTAGAGTTGGCTGGCTGATTAGGCCACAGATATGGCCACGTATTGGTATGCTATCGTAGCAAACGGGCAGGGAGGCCGAAAGGGCGGAACTTTCCCAAGCCAGCCACGCACGCATGCACGGAGCTCGCGACGAAAAGGGAACCCAAAAGTGCATCAAACGGAGTACGTACCTACACTAGCTAGACGTGGAATCTGGAGACCTCAACACTTGAAGTTGAGAAACCAGCTCCCCAAGCGTCAAGAATCGACGGGCAGTCGAGCCGGCACAATGCATTCGATCTACACTACAGTAGAGTACAGTATAGTAGTACACTAAAGCTACAACGAGTAAGCCTTCCAATTTTTTTCGATCCGTCTCTTCCCCTCGGCGTTCCCTCGCCACCCTTCCGCTTTGAGGACCGGTCTGGTCTTTATTGTCTCGAGATCCCGCGCGCGGGCATTCGCGTCCTGGATCCGTCGAATACACGTGTCTCGCCCGAGGATCTCCAGCGCCTCAGCTATGCCGGGCCCTTGTCTGCCCCCGAGTATCGCCCAGCGGAGGTAGTGGTATAGTTCCCTCTTCCACGGCTTTGTATCCGTGGCGGCGTCGGCATCGGGAGGAGAGGCCTCCAACGCGCGCAAGTGGGCATGAAGCACTTCTTTTGTCCACGATGAGGCCGGGATGAGTGTGAGTGTGCTCGCTGCGACGCGGAGGGGGTGTAAGAGGGCGGGATCCGCGACGTCAAGATCCACGTTGGGCTGGACGGGGTCGAAGAACAAAGCGCATTGCTCGGCGAATTGGGCGGGCGAGCGATAGTGCAGGGACTCGATCTGGAGGAGTTGGGCGATGAGGTCACGGAGCGTTCGTTTCGGTGTGCCCGAAGCGAGGAGTTGCATCACTTGGCCGGCTCCGTATTTGTTCAGCACGGCCACGGCGACGTCGCGGATCATTTGTTCGAACTTGTCACCCCCAGCAGCGATCCTACGACGGGCGTGCTGTTCTTGCAGGAAGTTGAGCTTATCGAGGGACACGATTGTGTTGCCCTTTGTGATTTTCATGTCGAAGATGGATTCGAGCTGCGCGAGGTCCATGACGTCCCTTTTTTGCGTGTGGCTCCAGCCTAGCAGCGCGGCAAAGTTGATGAGGGCTTCGGGGAAGATCCCCTTGTTGCGGAAACTGGATATGTCCGAGTCGAAGTTCCGCTTGCTGAGCTTTTGTTTGTTCTGGTCGACGAGCAGGGGCACGTGGGCGTATGAGGGGGCAGTCCAGTTCAGAGAGTTGTACAGCGCGACGTGCAAGGGTGTCGAGGCCATCCATTCGGAGCCACGGACTACGTGGGTGATGTGCATTTCGTGGTCGTCGCAGACATTCGCCCAGTGGTATGTAGGGAAGCCGTCGCTCTTCATGAGGATGACATCCTCGTAGACCGGTTCAACTACCAGGAGTTTCTTGGTCTTTTCGGCGCCGTGGCCTTGAGCCTTGCCGTAAACAAGATCGTTGTACCTGGGCCACTCGACTGGGGACAGGAACCGGATAACGTGTGCTTCGCGGCGATGGGCTTTTTCTTCTGCTTCAGTAGGAGAGATGCTGTGATGGCATTTCCTGTCGTAGCCTAGACTTAGTCCCTTCTCGTGCCGCCGGCGGTTGAGGTCGTCGAGGCGGTCGGCCGTGCAGAAACAGCGGTATGCTTGGCCGCTGTTGAGGAGGGCTTGAATGTGTTTCTCGTAGAGCGGCAGTCGTTCACTCTGGCGGTATGGTCCGTATGGACCACCGACCTGGGGTCCTTCGTCCCATTGTAGACCTGCCCATCTAAGATCCTTGAACAGTTGGTCCTCCGCGCCGGGGATTGTTCTCTTCGCATCAGTGTCTTCTATTCGAAGGAGGAATTGACCCTTCGTCGCACGGGCGAGCAGATAGTTGAATAGTGCGGTGCGTATGGATCCCAGATGAAGGCTCCCGGTTGGAGATGGTGCGAAACGTGTTCTCGCCGGCGTAGAGGGAAGCTTGCCTCGGCGAGGTGGAGTGTGCTCAGCAGTGCTGCTTTTGCTACCGGTGGTCGACTTGTGAGTTGAGACCGAGAACGGTCGCACCCGCTTCGGCGCTGCTTGACGCGCACGACACGAATTGCATACCCATGCTGTCGTGAGGGCGACCGATTTCGTCCTCATGTGCGATGGCGTCGACAGCAAATATGCACGGTGTGGTAATCAACACCAGGGTGAAGCTCGAAAGCACGAGAAGATTCAAGCAATTAGTGACTACCAGCGCGGCGGCACAGAAGGATGCGCTGGTTAATCTTCCGCGGCACGGAACTATCGTCGACACATGCAGCCTTATTGCTAGACGCTTCTAACTGACCATTCAGATCCCATCGTCAGTCGTCTATGAACAAAAAGTCAAGCAGAAAAAGCGGGAGTCAAAAACCCCCAACCACCACAAGCGCAGGAGCCGGACACGCCTTCGATTTCGAGCCCCTCCAAGTCGCCATTCTCGACGTCGATCACTAGTCAGCCGTTGGTCGCCTTGCAGGGATTTATTTTGATTCTTTACACACTTTATCTTATTCTCATCTTCCCAGTTACACTTACAACACAGTACTTCGAGGCAACAGACAGCAACCATGAACGGCGCTACTCCAGGCGACGGTGCTCCAGAGGTCGATCTCTACGAGATCCTCGGCGTCCCCAGGGATGCCTCGCAAGCCGATATCCGCAAAGCATACAGAAAAGCCGCCCTTGCCCACCATCCCGACAAGGTCCCTCCCGAGCAACGAGAAGAAGCAGAAACCCGGTTCAAAGCCGCGTCACAAGCCTATGAAATCCTTTACGATGACGAAAAGAGACGGCTCTACGATACCCACGGAATGGCTGCCTTTGACGGCCGCGGGCCTGGCGGCATGGGTGCAGAAGTCAACATGGAGGATATTCTGAACATGTTTGGCATGGGTGGCGGCATACCGGGTATGGGCATGCCCGGCATGGGTGGAGGACCGCGCAGAATGCGAAAAAGTCCAGATGAAAACCAGAAATACGAGGTGTCGTTGGAAGATCTGTACAAAGGAAAGACGGTGAAATTCTCGTCAACCAAGAATGTCATCTGTTCAAAGTGCAAGGGCACGGGTGGAGCGGAGAAGGCCCAGGCAAAGGAATGTTCTCAATGCAAGGGCCAGGGTGTCAAGCAAGTCTTGTCACAGGTCGGACCGGGCATGCTGACCCAGCGCATGGTCGAGTGCGGCGCATGCGAAGGGACCGGGCAGGTCTACAACCCCAAGGACAAATGCAAGAAGTGCAAAGGCAAGCGCGTCACGGAAGAGAAGAAACAACTCGAACTCTACATCCCTCGCGGCGCCCGGGAAGGCGATCAGATCAGATTGGAGGGAGAGGCCGACCAAATCCCCGGCGCAGAACAGACAGGAGACATCGTCTTCCACCTCGTTGAACAATCCCACGAAGTCTTCCAGCGTACCGGCAACGATCTCAGCGCGAAACTCGACATCACCCTGGCAGAAGCATTGACTGGCTTTCACCGGGTGGTGCTCAAGCATCTAGACGGTCGTGGAATCGAACTCAATCATCCGCAAGAGCCTGGCCAAATCCTCCGTCCCGGTGAAGTGCTCAAGATCAGGGGTGAAGGTATGCCGATGAAGAAGTCGGACGCCAAGGGCGACCTCTACCTCGTCGTCGAGATCGCCTTTCCCGAAGACGGTTATTTCCTGGACAAGCCAGGCGCCCTGGAGCAGCTGCAGAAACTGCTGCCGCCGCCCGAACCACCAATTGAGGACGTCGACGAGGCCGATGAGGTGCAGTTCGAGCTTGCCGATATTGACGAGATTGGTGGCGAGGAGGCGCAAGGAGCGTGGGAGGATGACGAGGATGGACCGCAGCAAGCTCAGTGTCAGACTCAGTAGAGCAGTGGCTCTGAGACCTATGCTGGGGAGCCGGTTGTCACCCGACATTTGAGTCGAGGTGAGCCCGCCAGACATCACCCCCATACTGGATAGGCGTCCGCTGCTGGTCCAGGCATGCGACACGATGTTACGAATGAAGCCTGCGGCACGGGGTCGGCGGTAAATGACAGGATATGCATTAGACGGCGTTTGAGGATAGTGTTTGAAAAAGCATTGCTTCGGCGTTGGATAGAATGGCTCAGGCGAGAGGAGGCCCTTGAGGCGCGGCAGAAGCAGATCGCAACTCACGTTTCCGTTGCAAGACGAGCCACAATCTGAGCAGTATCTTTGGGGGGCACAAATCCCCTGTTGTTCATGGCCAATCACTTCCTATAGTACTCAGATAAGCATCTTTCTCTGTATGCGTGTTCTAGATGCCCCATTTCGGTATAACTTGTCTATAATTGTCTATCTTTACTACATGGAGCCTCTGTTTAACGCTTAATATGTTCAGTTCTCGACTGCTTGAGGTTCCGGTGCCCCTGACGCCTTGATCCTGCCCTGGAACTTCTTCCCCATCCTCTCCTCTGTGACTCGATAACAATCTGGAAACCAGCTACTTAGCTCGTCTCCATCCTTGCCCTCGATCATTGTCGTGACCGCTTTTGCGCACAAGAAACACAACACCATGCCATGCCCTTGGAAGGACGCACTTAGATATAAGCCCTCCTCCCCAGGCACGGGGCCGATGAAGGGATACCCATCGGCTGAAAAGCCCATCACTCCCGACCACGTCCTGCGGTTGTGCCCGTCCGGGTGGTCTTTGCCCCAGTTCTTCGGGCCGAAGTACCGGCGCGTGCATTCGAGCAGGTACTCTGCGCTGGATTCATCAAAAGTGGTGTCATCAGTGTTCCCATATTCGTTCATGCCGTCGTCCTTTGCAACGTGCATGCCTCCGCCAATGACAATATCCCCCTCGAACTTGCTCCCCGGCGGTCGAGAAATCATGTATTCGAAACCCTCTTTGTAGACAAACGAGTACGTTGTCTCCAATCCGCGTTGAGGCATGTTCTGGCCTGGACGTTGGGCTGTCACGACTCCTCGCAGGGGCACGATTACACCCTGTAAGCGCGGATACAGGTGTGCTGTATACCCGTTGGTAGCCAGGACCAATTTCTTGCTCGTAATGGAGCCACGCGGCGTCGAAACCGTCCAGCTGCCATTCTCATCTTTGGCGATGCTGGTTGCGGGGGTATTACACTGCAGATTCAATCCTTTGGCCAAGGCAAGTTTCAACACCCCGATCGTGAACCGATAAGCACTAAGACTTCCACTCTCGTACTCTAAGCTGCCGACACTGCCCGGCGCCAAATATTTCTCGGCCGTTTCCTCCACGTCATGGAAAATATGCTTGGGCGTTTTGTCAACGCCCATGGATTTATCCATCAACGCCACGGAGGTCTTCGCTGCTTCGAACTGCGTGGAGTCGTAGAAGACGTCGATGGTCTGGCAGCGCACGGAGTCGCAGGGGATAGAGTGCTCCCGGGCAAAAGCGTGGACGTTGACCATGGTGTTGTATTCCAGGTTCGTGATCTTGATGGCGTCCGCCGTACCGACAGACTTGGCGTTTTCGTGGAAGGAGCGGTATGTGGCAGTCTTGGTGTGACCGCCTAGGCCGCAAAGTTAGGGATCATCGAAAGCATTTGGGGATGACATGATACCAGTTCACGCAACTTTACTTTACCTACCATTTCGACCACTGGCGCCACTGGCAGCCTGGCGAGCCTCCAGAAGAACAATGTTCATACGAGGGTTGGAGGAGAGCAGGTCATACGCGATGCTCGCGCCACTGACACCCGACCCGACGATAACGATATCAGCCTCAGCCGGGAGATCGGAGGTGCTCCGACAATCAGCTATTTCATCTGGGGGATCTTGCCAGTATGACTGGATGGGGTTGTGCCTGGGGAGACCGGGAGGTATATTGCGCCTCTGATCCATCTTGGGATGCTCAAAGTCTGGATCCGGTGCCATGAAGGAGATCGATACCTACAGGTAGGTACCTAGGTATAGTGAGTGCAACTTGAGGTTACATAACACGATGCACCACCAATAGAAATTAGAGTGTTTCTGCACTAGCGCAGCACCAATAGAGTACTTTTACCACAGCCTGCACGTGACGCTCGGGGAGGGCTGCCGGCACTAACTCCGCTTGCGCCTCCCAGCGCATTCATTCATTCATTCATTGTGGTGCTGGCAAGCCGAGCCGCCGCCGCCGCCTGGGCCCCAGTTCTCACTTGTCACCTCCAGGTTGTGTATGATCCTGTCCTCGATCCTGACCTTGTCTTTGTTCTTCCTTCAAACGACCCGACGTCCAACTCTCCACTCACCACTTCACCACCTCGACTGTCACTGCGAACTCGACAATCTGCGGCTCCCGGTCTTCCTCCTCTGCACATTCCTTCCAACTCCGTTCCGCCGTCAGCGATCCGGTCGCCGAAGTCGCTACTGATACGCATCCGATTCGAGTGACGCCCCGCCTCCGTCTCGCTGGACAAACAGCCATTGCCTTCGATTTCGATCCCTCCGCCTTCAAAGGTGGCGCGCAAACCACCGCGGAAGGATCGCTTTGCGCACTTTCATGTTCCTCCCATCCCAACCGACGACCGTTCCGCCTTCTCCAACATCTCCGCCTGAGTCGGCTCTCAAGCGACGGCGCTCGTCTGACAACCTTCCACAAAGCCCCATCTCTCCTTCTTTTATGTCAGTCGCTACAAAGAGCTATGTCTCCTCTTACGGAAATACACATAATCCCGACGAGGCTACGGCCAGATCCACCCCCAGCTCACCACGGGGCTCTGCTGCGCGATCTCAACCGCCGTCACGGCCCACTCATTCTCTCCCGACTCCGGCGCACAGCGTAGCGGGCACGAATTCAGGCTTCGATTTGGTGGACGACGCTGACCAGCATCGCGATAAGCGACAGAGGCGTGACTCCGGAAGAGAAGACCAGGCGGATCAAATGGAGGTGGAGCCAATCACACACGCCACAAACCATGACCGGAACGACGTGATGGAGGTAGACGGAGGGGACAAGATTGCTGACGGTGTGAGCGCAGCACATTTAATGGTGGACGAGAAGACGCTGGAACAACTACAGGAAGACATGGGCGACGCCTTTCTTCTCTGCAGATCCAGTAAGACTCTCCCGTCCTCCACCACTTACAATCTCTCTTTGCAGGTTTGTTGACCAGTTGATTTGCAGAAGTCGAGCGTCAGAGACCCGATCCGCAGCAGCATCTGCTCGCGTTGTATGGTCTCGGTCCATTGCTACACAGCGTCGCTCGCACGGATCCCAGGACGGGCGAGAAGATCAACAAACTCCGCAAATCATACGAGGGTCAAATCAAGGGTTTCAACCTGTCTGGACGGAACAAGCCTGTCAAAGGCGAACGGAATGTCGAGGAGGATCAGCCCGGCCCGCTACGACGGATGGCAGGATCGTCCATGTGGGGCCTCCAACCGGAGGAGCAGTGGAACGCCGAGCACGCAAAGTCCAGAATCGAGGTCACGCCGGATTTCAGGGCCAAGTTGAAGCAAGCCGTGCAGATGCAGCCTGGGACAGTTCGAAACAATGCCCACTGGGAGGACGTTCTTGGGTTCGAGAGAACGAACGCGCGGCCACCTCCCCCGACTCAATCACAAAGTCAACCGGCGATACCTCGACCGCTGCCGAATGGGGTGATGCGGCCAACGCCGCAACAGAACGCGGACGCAAAACGGCAGACTCGGGGCAAGAAGCGCAGTTACGGCGATGACAGCTTTGTCGGGTACGGCGAGGGATATTCGGATCCAGAAGATGGAGATGGCGACGAGTACGGCCAGAGAAAGCGGAAGAAGTTAACGGGCACAGATTATTGATGGTTCAGCACTGGGACTGAGATCGACCATGCCTACGACGGGGTATTGCTGGACGTGGTGAGAAGCTGCCCTTGAACGTGGCTGCGGCGAGACCAGTTGCTTCCCGCACAATGCCTGATTGAGCTGGGCGGGCGGGCGTGCCTATATTTCTTGCCAAATGGGTGCACGGGCCGCATATGTTTTTCAAAAGAGATACCCTTGATGACGCGAGATCAGAGGGGCCGAGAAAAAATGGATATATGAGCGAGCGATAAATAACGGCCAAAAATGGGAGGCGCGTTTGCACGGCGGTATTCAACAACAATGGTTTTTGCACATTCTTGCCTGCCTTGCCATGGGGCCTCAAAAGGACGGGATCGAAGGCGAATGGTCAGCGCAGATGTCATTTACAGTATCCAGGTGTTCCTTACAGACTCTGCGCTGTTGCGGACTCGTACTCGGACTCGTGATCCATTCATAGTGAGTGGGAGCGAGCAGCTCAGCTCAAACCCTGAACGGGGAATATGTTTACTGTACTCCTGGATGACTGCACACACCAAAATCTCACGACAAACGAGTACGCCGTACGCCGTACACAGTACGCCTTGTGGCACGCAATTGTCCTGAGGCGCGTTCGTGTATGATACCTTAGATAATGACACGATAGTTGATGACGATGAAAAGTGCACATGATAGAGGTCAACAGTAGATGCACTGTTGGTTGCAGAGAACGTCGTTCTGAATACTAAGGGTGGTAGTCCTCGAGTTTCGGTCGTGTGAGGCAAGGTGCATCGCCACGACGTTGTGTGCCGTCGAAGGCAGTTACGTTGCTGGCGTTTTGGTCTGTCTTGTCGGGTCGACTGTTCAGGTGCATTGTTGATGCCTTTTATCTCTCTTGTCGAGTCAAGTTGTATTGCCGACGCCTTTGTCTCCCTTGTCTCGTAAAAGGGGAAGATATCGACGACGATATAGTAGCTCATACAACACGCATACTGGCAACCCGTATAAGTAACACTTGATACAGACACGCCAGACAATCGAAGACAAGACGCACCACCAGCAGCTACTCACTCACAATGTCAGCGGCGCTCCCTGGCATGCCGCCCTCTAACGGTCCCCGTGAAGCCCCATGTCCAGCTTACAACCTCATCAGCTACGACATCTACGGCACGGCACGCTCATCGACTGGGATGTGAGACCTCATCATGCGCCTCCTGCAGCCTCTAGTCGCGCAGATCCCGCCCTCGTTACCCCTCCACAACGACTACATCGACAGCATATCCCCCAATCCGCCGGGCCGGAGTCGTCTGGCCTCCAAATTAAGCGAGGTCGAGCACGTTCTCGAAGCGGAGAACCCAGCGGCAAACGTACAATACCATCCTGCATGATAGGTACCTGAGGCTCGTTCGGGAGTTTGGCGTCATCCCCGTGCCCGGTATGGAGGCCACGGCGACCACAGAGAATACGGTACCCACTGACTTGAGAGCAGCCGCCAGGCCCTTCGCCGCCAGCATCGCCACGTAGGACCCCTTCCTAGACACCGGGGAGGCGTCCCAGCGCCTCGTGTGCGCGGCGGGATTCAAGCTCGTCCCGCGGTCGAATGTGGAACGTGCGTCGTTTGCGCGAACCCTCGCCGGGCCAAGGACTTCGGGAGCTATAAAGCCCGATCTGCGCAACTTCGAGTACCTCATCAGGTCGCCCGGGCAGAAGCGGATGCCTGTGTCGAAAGGGACGAGACCCTGCATGTGGCACAAGGTGTGGTGGATGATCATGTGCCTGTCAGGAAAACGGGGTCGCGAGCGTGTGGATTGATTGCAGAGGAGCTGCTACAGGAAGCCAGGATAAAGTGGCGAGGGGGTTGCATAGGACGGGGGAAGGAGCTGGCGGATGAGGTAGATAAGGAGAAGGGGAGGGAGAAAGCGGGATGGAGGGCGGAGAGGTGTTCGTAGGGTGGTTGATCGAGGTGGTGGTAGAAAGATGCTGTACAGAGAGAGTAGGTACGTATACTCGACAGGCTAGAGTGGAGTCTGATGGGGGAGGGAGAGAGAAGAGTGAGAGAGGGACGAAGGGAAGGAAGGAGAAATGAGGATGCGGTGGCGTGGAAAGAGCTGACAGTATTGTGAAGATACTCTTACAGATGTGATATTAGAAGATATGACACCCTGCTTGGTGGAAGATGAATGGACTGGGTTGCATGTCGCAGGCAGAGGCAATGCAATGCGGTGGCTTGGATAGTTGACTGGAAGAATTCGACAACCGGGTTGAAGCTCAAAAACCAGAGGCAGAGGCGGAGACAAGGGTAAGTTGGGAGTTGCTTGATGCTCAATGAATCCTCTGCGGTACCGCTTCCATTATCTCCATCTTCACCCCTTTCACACTCACCTTAACTCTCATTCTTTCTTCTTCCTCGACCCCTCTGGATCAGCAAGAGCTTGTGCGTTCCACCTCGGATCGTCGCTCTCATTGACCGGCGCCCATCCAAGTTGAATCTACTATCTTCAGCATGCAAGACAAACCATCACATGTCAAAAGCGTCAAGGAGAAGTACATACCTGCATAGTCTTCTGGTCCCAATCCTTGGTAAAGCTTCGGATCTTCCTGTCCTCGACTTCGAAAATCGCCGCCGCACACCACGTCGCATGCTTCCCAGTGGCTTGGATGCCCTTGTATGGTTTGCCCACGTGGCTCCCCTCGGCGGTATATCGAAGCAAGACGTGCCCATTCTTCGCAAACACCTGGTCGAAGCGGATGATGTGGAGGTCGGACACGGCGGACATGACCACAGAGTGAGATGTCGCGTAGTCCATGGGCGTTTCGCAGCCGGGAAATGTTGCAGGAGCCCAAAACCAGCTGTCGGCGTGGCACAGGTGGGCGACCGAGTCACCGCCTCTGTTCTCGGTCGGGGAATATGCGATGGACATGTACTCTTTGCAGACGTTGATGTTGGCCTCTTCTTCGGGGGTTTGGTCCGTCGTCATGATGGCGGGTGGGTATTTGTGTTGCGACGACATTCCAGCGCTCTGTTTCCCTGGGGTACTCGTCAATGTAACGGATGATTGTGGTAGGTACTGTAGATGATATGCTTTCTGTGTAGGGATACTTGTGTTATTGGGACCTTCTTTGACGACGTTAACATGAGGACCCCGTTATTGATATCATGGCGGAAATACACGTCATGCACCGTCGCTTTTCCCTTAATGAGGGGTCGCAGGTAATGTACTCCGTAGTGTAACGACAGATCCACGATGAACCAAGGATACCTAGGTAAGTACTCGCGGCTCTCATCTTCACGCCGCACGCGGCTTTTGGATGATGCAGAGGGGCGGAAGGTAAGTAAGTAAGGTAGGGACGGTCGAGTGGGAGCGTGATGCACTCGGGCTAAGCTTTACAGTACAGTACACAGGTTTAACCAGTCTCGATTCTCACGATCTTGAGTTTCACTCCACTCCACTTTCCTGTTCACGACGCGACAGTTTTCAGCGCCGCATTTCCCACGCACTACTCGGTGATATGACGCCGCTGCATATGCAGCTCGAGCTCGGGCTCTATCTTACAGGCCTCAAGAAGCGCAGCTCATGTGGTCCAGTGAAGTCGCCAGTCCTTGGCGTTGATCGCGCTGCACGTTGCTGAAGCCAGTTTCGGAATCCCTCAGTTATTTACTACATAGCTCGACTTGGTGGACTGGCCCCTGCCGCGTTTCACTGTCTTGTCGCAAATGTGGAGGTGGCAGTCTCCGCGACAGGCAACAATGCGTTGCTCAACTTCTCGCTTGTCGATTCCTCGAAAACAGCTTTAGAAACAAACGTGCCGAACCTTGTCCTCTGAACACGGACTTTGTGCTGCTATCCCTATCGACCGTGTTTCGCTTCGCAGACGTTAGGTGAAGCACGGCATTTCGGACAGGCTTAGGCGGCAAATAGGCAGAACTGCCTTCCAGCATGCTACATCCTCGAGCCAGAGTCCCACACCACAAAAATACCTTACTGGAAAGCCATCACGAACACACACGCCCCTCCATAGAGTCTCCGACCGGAGCGGACGCCAAGATGGTTCTCATGTGTGTATTGAATCAGGCTGGTGCGGAGCCGCCCGATCTGGAAATCCTGCAAAACGCCACCTCCGCAGGATCCATTTAAGCTTCATTGTGCCTTCAGCCTCGCAAACCACTTTCCTACCTGTTCATCGATCTTTCATCCTTCACTTGGAGTAAGTTTCCACGTGCCCTGATGTGTGGGCTCTTTGATCGCCATCCAAGATCTTCTAATCCTCAAATTCAGTATGCAATCCGCCCAGCTCGCCCGGCGCGCAGATCCTTTCATCCAACAAGACCCGAATGATCCTCGTTACAGTAGGCGGTTGACCAAGGAACGGTGGGAGCGTTTTAGACCTGGTGTTTCAGAACTCTTCCATCGCGGTGTCAGCACGGCCGATATTATGCGGTACCTCCGAGCCCAGTTCGACATCCAGATAACACGGAGCCAGCTTGACACTCGTGAGAAAGTGGGAACTCAAACGAAAGAATGAATCCACGCAGTATGCAGCAACCTTACACCAGGGACGTCAAGTTCTTCCAAAGAGATCCTGCCGCCGACGCTTCAAGAATCTTCGTTGACATCCGAGCACCTATCTTCAACCCCGGCAAAAAAACGGGAGACCAAGCTTAGTTACACCCCATTTCATTTGCCCCCGTTTGAGCCGTCGAAAATGGTACGAAGGATATGGAATTCTACATGCTCAAAAGAAATTTGGGAGCTGCGGAGTGCTGCGTCCGAAATAGGTCTTGAAAGTCTTTCGGACATCACACGTACCGCCCTTATTCTTACCGACTTGAAGTGCTTCAGCGAGGTATTTGAGCTATGGTACCTGATCACTTCTGATCTCAATGATGTGATACAGTCAGACCAATTATGGGGTCCACAGCTGGTGTTTGTGGCAGCCACTTGCGTACGGTCTGCTTGGACTGATGAGCAATTGCTGATAGCGGATGCTCTTCTTGAGCAGCTCTGCAATTGACGAGATCGGTACTTTGATCATGATCGTGATCTGTCGCCAATTACCAGCTTGACTGGTGAAATACCGAGCCGAGCCTCCTCACCCTGGGACCCTGCTCGTCAAACTTTCAGCTTCAGCACAGCGCTCGTGCTGGTCCCTTACTCACTACTTAGCCAAAGCCTTGCTAGCAGGCGAAATAGGCAACAAGCCTTTTCTGGATGGTCTGAGGTCTGGTGGAAACGTTCTGTGGACCAAAAACCTTCGCGACTGGCCAAGAGGGATCCTAAAGTCGTTGTTCAGTTCGGCTGACATCCTGCAGTTAATTGTTGAAGCCTTGACGGCAATGGATTATCGCATATCGGAAAGGTCGCAGATGGTCGATAATCTCCTTGAAAAGAGCTGGGCCTCCTGACGAAAGCGCATTTGCTAATGCCGCTCGGTTTCTAGCGTGCTTGAACCGCAACCCCAACAGAGGGATTGCCACGTGCCGCGTCTTGTCTCATGCTCTGACTTTCCTACTGGCTCAAACATGAGCTCTAAGCTTGCGAGCTGTTCAGAATTGCTAGACGGAATCTATGATCAAGCTTTGGCGGTATTGCCTTTCGCGCTGTTGACATGGGTCCGGAAATGGAAGAAGACGGATACCACGCCTGACACTCTAAAGTATTGCTCGTACAACCTCCACTCTGAGGCGATCCGAGTTGGGTCGATGCTTCAATTTCCCTGGATTCGGGTTTTGGGGGACCCCAAGGACGGAGAATTTATTGATGTCTACATCGAACAACTGGGCTCACGCCCAAAAATCGATTCGTCTCTGATTATAACACCCAGCGACCGTCTCGTCCGCGCTGCCGCTGCCGTGGCGGGCATTCCGGTATCTCTGGACGATGAACTGCCGGATTGGTCGGTCGAAGCGTCCGACAGGGCCCTAGGAGAATTTCTCACGGCGCAGCACATGTCACAAGTAGGCCTGAAGCTCGGATCCAGCTGGAGGAGCGGGTCGCGGTCTCAAGCTCCCTTCTCGGTCCTCCTATAGCCCGGTCATACACGTCGTCCTTGAGCTCTGCATTCAGGTCGTTCAAGGGACTTTCCAACAGGCCCCAAAGCAGCGTTCCGCTTTCTCATGTCTCTGGAATTACAACTTCTACAGGCCGATGGTCTGAGCGTAGGAGCTGGAGTTCTGGCTCGGTCACCGGCTTCTTTTCAAATAATTCATTACGCGAGAGCAGCATACCTGATGTATCCATGGATGATGTAGAAGAAGAAAACTGGGAAGACATTATGGATTTAGTCAGACGACCGCCTTGACAGTGTCATGCTATGCGACCTACAGAGTCTAGCTTGTCCAGGGCCTACGACTCACACTTGGTTGGCAGTACAGCCTGTCGATGGTACACGGAGATGCGATGGAGGCGCCAACTTTGATCGTGGACGCACGGCTCTTGGGAAGATATCGGCTGACACTGAGTTCTCCTCGACGCTGACGACGGGGGAACGAAACGGCGAGAACCGAAGCTAGAAAGTTCGTTCGGCGTTGGAATTCGAGGCAAAGGATGCATGGCGGAGGGTAACTGGTTGTGGACTGGACTGGCCGAGCTGGACGTCGAATGCCGCCTCGCAATCAGAACGCCCAGCTCAGTTCGGTTGGATCTCAATCCAACCAGAGGTCGTTTTCGCAGATTCTCGCTACTGCTTTTGGAGTATATTCCAGGAAGGAGCCAAGCGAAGAGTCGAAGACTACAATACCGTTTCATTACATATTCTACCATACCACGATCTACAAGCCAATTCACAAGTACAATACCCTTTAGGAGCATGCCAGTTGGTATGAGACACGGTGCAGGAGTACTTGCTCTTCGTGCCGCTTTTAGAGCGACTGTAAGGCTACAGTCTGCTCGGTGGCTTCGCTCTCGCCATACATGATGCAAGAAGTACTCCTCACAAGAAAGGCAAATAGTCACAAATTATGTGGCAATCCCATCTCGAGACTAACCTTGGCTATAGCCTATCTTGCGTGAACCGAACACCTGGACGATACCAGGAAGACTGGCCGAGCAGAAGAATATCCAGCAAAATCAATGTCTATTGCACAAGGACACCCTACCGCGGGACAATAGAAAACTGTTGTCATCCCAGCAAGGAAAACTAAATCCAAATCCAGTAGAAAAGGGACGACCACCAAATAACACCTCAAGAACCGAGGTCCCGCAATACCGCACCACGAAATTGCACCCCAAACAGTATGACAAGTCCATGATGCACTTGTGTACATGTAGCCGAAAAAAGAACAAAGAGAAAAGAGTGAAGTAGCAAAAAAGGAAAAACAAATTCCACGACCGGGAGTTGAACCCGGGGCTGCTGGGTGATGTTGCGCACTCAGGACTTCCTAATGAAAGCCAGCTATGTTACCGTTACACCATCGTGGAGGGGTGATTGATGGGTGTTTTTTCGGGTAAAAGATCTATATCCCATCAAAAGCTGTGTGTCACGCTCGGTGCCCCGCTTGGCCAGGCTTGTGCCGAGAGTGGCTGCTCAGCATTCAACCACCGCCTACTGTACGTATTGGTCGCTGCATCGGTCGGGCTTCCATGCATGCGAAGTACACAATCGTAATCGCACTGCGAGATACAGTATCTACACAAGATATCTGTGTTTATACCTACGATGCGTCGGCGCTGGCCGGCTGCGGGGCCATGCGATATCCTGTTGGGCTGCGGTTGAGCAGTACGGCACTTACTCCTATTTGTGAACTCATGTGTACGTGCCATCTTTGCCTGTCGTTCTTTGCCTGTCGTTCACTGCCTGCAGGCCACGGAAGTGGTGGGTTTGGACTGTTTGGACTCGAAAGACCACTATACAGTATGACGCTGGGGAGCCGCGGAACAATGTACTTCGCAATCCTCTATGATTATATGACAGCGCGAAGTTTTAAATGATATGTCAAGTTCGGCAGCTTCTCTCGCTGAGTTGGCTGTATTCATGACCTTCATGACGAGAGCAACCTACACTGAGGAATTGCGAAAAACACCGTGCGATCGTGCTATATCATCCCGTTCCCGTCTAGGTCATGTATAGCATACTGTGATTGCTGAGAATACCAGCTGATAGTTCGTACAGTCTAGCGAATCTGTCAACGCTCCGCTCAAGCTCGTTACACCTTATGGTCGTTCATTCTACGTCGAAGAGGCCGCAGTTCGGGTGTAACGCGTACGTTAACCTCTGGTTCGCGCCGGCGTCGTCGTCATCGCCTTCAACAAGACCTTCTCCTCGAATCGCAATGATCACATTATCCTGGAAAAGCAGCATTAGTATCTGGTGTTGAATATGGCTGAGTGGCCAAAAAGTGAATAGAAAAAAATGAACGGACGTACCTTGACCATCTTCTTCAACACCTTCCGCGCCAATGCCCTCTCGCGCTCGACATCGTCTTCACTGCCCAGCTGCTCTTCAATCTGCTCGAGGTACCACAACAAAAGAGCATCTCGCTCGGGTCCCTCGCCAGTGCGGTCTTCTTCGTCGCGTATACGAGTGGCCAGCATGGTCCGGATGGTGTGAAACTTCTCGAATGTGATCTTGGTAGTGGGTCTTGGTGCTGGAGTAGCGGAGGCACGAGCATCAGGGGGAGCCGCTCCATCTTGCTCCTCGTTGTCACCATCCGCATTTGCCATAGGACTGTTTCCTTCCGCGCCGTCCTGCACGGCCTGGGCTTGGTTCTCGACTTCGTCATCTTCAACTTCCACGTCATCCTGTTCGACGCTGATGATCGACTGCTTCAGCAGATCGAATGCCTCGTTGACCATGAAATCGGTGATTTCCTCCACGCAGTTTGCCTTGGCGATCGCTTCACTCAATCTGATCAGAGACTCGAGCTGCCGGACTGTAATGCGGTATGAATTCTTGCCCACTACACCTCCTGTGTCGTTCGCCCTGAGCTCTTTATATCTGTCAACTAGCAATCTCTTTGCTTCTGGGGTGAACTTGGGTTTAAAGGTGCGCGCGAACTTGATGTACCGCTGTAGTTGCTCCGTGCTGAACTCGGGTTGCACGAAATCGTCTTTGAGCATGTGCAGGTTGACAATATGGTCTGCCAAATGGCGGTCCGTGGCTTCGTTACATTCGTCCAGGATTATGAAGAAGAGGTCAAAGCGGGACATGATGGGCGCGGACATGTTGATGTTTGCTCTAAGAGTTGTCTTTCTATTGTATCGGCCGCCAATAGGGTTTGCGGCTGCGAGAATGGATGTACGTGCGTTCAGGGTGGCGTGAATGCCGGCCTTCGCGATCGAGATGGTCTGCTGTTCCATGGCTTCATGGATGGCGACTTGGTCAGATATGTCCATCTTGTCGAATTCATCGATGCAGCAGGTGCCGCTGTCGGAGAGCATAAGTGCGCCGGCTTCGATGGTGTGTTCGCCAGTTTCTTCGTCTTTCACAACCGCAGCTGTGAGACCTGCTGCGCTGGATGCTTTGCCCGAGGTGTACACGGCTCGGGGGAGGAATGAGGCAATGTATTTCAAAAACTGCGATTTAGAGGTTGACGGGTCGCCAACTATGCAGATGTTGATGTCTCCTCTCAGGGCCATGCCCTCCGGAGTCATTTTTGAGACACCACCTAGGAGCTGGAGGAGAAGACCCTTCTTCACAATCTCATGGCCGTACACAGTAGGTGCGAGACTATTGACCAGCCGGCTGTAGATTTTGTCAGAGTGAACCATGTTCCTCAGTTCGTCAATTTCAGCTTGCGTTAGGGTCTCGAGATATGCTTCTTGAGCCTTGATTCCGTCGTCGTATTTCTCGAAAAGGTCTGTCTGTTGGAGCGAGTTGAGAATGTTCATGGATTGGCCGTTCAGCTGACTAGCTGACTGTCCCGGTGTGGTGGTATCAGGGCAAGAGAAGCAGGCCAGGAATGCCATACGATATGTCAAATCTCGAACACCCAAGGCTTTTAACCCTGAGACTCCTGCGCCGCCCGCGTCTGCTCCTCGGAAATTTCGATTATCTTTTGACGCCTCGGGCTTGACACCGGGGATACCTAGCTGAGAAACATCGGGTACCACTATCATCGTGCCTGTGAAGATGCACTTCTCACCGGGCTTCGTTCGTTCGACTTGTTCTCCTCGAAGAATGACATCAATCGTGCGTGGCATGCTTCCAGTTGGGATTTCTGAGCTGTTCTCTTGGATTCGACATTTCTGCCAGTCCACGAAAGTGCTGTTGCGGATGTCCAACCGCCATGCCACCTTGTTACCGCAGGTGAGATTAGGACACACTGTCGGCTCGGTGTACTTGAATGTCTGTTCAACATTGGGGACGGTGGTGTTGCATGCTTCGCAGATGAATGTTCCGAGAGCCAGCTCGGGACGAACTTCTGAGGTTCGCGTGACTGTGCCTGAGACGGAGAGCAGTTTGCCGATTTGATCGGTCCGTAATTGTCGCACTCTTGATACAAGCGGAAGATTGTAAAAAGCCAAGGTGAACAATTTGTCAGTCTGTTGGTTGAGGGTCTTTTCTCCCTGGCTGCTGCCCTCACTTGTCGCGTTTCCTGCCAATGAGGTGCCTGCCTGTGAGGCATTGCTCGTGATCTGACGGTGATCTTTGAAATAGACAGGCTCGTATTTGGAGAGCAAATTGTGTAGACTTTGGATCAAGAATGGTAGGAATCGATAGTACTGGTTCGCGATCGCGTCGGCGAGGATGGGGCCTTCCTTGTAGGATAGAAGATGCCGAAAGTCGACGTAGAGGGTCGAGAGCTGGAATTCTCGCAGACCGTGGATTTGATTGATGTAGTATTTATCTGTTCTCAGCTCGCTGGAAGGAGGCGCTGCTGAAGACGATGGCTCTTCAGTATGCGATTCAAGGAAATCTTCAAACGCTTGTTGCACCTTCTCTCCTGCCTTGTCCGTGACTTGCGGGACATTGCGATCCAGGGGGTTTCGACGCCTATTGCGCGCAGCGCCCACGACCTCATCATCTGGGAACACGTCGGCTTCTGAAGGGATGCCATTGCTCTCGGAAGGTAGAGGACGCGCTCGGGAGGAGGAAGAGATGCCGTTTTGAGCCCGTCGTGGGGATGATGGTGTTGCGCCGAAGGCGTCTGAGTTCAGTATCGAGTCTACCAGAGTCGCCATTTTGATGTTGGGAGATCTTGTCAATGCAAATGTGTCTGTTCAACTGCGAGATTGAAATCCCCTTGAAAGCTGAAGGGGCTTAAACGCGTCGAGGGCGCGACGCGTCGCAGAGTGCTGTGTACTCCGTCGAAATAAAGTGCGACTACGGAGGGGCAACTTGCCCTCAAGCCACGCAGCGAGGCAGCTACGACGAGTCAGCACAGCTTCAGAGCTCGCTCACTTTTCTCTATTGCTGCGGCAAGAGTGACAATAGTACAAGGCTCTTACCATGCGGAGTTCCAGGAGATCATCTCCCCTTGGGCTTTGCTGCTTTCTGGCCCTCTGACCAGGGAGCAAGTCGAATATTATTCACTGCATATCGCACTCTCGAGACATGCTGTATGGCTTCAAGCCTCAAGTCTCCCCCTGGGTTTGTGTGTTTCGCAATACTCTATATGAACACGAGCGGCTAGCTATGACATGGACCTCTTTTGGCCAGTGCGAAGAACCAAAAAAGCGGTCCCGTCGTTATGTGCCTGATACTGACTGCAGCGGCTCCGAGGTGATTCAAGAGTCGACCCCCAGCATGAAGAACTCAATGTTCCCCTGACCCCGAGGTACGTTTGGAGGCTACCGAGACTACATACAGGTAACCTTTTCTGCAACATACTACTCTACAATTATAGATCGCCAGCACCTACTATGTGATTCGCCTGATCCGTCTTTTCACGGTTGGGTCTGAGAAGCTACCCAAAGGCGACGGGTTACGGCCTTGGCGCCGCCTTTACGTAGGCAAATACTGCGTTGATCAGTGTGTCAAAAGCTATCTTGAATGCTCAGCCTCGTTCTCACGGCATACAGCCCGTGATCGCAAAACGCTAGGTGACAGTATTCTGCCTTGCAATTATGCAGTACTAGAGGGCCTATAGGACGCGGTCGCACCTTCCAGACAGCGAGACATGGACCCGCTATACATGTTCACATTTGAACCTTTAGTGACCCGCTCACAATGCAGCAGGAAATGGCTTCTCTCAATTACCTGATGGGAAGTTCGCATTTCGTCAACAGTCACCTTATGCAGCCATCATCTACTGTCCGAGTTACCACGTCCTCTGCTCATGTTATTGCCCATCTCCATTAGCCGCCGAGCTCGAGGCCTGATCGCCCTCCTTTTCCTCCTTGTCCTCTCTGGAATCACATTGCTTTGTGAGTGACAAGTCACCTCTGAATCTCCCCGCGCTCACTACTGGATCAATCAGTGCTGGACACCTTGGGATGGCTGCACAGAGCCAGCGTTTCGTGGAGTCAGATACCTGCCCGGCGACCACATAGCATTTCAGAGGGAGCATATCACGAACCAAAGGAGCAAAGTGACAGCCATGTGAAGAGACACGAGAGGGCACTTGCGGACGCATATCCCGCCCTCCTCTGGCTAGTTCTTACCTACGACGAGACATCATGGGGCCTTGCGCCGGGGCTGATTTTGAAAAGACAACGTTCCCTCGAGGACTTCCTGGAGCTGCTCACAGCCACGAAACTGGACCTACAAAACATCTCGCTCGGGCTCATGACCGACTCCGAGGACGAGTACAACCATTTTATACGAGCCACGAAAGACATCCCCCTCGCTCGACTCACGATCTTAATGCATCCGGGCTTCAACACCACCACGGCCCTTGATCGAAAGCACCGGCATGATCGCGATGCTCAAACAGCACGGCGCACCGAGCTGGCTCAACTGCGAAACTATCTCATGCTAAGTACCCTGCGTGACGAGCGGCACGTTGTCTGGCTCGACGCCGACGTTTAATACCTGGACGAGGGTATCATCCAGCGAATGATTTCTCACGCCGAGTCTCGTGAAGACGCTGGCATCATCACAGCCCGGTGCAAGGCGCCATGGGGTCCGAACTACGACCTCAACGCCTGGGCGGGGCCCCACAAACATGCACACAAGGTGCCGGAACTGGTCAAAGACACCAGTGACGATGATCTCATCCCTTTAACCTCGGTAGGCGCCACGCTGCTGTACATACGTGCATCGCTTGTGCGAAAGGGTGTGAATTTCCCGCCGTACTACGTGATCAATACCAAATGGGCCGAAACTGGGAATGACGGTATAGAATCGGAAGGCATGTGCTACCAGGCCAGGGGCTTGAAGGGTGGTGGGTGCTTTGTACTCGGAGGATCATGGCACACCAAACATGGAGACTGAGACTTTGGAGTCTTGTGGTCGAGAGGCTGGGTGCCGAGATTTGACTTCCTTTGCTGTTGCAAGATTCACGAATTGCTGTACTGTATGATGACTACATTCTGTACATGATGTATGATTCTATACCTCGCTGAAACCGACGATGCACAAGCAAATCCATGATATTTCTCTCCTACAAAACAGGCCGCTCACCTAGCCAGGGTCAGAAGTACTTGGCCACCCAACCCGGTTTGTGTGTGTTTTGAAGTCCTTTTTTCTGATTTACTGCGTACACTAACATTATAGGTAGTATTGTAAACTTGAGATAGGTGAGTAGGGCCAGAGTTCAGCGCCTATACTAGCTAGAAAAACAACATAATGATCTAGCTCAGGTACTATAATATACGAACAAGAGAGGTGTGAAGCGATGATTTCTATCTGTGAGAGAGGTATTTGTTAGGGAGCTACGTAGTTGACTTTCCTGGCTGAGGTGGCCGGGTAGTCTCTACACACCCTGGGTGCGGATACTGCTCCTCTAGCATATTTAATGAGCAACAGCCTCTGACATCTCAATAAACACCCTCCTGCTATGTAGCATCATCCTCCCCCTCCTCTTACCCAACATCCCCCTCCTCCCACTTGACAGGATGAAGCAACACGCTCCTCAAGCACATCCGGCCAGCACTCCTCTTGCCATCGCGTTCCCACTCCCCACCACCCTGTTCGCCATCCCGGTACCCCAACCACGTCCTCCATAAGCGTGATGCGAAGCCAGCATCATAGTAATACGTCCCACCCCGAAAATTATGCTGCAACGCCTCGGAAAACACACTGTCGCTATACCCGCCGCTCTCCCCCGTGACAGGGTGCCCATTAAACACCTCCTCAACATACTGGGAGCCAGAGTCATTCCACGCTCGATCAAAGTACATAGGGTGTGGCGCAAAGGCGGCCTTCAACCCGTAATGCAGCGCGATGCTGGCCGGGAACATCTCCCCCGCCATGCTGTGCCGCGCAAGGGACGTCTCGCGGTGCATGAGTGACAACAGGCGGCGCGAGAAGCGGCTGGCCGTGACGATGCTGGTGCGGCGGGGCGGGATCGGGAGCGCCGTGTCGTAGCCTGAGACATCGGCGCGGAAGATCCAGAATGTGCGTGCGGGTTGGAATTGTGGGAGGAAGGTGATGTAGTCGGCCGGTTCGTCCGCGCGGAAGCTTGCGTCGTAGACAGAACCAGAAGGCATTGAAGGAGGGGAGGCCGTGAGAAGGCCAAATCTCGCGCGGTAGTCCTCGCCGAAGACGGCAGTGCGCTCGTCTTCCTCCCAGCCCGGGAATGTTTGGGGGCCGGAGATGAGACCGTTATTGTCCATTTGGCTATGGTCATCTCTCCCGCCGTCGCCGCTGGTATGATTCTGCGCCCTCATCGCCGTGTCGTTGGCAAAGGACTCCCACCCGCCATGCGCAGAGGGGATGTAGAACCGGCCTGCCCGCTCCCACAGGCCCTCGCGTGGCTGGGCGTGCGACCACCGATCGACTCTGTCAAAAAGCTCGTACCAATGCCCGATATACCTAATATCCATCTCCCAGTTCCAGAACAAGTCGTACTCCGGGTGGTGGGCCGCGAACCACTGCAACGCCATGTGCATGCTTCGGCCAACGCTGTGGATCGGGCCCGGGCGGTCGAATTGCGGCTCGAAGGGGCCTGGGTAGAGCAGGCAGAGGAGGTCCTCGGACCATAGAGTCGCCATGGAGCGGTACTCGCACGGGACTACGCGGTCGAGCACGGCGTCGTAGACATCGGGAGATGCCCAGATGGGGCTGCCGTCTTTGATCTGGATGAGAAGGTGGATGTCGTAGGCCGCGCCGGCGTTGAGGTTGAGTTCCGTGACGAGCGACCGGATGTATAGGTGGGAGTAGTCTGTCCAGGTGTATTGGTCCCATAGGCGGAGGACGATGGCCGTCCGAGCGATGCCGCGGTGATTACGGCCTTGAGAAGCGTCTGGTGATGATGACGATGCAGGCTCCGGCGACGGGGCAGGCCATGTCCCTGTCTGGCGGAAATGGAAGACATCATCCAGGAGTGGCGGTGGGGTTGACGGTGAGAAGCGATGCTGATTCCTCTCTCCGCATAGGCGCTGTGCGCGGCCGAGGTCGACGCCACGCCAATCAACGCGCGAATCGTTGTTCAGGGTCATGTCCGTGCCGTCCATGTCGCCGTGGATGCCGAGGCCGGTGCCTCCCTCGTTGGCGGGATAGCCAAGCCCGTACGCCGCGTACCTTCCATACCTGTCAAAACAGACATCCTTATTGAGGCCAAGCACGTCGTGAGAGCCCAGCATGGGTTCCGGTGCTCCTTCAGGCACGCCATTGTAGGCCCAGACGACTGGTGGGATGATTGTGTTCTCTTCATCAAGAAAACACCGTTCTGCAGCTGGAGGGGCCTGTGAACCAGGTGGCGACGTGTAGGGATCGTACACGACAGGGTCGGGGTACTGCTTTCCCATGCGACCTTTGCCTGAAGAGGAGACACGCTGTGCATCCTGTTGTCCCTGCTTGGCGGGAACCAGCTTTCGCAGTCCCTCGAAATATCCCTTCTCAAGCGGAAAGTGCTGCCACGCGAACTTTGGCCGTGGCAAGGGAGTCGGTGCTCTCTTCAAGGAGAATACGGATATGGAGCACGCAACAGCAACAGCCACGGCTATCAGCGTCGCAAGCACGGCGATGGCACGATGCTTGACGCTCCATTTAGACGGATGGCGCAAACGGAGTCTGATTACCTGATGCGACTGTGAAGAATTGTTCGCGAGGTCTTCTTGCTGGTGTAGGAGCTTGTACCGATGGAAGGGCGCAGGCGTGAACCGGCCCACGACGCTCGCGACGTGTTGTCTCAAGCTGACCATATCTGTCTCGTGGCTCCGGGGCAGGCTGTTGAGCTCTATCAGGTCGGTACTTAGACGCAGTACAGTCGAGCTTTAGTGGAGGCCATGTTTTGTCCTTGTTTACCGCCACTTTTGATAAACGATCGGACTTCGCATGCGTATTGCCAGTCCGCCTAGCTTTCCATTCATCTCATGTTGCACACAAACTCTCACCTCGGGGTCACAGATTTGGTGCCATGGTCGGAAGTAAGAGGGTCGTGCCTCTACGAAATCCCATCGTTAGCGACGGACGGGGTTCGATAAAGGAAACACTGGACCACGCAAACGCTCTAGCCAACCCTCGTACCAAGTAGAGCGCGGGCAACTACGTCCATTGTACGAGAGGCAGTTAAGATTCGAGGGAGCGGCATCGGCAGTGCCACGTCGAGGCTCGAACCAATCATGTCGATTCGTACGCAGGCCATTTAGGCGGATTGGCGGAGTCGAGATCCGGGCAACGGAGCTGTTGCAGAGTAACGCGGCATGGGGAGTCAAGGCTCTGGTATTCTTTGTACACAGCACAGGGTCAGGTTCCGATATACGCTCTGGATTATGTACACAGTCAGTAGTACATACTGTGGAAACTCGGCCTTGGTAAGACGACAAGGATTATCAAGCTCACTGGGGCCAACCGTGGACCATCACGAGGCTGGCGACACCACGACGAGGCTGACTGCTAGAGCTGGAAAGGGACTTCGACCGGCTCTTCAGTGTACACAATGCCTTGTCACTGCCGGTCCGGACAGCTACACAGTATGTACAGTACAGTGCCATGCAAGAACACGCATCCGCCCGGAGTCTTCGTCACATGCGATCCACGACGCCCAGCACCTTGACCCGACCCTTGCGCAGAAGTAACCACAACGCCACCCTGGCACAAGCCAATATCATCTTCCCATGTCGACGTTGGCTTCACATTACATCCCAACCACTGCATACTGCACTAGGCAAAATGCTGGGTAAAGAACGGCATCACCTTCTCTAGACACCTCTTGACCTCCACAGCTTCCCGTTCCATCCTGGTTCTCTGCTCTCGTAACCTCTCCATTTCAGCGAGCGCCTCTCTCTTCTTCGTGGTAAGATCTTCGAATCCGCCAGCCAGCTTCTCATTCTCTCTCCTCAGCTCGAGCTTCTCCCGCTCGTGTTGCTCAACATCTGCCATCAGAGCCGAAAGCTCGCCCTCTTTCCGACGGAGATTTTCTTGGTGTTTGGACGTAGCAAGCGCCGTGGCCGTGACTTGCTTCCTAAGCTCGTCATTCTGGCCCTGCAATTCCCGGAGCAATTTCTTGGACTGATCAAGCTCATCGGCCGTACGCGCGAGTTTGGCCTCGGCGTCTTTGTCAATCTTGGAGAGTGTGCTTTCCAGATCCTGCAACTTGCGTTCCTTCTGGTTAAGTTCGTTCTTCAGGGCGCGGATTTGGACGTCAAAGTCTTCGGCTTGTCGTCTGCTCTCCTCCGTGCGCAGAGTCTCGGCGCGATGGAGCTTCTTCTCCAGGTCTCCAGTGGCACGATCCCGCTGTGCGAGCTGGCTCTTCACAGAGCGCAGTTCCTGCTCGAGACCTTCTGAGGCACGGTCGCGCTGTGCCAGCTGACTCTTCAGAGAACGGAGCTCTTGCTCGAGACTCGACGCACGGCTTTCCTTATCTTTCTCGGCCTGCTGCAAGTTTGCCTCCAACTCCGATATCTTCCGGTCCTTCACGCTCAAGTTGCTCTTCAATGACCGGAGCTCCTGGCTGATGGTTTGCAATCGATCATCGTTCTGCGTGTGCGTCTTTTCCACATGCACGAGCTCGTCTTCAAGCTTTTCAATCTGGCGTTGCAGATCTTTCTTCTCTGCCTCCAGTCTCGTTATGATCTGGCCGGCTTGGAGGACTTGCTCTCGACGAGTGGTCAGCTCCTCGTCGATTTTCTTTTTGGAATCAAGGGCTTCGTCGAGTTGGTCTTCGAGCGCTTCCTGTTCGGTCAGGGCTTCAGCTAGCTTCTCGGAGAGCTCACTCTCTCGATATTGAAGCCTCTTGAAGATCTCTTCTTTGTCCAATGCCAATGCCCGCTCTGAATCGAGTGTTTGCTGGATGCGGTGCGCTTCTATTTCGGCACGCCTCCGTTCGTCTTCAACTCGTTGTCTCTCGGCCGCCTCCTGTTTCATCCTAATCTGCAGCTGCTCAATCTTTTCGTCTCGCCTCTTGACTTCACTTGCAGTACGAGTGGCTCCAAGCAGGGGTTTCATGCGGACAAACAACCGCCACCACGGGTTGTCTTGGAGATCGAGGTAGACGTTGAGGTTTCGTTGGATTACTCTCGTGGCTTCGGCACGGTAAAGCTGCTTGAAGGCCATGCGTCGTTGCATGAAGCCTCGAGCAATCGACTGGAACCTCGACATGATCTCCCGGATCAAGGCGTCTCGTTGCTCTTCCAAGTCGGCCAAGACTCCCGCCCGGAAGAACACCTTCGTCAGACCAACTCGATAGTTGGATTGCTCCATCTGCAATCGATTAAGCATAATCTTCGCCGCTTCTTGACCTCCCAAGTATCCCTTCGGCATGTCTTTGCAAAGGACCTCGTACCGCGATCGGAATTCGGCAAACGTCAATCTGTTCGGGAAGCCTGTACGCGCAATGCGGATGCCCTCAAGCACACCGTTACATCGCAATTGATCCAGGACCAAGGGCGCCACAAATTGCTTCGGTTTCTTCTTGTGATTGGGCAGGATACACCGGACGAAGTGAGGCTGTGTTGAATGCAGCTGCCTCATCAGAATGCTCAGTTGCTCCTTGTGCCTCTGCGCAACGGTCCGAAACAAGCCCTTTTTGACTCGGCTTCTTGGACTGTAAGGCTCATCGACCTCGTCCACACAGTCGCTGAAGAGGTTGGCAATGTGCTCATCTTTCGACGCGGCAAGCAGGCGGGTTAGGTTGTCGTTGAGCGGATCTTTGTTCTTTTCCAGCCAGCCTTCCGTCGAGTATTCTACTTCGGCCGCATAGTGCGTCAGGATGAAGCCTTGCCGAGTACGCGCCGGCGCATACTTCGTAGTCTTGTTCTCCCACAAAGAGTTGAGTTTTTCGGTGAACGACTTATCGGTAGCTTTTGGCATCACCGAGTCTTCATCAAGGCAGGAGAAAATGCCGATAGGATTGGGTAGCTCGATGAGATCGATCGTAGGCTGGAGGTCTTTGCCGAAGTCAATGAACTGCCACTCGATCTGCTCACGCGCGTATTCTTCTTGTTCCAGGACGAACATGTAGTGGTTGAAGAACTGTTGCAGCTTTTCGTTTGTGTAGTTGATGCAGAGCTGTTCGAAGCTGTTGGTCTCAAAGATCTCAAACCCGGCAAGATCCAGCACTCCGATAAAGTGGCTATCATCGCTGCTAACACCACCTCGGTCAAGCTGGTTGTTGATTTTCGACACCAGGTCTCCGAACCCTCGCTCGTAAATGCCTTTGGACAGCGCATCAAGTGCAAGACGCACTTGCTCCGGTGTTTGCACTTTCTCAACCCATTCTCGGCCGGCTTTCACTCTTGGGTGCAGGAGACCTTTGACGAATGGCTCAGATTGCACACCCAATAACCGACAGGCCTTATCTACAGATGCTCGCGCTTCGGTAGTCAGTGAAGCTTGGTCTGTAGCTCTGCTCTCCTGTCGGACGCCAACATTGCCCAGGTGTAAGATCGCGGCGACGGTTCGGAAAATGGCCATTTGCTCCTTCTCGGAGAAGTTCATGATGTGGAATGCCTCAATCAGGGTATTCCACTCGTCTCGATCAGAAATCCCACCAATGGTATCATTACCGGCTCGAGTATAAGCAAAGTCCTCGACATCCATGCCGGATAGGAGCAGCGCATCTCTCATCCGTTGGTCTGCTCCGGCCAGCAGCTGGTAGAAGACGTGGTAACTTCGTTCTTGCTGGCTGACTTTAACCACTCTTGACTTTTCGAGCAGATACCAGTCGATAAAGGCGCCAGCAATTTGACCAGAGCGAGTGAATTGGATACGAATGAACTTTCCGAATCTAGACGAATTGTTGTTGCGGACTGTCTGAGCGTTACCGAAGGACTCCAGAATGGGATTGGCTCGAAGGATTTGTTGGGAGAGATTTGAGAGCTGTTTGGCTGGTGTTCTGCCTGTTATGGGCGTGTCCAAATCCGACGTCGCGACCGCAGCCAGGTACTGAATGACCTTTTTCGTATTCTCGGTTTTGCCTGCGCCTGACTCACCCGTCACTAAGATACTTTGGTTCTCTCCTTCCTCGACTAAGCGGCGGAAGGCAGCGTCAGAAACGGCAAAGATATGGGGTCGAGTGTCTTCCCTCGCTTGTCCTTTGTACATGCGAATATAATCGTTGCCGTAGATGGGCAGAGGGCAGTACGGATTGATCGCGACCAAGAATAGACCGGAGTATGTGTAGATCAGATCAGCCTGATATCGGGTGTAGAGGTTGTGGATGACTGAGCCTTCGTTCAGATGAGTGAGTTCAGCCATGTCGTCGGCTTTGTCGAACTTCGCCGGGTTGACCTTATCCACCTCATCGACATCGGCCTCTATGGTTGAGCCATTGTCGAACTGTACAGCAACCTTGTTTCCCGGTAGGTCTTCCGTTATCCATCCGCGAATGAATGCCTTTTCTGGATCTCTAACCCAGACATAACGCTTGCCAGAAAAGTCATTCTCCCCTTCGATGGCTGAGATTCTGTCCTCACTCTTGCGCATCTCTTCTGACTTGATGAACTTGGGTGCAAATGTACTGGATGAACTCGCCTGTCGCTGAAGCGAGTTGTTCCGCATATGGGAGGGGACAGAGCTGAAGGACGCCGTAGGCGAATACGACTGTTGTCGTTCATGTCTGGAGGCTGCCGTGGGGGTCGGTGTCGGGGACGCAAACAGTAACGACTTGTTGTAGCTGGAGGAAGACATTGGCGTCTGGACCGACAAATCTGAATGAACTGATCTGGTGAAAGGCCGCTGACTATGGCCGCTGAAGGGGGATGTGTCGGGACTGCGATCGTGAAGCAGCATGTTGCCGCTGGAGAGAGAGAGTTCGCTATCTCCCACAACCGGTTGTGCGCTATTGCTGTCAATACATTAGTACATGTTTGTTCAGTGGGTTTGACAGTTTCGTCCAGCCAGTGGGTAATGGTGGGTGTTGTTGTTTGGGGCTCGATTGGGCATGGCGCACCTGTACAGGGCAACCAACGCGCCACCTACTCGTACACATGAGGACCGAAGACGTAGAAGTGCTCGTCCGTAGGCACAATCGCCGCTACGGTGGGCGTCAGGAAGCAGACGATCAGTTCTGTCGTATAGCTCAGCAGTCCACCGTAGACCGGGTGCCAAGTGAAAGTCAATGTCTGTCTGTAGTGCAGAACGACACCACTCAGTCTGCGACCAACTCTCATATATCTGAAGCAGATGAGTGTTTCGACCACCACGAACTGGAAGGTAAACTCCCATCCTTCCGGAAGGAACTGTGCGATCAGACCGATTCCAGGACGGCTTCGGAGCCAGAAGGCGAAGTTGTCCGGCATCGTGACACTCACAGCTGCGTGTTTGAGGTGTCGAATGCGCGGACTGTCACAGTGATGATGATGAGCGGTTTTTTGGAGTCAGTGAGAGCGTGTTTTTGTGGGATCCCCGTTCGGCGTCGATGACATCGTCCCGGCGTCGTCTCTCTTGACTGTTTTCTACCGACTCGTGTTCTGCTGAAATGGCGCATCCTTACTCTTCCACCGCGATGTATGCGGGCATACCCTCATACGCGCCTCAGCAGCAGTCCTACTATCCCTCATATCCATCTAATGGCCTACAGCAACAGACCCAGATGCCTCCAGGCCTTCTGCAGCAGCCTGCGCAGGGGCAGGGGCAGGGTCAACCAACGACATTTCCTGCCTACCAGCAGCAGCAGCAGCAACAGCAACCGTCGCCCTCGACCAATGGTCCGAGATTCGAGCAGAACTCGCAGCTGCCCCTTCCTACGCCGCCCTTTCCTCCTTTCCCTCCTCCTCCCATCAACTTCAATACCGACTTCTTCAAACAATTTGCGAGCGGGAGCTTTCTGCCTCCACCTCCTCCCAATCTCCCTCCAGTGCCTCTTCCCAGCCCCGGATATTCCCAGCTGACTGCCGCGGTGAATACGTCCACCTCATCACCATATTCACAGTTTTCTGCAGCTGGAGTACAAGGTTTTGGTTCAGGTTTTGTTCAAAATGAACAGACGCGGCAGCAGCACGGCGACCCATACATAGGTTCACAACAAGGCGCCCATGCTGGGACGGAATGGCCAAGAGATAGCCACACATACAACGCACCTATGGCAGCACAGAGCGCAAGTGCAAGCAATCCGCGCCCCATTTCTAGGGGTGTGATAAGCCTTGTCAAGGAGAAAGGTGGGTGCACTAAGCCTGTGATGTTCCTCATCTAACCACTCTACAGATCAGTCGCTTCCCTCGTTTGGCTCGAGATCTGACCTTGACATGCTTTTCGCGACTGCCCAGAATCTGATGGGACCAGAGACGCCTGCGCACGAAACGGCTGTGCCTCACGATATGGATAGAGACGACCTTGGCGAGCATGATCCAGCAATGGATGGTGGTGCTTCCCGTAAGTAACTCTCAATTTCTGTCTGCAACTTGAACTGATCTTATTTAGCCTATGATCCGACACGCCCAGCGACCATCCAAGACCGATCGTCCGGCAGCTTCGGGCCCGCCAGCAACGCCGTTAAAGCTAACGGCCTGAAGAAGGTGGAGAGAGTCTACGACAACAAGTCACACATTGAGTTGAGACAACTCGCTAAGGGTGCAGTTCTATCTCTCGTACCTCACAAAATCCTTTACGCAGATCTGGTCAAGGAAGGCGTGAATCCGCTGATTTTGCGGGAGTTGTATGGAGAGCTTGGCCTCAAGATTGAACCGGAGCAATACAGAGAAGATATTTCCATGTCTGGCACGAACGAAACACCGCCAGCTCACTCGCCAAAGGTCGATATGTATGAATACGCCGTCACACAAACTGGTGCTCAAACTGTCATCCCAGCAGCTTCTGCTGCTACTGCTGCGTCGGCAGTGGCCGCTGAGCCTCCGCCACTGACGGCGAGCCTGGATGCGAGAAAGCAACAGCCAGCACCAAATGCCAGCCTGGAGCGCAAAGATAGGATTGCCCAGCTCCTTGCTGCGAAGGCGGGTCGGTCTACTCCTCCCCAGGTCGTTCAACCCGCCGTTTCACGAGAAGAGCCTTCCCTGTCACTTCCTGCCACGGCCCCCACAAACTCGACGGAAGTTGCTGCAACCTCTGCTACCTCCCAAGTTGCTCCTGTCACCCAGCCAGAAACTCCTGCCACTCTGTCCGTTACTGGTGTCAACAAATCGAAGGGGCCAGTTGGGCTGGTGAAGCAGAAGATGGAACAGCTGAAGCGTGAGGCACAGGCCCGGAGCGAAGCTAATGTAACACAACCTTCTTCGGCACAAGCGGCCACTCCTGACCGTAACGATTCGGTGGACGTGACCGAGTCGAGTCTTCACCTCGGAACCTTTACGCCTCTGTCGGCAAGCAAAGTGTCATCCTTCAATCAGCCCTCAATAACCTCTCTGATACCAGGGTTGTTTATGAGTTCCAGCGAGGCGCCCCGGGTCGCTGAATCAGTCAGTGTATCTTTATCGTTCCAGTCGACGTCATCCCTGATCCCAGCGAAGCGCTCCTCGGACCTAAACACCGCTCCATCAGCCTTCCAGCCACCAAACAAGAGACCGAATACGCGACAGGACCTGCCAGATACGTCTGCTATTCCACCTGCAGACAGTGACCTCGATTATGAGTCGGAGGGCGAAGTTGTGGAAGATATCGAAAATAATGGCATGGTCCTAGATCAGGAGCCTGACCAAAGTTCTCGACGGGAATATCAGCCTCAAGGGTCGTCCCTTGCCACCTCTCCCTCCTTGAACAGATCCGGCGGTGTTGACCAAGTAGCCGCGGCGTCGCTGCAGATTGCGTCTAACAATGGACCTGAGAGTGATCAACTGTACCGAGCCAAGCAGTCTGAGATAGAGGCTATGCGGCGAAAGATTGCTGAGATGGAGCGCAACAAGTTGAAGAAAACCCGGAGCCAGTTGGGATCGCCGTCGTCTTCGAAGCCTGCAACACCTCCAGTTGGTGGCGAAGAACATCAGCCGAGCAGCTCGCCAATCGCTCAGCCGCTTGAGTTGAGTGGATCTCAGCGAAAACCTTTCGGGAATAGGACCGCGTCCAAATTGACTCGCGAGCAACTTCAAGAGCGAGCTGCCGCTCTGAAGGCGGAAGTTTTAAGGCAACGATCACAACGTCAACAAGTGTTGCAAGAGGGCCTACCAGATCTTAACGCCGAAGTAAAGAAGACTGGGAGTCGGCTGGAGAATTCGCGCAAAGAGCTAAGCCGGATTCGTGGACATATCCAAAGCCTCCAGGAAGAGTTGAACCGATTGGTTGCGCAGGAGAAGGAGCTTAATGAGGAGGTTGGGCGGTTCGAACAGCAGCTCAAGCAAGGCCAAGAAGGTCAGAAGCAATACTCAGACGAGTTGCAACAGATCAAGCTCGAGAAACTTGCCGAAGAACAAGCATTACCTGCTCAGCAAGAACCGGTCATCACCCCGGCAGCGCAGCCGGCAATTAAAACAGATTCACAGACACTGCCAAGCCTGAGCAACGGAGATGGCGCCAGCCAAGGGCCTGTCCACCAAGACGACCAGGGTCTGCACGCCGTACAGCTGGGCTCTGCCACCGCTATGCTTGCCGAGGGTGATACTATAATGCGAATGGACGACAATGGCGACAGCCTAGCGCCAAACCAGAACGCGTCCTCTGCACTCGAACCCGCGATTGAGCACGAACAGGAAATGCGGATAGGCGATGTTACAGAGCCTCCTGCTCCCGACCCTTTTGAGATCACTCCGCCTGAAGAACCCGATACCGCCGATGCGCAGCTTCAGGCTGCCCTTGATGATCAACTGGGAGCAGGCGAAATGGAGATTTCGCCGGAACCTGAATATTACGAGGAACCTCACGAGACGCTGCCCAAAACCTCTGTGGGACAAGAGTTGACGGAGGAGACCATGGACGTGGACAATGATAGTAACGGAAGCGCGAGCATGTCTGGTTCAGATGATGAAGAGGAAGGGGAGTACGAGCCGGCTGCGGCCGGCTCTTCTGCGTCTATCCAAGAAGGCGAGTACGAGCCTGCCGATGTCGACACTTCTGTGCCAATGCAACAATCGGATGACGAAGACGAATACGACCCTGAGACAGCCCATATCGAAAGTGGCACCCCAACGACTGCAGTTCCAGATGATACCGACGATTTCCACAATACAACGGCAGTTATGGATGGAGTAGGAGCCGTTGCCATTCCGGCCGTGTCTGAGGCTCCTGTCAACGGTAGTTCCGCAACGGCGTTCAAGGCTGTCGGGTCTCCCATGGAAGAGCGAGCTCCGATTGATGATGTCTCTGTTGTTTCGGAAGTCCCAACTAACACCCGGGACGATCTTGAATCAGATGCCCAACTTACCGAGGTCGATGCCATAGTCAAACCGCCACCAAGACAGAGCGAAACAGCTGAAGCCGTTCCTTTCCTCGGCAGCACCAGTACTACATCCATCCACTACGTACCCTACAAAACGCCCTTCAGCTCCTTCAAGAGCTATCGGTTTCACTCTGACTTTAACGATACGGTCAAATCGGGCTACCGTTCGCTGACATACAGCAATAACATCGATCACTCTCGCCCTCTCTGTCCAACTGAACTTTCTGGCCAGACCTGCAGTGATCAGAATTGCGAAGAGCAGCATTTCAGCCAGCTGGGTTTGCCAGACGAGAAGATCCTTGTGCAAATGTCTTCGGCGAGCGATATCAAGGATAAAGCCACCAAGGATGAATTTCACGCAGGGCTGAAGCAGGTTATCGCCGAACTGAGAGCCAATGAGGTCAAGGACTTTGAGAAGGTGGCCGAAGCCCTTTCGAAGTATCGACGAGATTTCTCTGCTGCGAGGGAGGAGAAGGATAATGAGCCAGCGACAGCAACCAAGGAAGCCGAATCTATACCCGTTGAAGGAGGTCCAGATGCTTAGGGAGTCAAAGAGAGGTTCGCCTCTACCACCCTGTGCAAGCGGCTACAAACTTCCGTTCGACGCAAAACGCGATGTAATCGGGTGGTCGTCGAGGCACGAAGCTGGAGTACGATGGATGGTGGACTTGGGTTGTATCTTTCCATGATATGGATGCGTCTTGTCTTCTGAGAACGGACGATTTGGACGCGTGCGAGATCTGATGCCACTTGAAGCGTATGATCAGTATGTGTCCCCCCAAGGGTGTCCGTGGCGCTCGAAGATCTGCTGGGGTCCTCGCATACGGCGAGACGCAAGGGGTAATGCACGCAAAGCAGCCGGGAGACGGTTGGGGTTTCCACAGTGTACAATAACATTTTTTGTGATAGCAGGGAGTTGAAATGTGCTCGCTGCCTGGACATTGTCACAGAGGGAAGCTCACTCATTTGCGAGCATGGAGTGTTCGGATTGCACTTCCTTGGTTAGCCACAGCAGGGGTTTCTGCGAGGCGTGGATTCATAGCTGCGCAGGCATAGCATCAAGAGCCTTTCTAATTACCCCATAGCGAATTGTATCAAACTCTCTCACCAGATTTGGCTCCTCAAGGCTCATCGCAGCTGGGACCTGTTCACAATGCCGCTGGGCCAAGGGAAGGGTGAACAGAGGCGAGAGCAACCGCGCAACGAGGAAAGAGCGAGCCATTCAATGCCAAGGACGAGGGAGGCACGATCATCACCGTCAAGGGTCTGGCCAACAAAACTTCACATCTGCCTTATCACCAGCTTCCTACCGGTTTCATTTCCTCTCTCCACCAGTCTTCTGTCTTGATTTCAGTGCTGCTGCATCCTTACCTCCGAATTATGAGTGTCTCTCCTGATGGATTCCGTGGGCCTGTTCTTGCCGTTCGCAGACTCCGCAATCCTCAAGTCTCTTACAGTACATGACACCTGGTTCCGCGCCTGTCACACTGCGTCACACCCCTCCTGCTCGCTCGATGTCGACATATCGCAGACACGGCCAGTCAGAGGTCAGCGAGGTATGGTAGAACGAGTTTCCGCGTCTCTTGGTCATGGCAGTCTGGCAGGTAAGCGAACCCGTCTACCGTCGGATTGACTTTGGATAGGTCGATTTCCAACATTTAAGTCCTACCAGCTTGGAGATAAACGTGAAGAGTTGGAAAAATCTCGATCCAAGCTCAATCATGCCGCTTGTGCAACAAGTACCTCACGCCGGAGCTGGCAGGATGCTCGACAACCTCGACGTGCCTAAAGGCCGCCCCTTTCTCGCCTAGTAACTGCACGACCGCGTTTGAGAAAGCTGGACTCTGCATCAATCCGCCTCCCAGGACCAATACTGAACTTTGGGTATCGATCTGTCCGGAACGGGTAAGGGTGGTGAGCAGCCGCGCCAGAGCTTCTACGGCCCTGTCGACAATATCTTTGGCTTCAGGGTCAGATTTGCTAGCCTCGATGACAAGGCGAGCGACTTGTGCGATGCGTCTCTTCTTCACCAGTTCCGACGGCCACGCCAGTACTGTGCTCAGCAAGTCGAAGTCGTGCGTATGAGTGCCTAAGGGCCGAAAGTGATCAAGTACTAGGCTTTCGATCTGTGAAGCAGGCTTGTGCACGAACCCCCGGTCTCGATCGCGCGCTGTAGTGTCACCCTCCAATGCAGCCAATGCGATGCGTATAGCCCGCCGCCCGATGTCAAAGCCTGAGCCGTCGTCACAAAGCAGATGACCCCAACCTCCTGACCTTCGGGTGCGAACGAACCGACCTTCTTGACGCTTGAAGCTCATTGCAACAGATCCAGTCCCAGCTACGAGCACTACCGCTGAATCGACGTCGTCTTTCTCGGCAGCTGTAATTGCAAGAAGCTCAATATCATTTGTGATTGTCAAGCCTGTTCCTTGTGGTCGCGCGAACAAGTTCTCCAAGGCTTTGTCGACGGCCATGGCGATATGCTTTCGATCATGCCCGGCTAGCGCAATCCAGACAGAAGAGAAAAAGCTGGGTCTCCAGCTCTTGCCGCTGAGGGTGGGCAGTGTGTCGCAGGCCCGTTGTATTGCTAATGAGATGGACGCAATTGAGGCTTCGACGCCGATATCTGTCACATTGCAGCCAGAGGAGACGCCCTGCCCATATTCGCCATCGACGGATAAGACTGCTGCCGCACACTTGCTCCCCCCTCCATCGACGCAGAGAAGATATCTCTGGCTCTCGCTATTTTGTGGGAGCCATGGAGTGCTGACCTGTTCTAAGAGGTTTGCGAGGACACCACCGGTTGCATCAAGACGACGCCCCGCTTCTGACACAGACACCCCCAAGCTCAACGTTGTGATGGCGAGCTTAACGCTACCATCGCAATTGTGCAGAAGATTGTCGAGGTCCTCGTCCGATTTGGGACACCTCAGACCACAGACTGTTCGTAATATGTTTCGAGACCGCTGTTGAAGTTTGAGGTTCGTGGCTTTCAGGTCCACCATCTATTGCAATTAGCACGTCTCGGTGAGGTTCTGATTCCGGATAGCACCAACCATGTTCCCGAATGTCTTTCCCAACTTGATCATCGTCCCGGTGCTCAACATATTGAGCACCAGCTTGGTTGCAGTACCCGCCTTCATCCTCGTGCTTCCCGTGACGACCTCTGCTCCGACGATGGGGCTGATCATATAGTCGACTATGTTGGTTTTACTCATAGCGGATGGCTCCGTGCAAGCTACACCTATGGTGGCGCAACCCAGCCTCTTCGCATATGCGAGGCAGCTCAGCACGTACGGGGTGCGCCCTGAAGCGGCAATGCCAATCAACGAGTCGACCGGACCATGCAGATGGAGTGCCTCAAGGTCTTGGACCGCTGCATCGGCATCGTCTTCGGCCCCCTCTTGTGCATGTCGAATGGCTGCCTCTCCGCCTGCAATGATGCCCACAAACTGACCTTCTGGTGAGGAGAAGGTCGGAGGGATTTCTGACGCATCCAAGACTCCCAGCCTGCAAATAACGAGCCATCAGCCTCAGAAGCACAGTCACGGTGGACTAATATTGATGGCTTTACCTGCCGCTGGTCCCAGCACCGACATAGACCACCCTGCCTCCAGCACGGACCCTACCAGCTAAGCAGTCAATCGCTGCCGCTATGGCTGGGATACATTTTGCTACCGAGCCCGCGATCGTAGCGTCCTGGTCATTGATGATGTGGCAGAGTCCGAGCGTGGAGACCCGGTCGACATTGGACGAAGCCGAGTTTCTTTGTTCGGTTTGCAACTCGGCCAAGTCGTTCAGTGCTGCCATTCCGCCCTTCTTGCTTTCGAGACACTTGTGGGCTCGTCGACTTCATCCTGTCTCTCGACTAGCCCGGGAAAATGCCCTTCTTCCTTTGCAGATGTACAGTGCACACCTGCTTGCCATTCCGGATCTTCTGCCGTTCTCGTTGCAACATTCCTTCCAACACGACTAATTAATTACGCACCGAAGTTACCGAGCCGCGGAGTGAGCGGAGAAGCACGACTGCAACCCTGCAAATTTGGCCCGGGGTACCCTTTCCCGCAGGCAGCTGGAGATTACCGACACGGCCTAATCGTTACTTGTCTTTCTCAAGCTTCCCGTCCCCGAGTCGATCCTGTCCCATTGAAGACAATGCCTCCTCATTTCGCAAGCTCGTGACCTCGAGGCTTATCATGGGCTATCACGCCTATCAAGGTGAGGAGCAGAGTGCAGACGCTCGATGTAACGGTGCCTTTAGATGGGAAGAATAGTGTGCGCGAACATGTTACTGGCGCCGCCTCCTTATATGTTGGCTACGCCACCCTTTGGCGTAGCTGACACGTTTGCAAGCGGTCTTCGAGGCATCTCCTCGACATGGCCATGGCAGAGGAGACACAGGCTGTGATGCCGGTTGATACTCAACAAGGCGAATTCGAGCGGGGAGGACGCTCTCACTTTGCTCGCGTCAAGTCGTTGTACGCGCACCCATGGACGCAAATCATCTTGATTAGTCTGATATGTTTCTGCTGTCCTGGAGTGAGTAGCAAGCGGATGGCAGCAAAATGTTCTGAGCATTGACGGATGTGCAGATGTATAATGCCCTTGGAGGACTGGGAGGCTCTGGCCAAGTTGACCCTACTGTCGCCGCAAACGCCACGGTCGCGCTGCTCTCGGCAACTGCTGGCACTGCCCTGTTCCTCGTCGGCCCCTTGTTCTCCTATACGGGTCCTTGCATATGCTTCTTACTGGGTGGCTGGACATATGCTCTGTACAGCGGAAGCTTGCTGAATTTCAACCGTAAGAACATCCCTCTATTCTTGCATATTACTCTGACTGGGTTCAGACCACGACAATGGGGGCCTTTGTCATTGCGTCTGGTGCTATTCTGGGAGTCGGCGCTTCCATGCTGTGGGTAGTACAGGGGGCCATCATGACCACTTATGTCGCCGAATCCCAGAAAGGTCGTGCTATCGCCGTCTTCTGGATCATAGTCAATCTCGGAGGTGGCGTGGGCAGTCTCGCATCGTTCGGCCTCAACTTCCACTCCAAGTCAGGTACCGTCTCCGACTCGACATACATTGCATTGATGGTCATCATGCTCTTCGGCTGGGGTCTGGGGCTTTTCATTTGCTCGCCCAAGCGCATTCACCTTGCGCAGCTCCACGCCGCGGTGGAAAGTGAGAAGCACTCGTGGAAGGCCACGATCGACATTGCAGTGAAAACGATGGCCAGTTGGCGTGTCTTTTGCATGCTGCCATTGTTCTTCTGCGCCAACGTGTTCTACTCGTACCAGCAGAACCAAGTCAACGGCATGACTTTTAACATTCGGACTCGCTCACTGAACGGGTCTCTCTACTGGATCGCACAGATGCTGGGTGGCTTGCTCGTTGGCGTCATTCTTGATCTCCCTTTCCTCACACGGCCTATGCGAGCTCGCGTTGGCTGGGTCGTTCTGTTCGTCACGGGCATGTCCATCTGGGGAGGAGGATATGCATTCCAGAAATGGCAGGACAGGCGTCTCGCCGCCGGACTCAAGCAAGACATCGACTACACTCAGGGCTCCCGATCGACCGGGCCTATCTTCTTGTACATCTTTTACGGGGCGTACGACGCACTGTGGCAAGGGTTCTGTTACTGGCTCATTGGAACGGAGTCAAACTCGACCTCGCGAGCGGCCATTCTGGTCGGAGCATACAAGACCTTCCAGGCGACGGGCGGTGCCATGGCGTGGAGAATTAACGCCCTGCATAAGAGTCCCATGACGCAGCTTGGTATGAACTGGGGTTTGTCAATGGGAGCCTTGGTGATTGGCCTGCCCACAGTCTGGACCGTCACGACCAGGACGAACGAGAAGCCCGTGCGAGAGCAAGAGCTGGAGATGAAAATTCAAGAGGTCGAATCCCAGACGGGCAAGGAGTGACATTCAGGTCTTGGGGCTTGGGCCCGCTGTTGCAAGTGAAGTTGAAAACCACTTTGCTACGAACCAGAGCCAGGCCAAACAATTGACATTCCATAGCAAAATGAAGTATCCAGCTTGGATGGTCGCGTCCCACAGGAGCAAGGCCAGTCAAGTTATCGAGGTGGATGACATTTGCCTTTCCATCGTCAACTGCCAAATTTCGATGGTCCCGACGCTGGCAACAAGTCTGGCGGTACCCTACAAGCGGCCGCCAATCATGAGGTACGCTCTCTAATGTATCGTGCCGGCCATACTATACGAGGCTGAGATGGCAAGAGACGAGAACTGCTGAACAGCGAACGACTCTGTGCCGTGGGAGTGGCCTCAAGGAGGCCGCATCTCAGTGGTGGCGTTGATTTCGCCGGAGCCAAGTTGAGGCAATTACATCAATGTGTAGGAAGCCAGATACCGGCCAAGTACGGAGTACGCTATATCGTATGTACGTGGTATAGTGTCTGGGTGTACAATTCACAGTAGTCCTTTACGAGGAGGGAGGACCCGGCGAGCCTGGCCAGGCAGAGCAGCGGACAACAACGCCAAGACTGCCGGCAAGAGTTTCCGTCCCCAAGTTGGCTTTCCGCCACTGCAGGAGGCAGGTTCAGCCGAAAGGCAGGCACCAAGGCAAGTATCCCGAGTGGTGCTGATGAGAATTGGAGAACTTGTGGCACTCACCAGGACTCACTCCACCGGACGTACTCGAACTCGTACTAATACTCTACTCGTACGGAGTACTCATATCCAAACAATCGGCACTTGCTGGGTTCGCTCCTGTCGCACGTCCCACCTACCTACACCGTCCTGTCCACGCGCTGTGGAACGGAAACGTCCTATACTCCCTCCATTTACTGGCCCACGGGTCCTGCCGACCGGCGCGGCCACACCCCAAGATGCCCTCCTCATGCAAAGACATCCGTACGTCCCTTCCTCTCTGTGGCTCTGGTTCCCGGCCCAGCATTCTCTCACCGATTAACCCACCTCACACACCCACTGTAACATGGACATGAATATCAACATCATCATACTGACCCAACCCCAGGCGCCGCCCTGGCCCAGTGCCTCCAAAACTCCGACTGCATCCTCGTCGACCGCCACACGCCCCTGGAATGCCTCTCCTCCCCTTTACTCGAGACCCTCCCCACGCAGTGCCAACAGCTAAAGATCGGGTTTCGCGAGTGTCGGCGCGGGTTGGTCGACATGCGCAAACGGTTCCGCGGCAACGCGCCCATCTCGACGAGTCTGGAGCTCGAGGGGGGCGGCAGCGACGACGGCAAGGGCAAAGGCACGCAGCTTTACGGGGGGAGGCCCGCGTTTGATGTGCGGGAGAGTATGGGCAAGGGGGCCAGAGGAGAGGTGCAGGGGTTGGGGTTTGACGAGAGTAAGACGAGGGGCTTATGAGCGTTGGATTCGGTTGGACTTGGATCTGGATTTGGTCTTGAGTTCGGAGGTTGGCTGCAGCCGCGCTGGAACTCAAGTTGGGGGGACCAGCGTGGCATCGCACAATGCTGCACGGCACAGAAGGACACCGCACGGCACCGAGGTGCTGTTGAAAGATGCCAGCTGTGGTGAACCACCTCCCAGGCGCGGGAAGCCTGGTGGGGTAGCCCGACGCGGGATGCTTGATGCTGCAGACGGGTTCTCGACATGGCTATATCGGGGGTCGACATCACCGTCCATTCTGGAACTTTGAGATGACCATCATGCGGGCGTTACGGAATGATGACGAGGCCCGAGTCCGGTGAATCTGCGATGTCAAGAGCAACAGCAACGGATGATTTGACGGGAGGTATCGGTAGACCCATGTCGAGTTTGATATCAACCAAGGGTCACTGGGGGGGAAAGGTGTTGCGGTGGGATGGGTGCTGGCACGCCGCGACCTGGTGTAGTCCGGTTGAGAGTGTCGATGCTTGGAGGGGAAGGCCATGATATCATAACCATCTCCATTGCCAACTCTCCTCTTGTTCGCGGTGAGAAGAGCCCCAGGTCACTGGTTCAGGAATCCAGGCGCTGTATTTATATGGAAACGAAGAACCTGTATATAGCGTGTGCCATCACGCCTCGTCTCTACAATGTAAAAACCATCTTTCGTCAAATGTACAACGACATCATGACATCCCAACCTCTGCGAAAGGTCATCATGTCTAACGCTTCCATTGGCAGGCTACATTTTGTGCTCCATGATTCCGATCCCGCATGTCTAGAGCCAGAGCCCGATATATCGAACACCGTAAAGTACACAATTCATGTCCCCTTGCCATTGCTTTTCTTTCCATACCGGACCGTGCCAGGGAGTGCAGTGCAAAGCCGCGTGCTCGCCACGCTACCTCGAGCCCATGCTGACGCTCAACTTCCGCCGCCGTTCGGCCTCCTCCTTGGGGGGCTCGCAATACAGCCACACGACAACAAACAACAAGAACCCGACAATGACGCTCCACAAGCCACCAATCCACGGCCACGCGCCCGTGATGGCCCAACTGCGCGGCCATTCGTCGTGGGCAAAGTGGCGGACCGTGACTTGGCGTTTCACCTCGATGGGCGTGAGGAAGGGGCGTTTGTAGTTGACCTTGAACGCGAAGATGCCGTGCTGGTCGGGCGTCGTGAACGTCGTGCTGAAGATGGTGCTGTTGGCTGTGCTGGAGGTCGAATGGAGCGGAATGCGATGGAAGGGCGAGAGCATGGAGAATTCGAGCTGAAGCGCGTCGTTGGCCGGGATGGTAAACGGCACGTAATGAGTCTTGTCGTATTGGCCTATTGAAATGGAGAATTCCTAAACCACAAATATTTTGATTAGCCCGGAATCGTCCCTCCCAGCTGAGGTGTTGGAGAGCACCGAGGGAAACATACCACGTCGTTCTTGATCCGGTAGATCTCCGGGTTATATTGTTGGCCGCTGAGGGCGGTGGTGTTTTCGCTCCCACTGGGCTTGGCCGCCTTCACGATCTCACGGTGCTGGACGTGGAAGACCTTCAACACACCGACCTCTCTGAAGGTCCATTCGGTCAATTGCCTGGCAAAGTCCCTGTTCATGGTCTTGCTGTTGTCACCACGCGGCCCCTTGACGGACGCGTCAAGCCATTTATCCTGCAGCATCTCCAGGGATCCCAGCACCGTGAAGCGGGCGGAGTTGCGTGCTTGCATGGCCGAGATGAGGGCCAGCTGCGAGCCGGTCGCGAAGAGCTCTTCCGCGCTTTCTCCTTCTTCTTTCGGATTGTATGCGTATGCCGTGATCGGGGCCTTGAGGATCGGCGCGAGCAGAGGACTGGCATTTCCTAATGTCTGTCCCACTGCTTTCGGGACCGCCAACAAGCCATCACCGCCAAAGAAGTTGACCACATCCGGCCTCAGTGGTCCCGGTCGATTGACCAGTAGAACGTCATGTTTCTCAGCCGCGGAGACCGTGTCATAGTTGAAGTGGTCGACAACGACCGAGTTCTTGTCGGGAGACAATGAGATGTCGAACTCGAGGAGGAGTGACGAGACGGCTGAAGGGGTGCCCGACTGTGAGGACAGTCCAAGCAGGATATTTCCACCGCTATTCACGTACTCGAGAAGGATCTTCGGCGTCAAAGCCGGCCCGTAGCCTGCAACCATCAGTATCTTGTCTGCTCAGATCCAAGACGCCGAGCTCACCTTTCGACTTCGGAGGGGTGAGGAGCAAATGGTCGTATGCTAACTGGCCATGTCTGAATAACGCCAGGTTCTCGTCTCTCGGGGACTGGAACGACAACTTGAAGTCTCGCGCTGAATAATGCAGACGTCAGCACCCTTCCTTGACCGATCGGTCGGTGAGGCACCCATACCCTCTAAATCAGCCCAGAACTTCGAGTAGAGTCCTCTCTGCGCTTCGTCTTCAAGGACCACGAGGAGTCTGTCTCCGACTGCGCTTTTCGCCCATACAAGTTGCAATGAGGATAGAAGAAGGAGACATAACGAAGAGAGGAGCCGCATGTTGGGGAAGGAAGCGCCGCACCACCGCAGCTTGCTGTTTTGGTTCACGAAGTTGCGCTCATTACAGTCGATGCACATGCGCTGCGGAGAGGTGGTCAATATTTCTCCTCAGCCTCGTCACTGTCTGAGTTTGCGATTCGCCGTATTTTGCCAAGATGAGGAGACGGACCATAACGGCGATCATGGGGTCTGCAAGTTTCGGCATCTCCGATAAAGAGTCTGCGCTTAGGGCTGCCACATCGACTCTCAGCTGCCAGCGCGTCGAGAGCGGCGATTCCTCACGCAAGAAGACAAGTGTCACTATGCTGTCACCCTGGGTGGCTGCAAGCACTTCCTGCATCGAGGCATTCAGCGTGCCCGCCCTACTTCTGCCGGCTGTAATCCACAAAAGTGACCTGAACGCGGTCGCTATCCAGCCTTTCCATTCCGCAGCGTTCGCCTCGAATGTTGAACAAGTCGACACTCGAGCCACGACATCCCCTCCACAGCAGTGAACGAGCTGTGTGAACCTGTTGTAGGTTGCCAATCCGCCAATCGAGTATCCTCGAACCACCGGATACATGTCGCCTACCTTCTTTGTCCCTTTCGCCCCTCAATCTCGTTGGGTCTCCTATCTACTAAGCTGATGCTGACCCTGCTGCTGCTTGATCGGCTGCACTCACAATCGTCGTCCCGACGTCGTCTTGACCCTCGGCATATTGATGTTCTTTGACCCCAACTGCTAACGCTATTGGTGGATCAAAACTCGGTCCGTCGACCGTGGTGTCGTCCCAAGGAATTCGACACCATATAGAACCTCGTCCAACAGCCAACAAGGCGAGCGATCAGGTTCATTCCCAATCTGGCCCGCATCGGGAGATTCGCAGTCCACTGAACACAATTCTCGAACCATAAGGGCCCATGGTGGACAGTCATGGACTTTTCCCATCCCGATGTCCGCTAGGACCTGGCTTCCATGTTAGAACTTGGGGGTGGGGATAGCGGAAACGCAGGTACAGTGCCTGGCTTGGCGAGCTCACATGCAGCTGGGCTGCATCCAACTCTGTTCGGCTCGCACCTGGCGCATGGATAGGAGCTCCAGCCTCCGTCCCGTACTTTCCTCACTTCAGCCGCCCGTGGCAGAGGCATGGAATTCAAACGCCTGCGGAAATGTAACAACCAGCGCCGGCGAGTAATGGTCAGATGCGACTGGGGAAGCGCTCATCAATGCTGACGAGCACGAGCACCGCAAACGTTTCATATCATGATGCAGGACTTGTCGTTCCCGAACGCATCTAATACCCTGGGAGAGTTACAACTGATATGGTATAGGAGCGGCAGGCAGTCACGTATAGATGGTGCGCTGGAAAGGCCTTTTCTGATCAATCCTGAGATCCTTGGTTGAGAACACTTCACCTCCTGCGTTGAATGTCAATCTGCCAATCCAGGTACACACAATCTCGTCCCGCCGCCGATGGTGCTCTGTCGAAGTCGCTTCGCTCAACACCACCCTGCTCAACACCACCCTGCTCAACACCTCCCTGCTCAACACCTCCCTGCTCAACACCTCCCTGCTCAACACCTCCCTGCTCAACAGCCCCATGCTCAACTAGCAGTCGGACTATACCCTCGCGACCCTCTGCTATTGCTGCCTGTAGTGTACTACTCCTGAGCATTGACGTCCGCTCCATGCTCAACTAGTAGTCGGACTATACTCTCGTTACCGAGTACTACTGCTGCCTGCAGTGCACTACCATATCGGTCACCCAGAGCATTGACGTCCGCTCCATGCTCAACCAGCAGTCGGACTGTTTCCGGATGACCTTTTGCTGCTGCTGCCAGTAGTGCATTACTAAAGCCACGCTGAGTATTATTAACGTCCGCTCCCTTCTCAAGTAGTAGTCGGACTATACCCTCGTTACCCCTTACTGCTGCTGCCCGTAGTGCACTATTATAGTTATAGTCGTTACCCTGAGCATTAACGTCCGCTCCCTCCTTAAGTAGCAGTCGGACTATACTCTCGTGACTTTTTGCTGCTGCTGCCTGTAGTGCACTATTATAGTGGCCACCCTGAGCATTAACATCCGCTCCCTCCTTAAGTAGTAGTCGGACTATACTCTCGTGACTTGTTGCTGCTGCTGCCTGTAGTGGACTACCATATATGCCTCCCTGAGCATTAACGTCCGCTCCCTCCTTAAGTAGCAGTCGGACTATACCCTCGTGACCGTATACTACTACTGCCTGTAGTACACTACCATAAAAGCAATCCTGAGGATTGACGTCCGCTCCATGCTTAAGTAGCAGTCGAACTATATCCGTCTGATCTGTTTCTGCTGCTGCATGTATTGCACTACCGTAATAGCCACCCAGAGCATTGACGTCCGCCCCCTTCTCAATCAGTAGACGAGCTATTCGCTCGTGACCAGAATTCGATGCGGCTTGTAGT